AATGACACTTATATCACAGTGATGACACATATATTACAATCGCCATTGTTTTATCATCATAAGTAAAAATCACAATGATTATACCTACCATACATATGACAAACAGAAACACACACACACGTGTAAAATGATTATACCAGGAGAACACCAATCACAAGGGTTAATATTCATGACACATAAATGTTACAATGATTATACCATGACATACACATGACATCACAATACATGGTGATACAATACAAACATACTTCACTCTTGTTCCACGCCGTTGCGATGGTTATATATCATTTATCACACATAATGGTGACTATAAAATGACACATATCACACTGTTATAACATGACCTACAGGTAACAGTGACGAAAACACGGCAAGCGAAAATAACTAAAAGGTTATGATGAACTACGTAGCTCACTAACATTTAAATGTGACGTTTCATGCGCACAAGCCACTATATATTCACACACGCAAGCACTCACACACTACGACTCATGACGTACAGTGTTGATCCGTCTTGTTGACAGCTCAGGAGTCCATTCCGTGGGGGTGGTCCGGGTTGACAATAGGCTGCTTCTGCCATCTCCACACAGACACCTGCAAAGAGATCCTCCACTGTTGGATCTTCACATGTAATCTTTGTTATGTTTGTGAAATGTTTTTGAAGGGGGCTGTGCCACTTTATGATTGTCAGAGGGGTACACAAACTACGTGATCTAGACTACCAGTTGTCCCACTTCCATTTCCGTGAAAGCCTCGTTGGCTCAGTGGGTTGGATCGCTGGCTTTGTGTGCTGGCGGTTTTGTACCTGACTTCGAGATTGAATGGGATTCAATCCCCCAAAGTATTCAAATCTGTACTTCACTTGTTAAATTCCAAAATCGCTTACTGCAGTGTCAGCTTCAAGTACAACTAGTACTAAAATGGTTTTCAAGGATGGCTTTTCTTCAAAAGGGAAACATTGTTATCAGGAGACCCGCTGTACTTAATTACGATAAAAACAACCTAAAAACACTTAGTTTTTTTCCGTTTAATAGTACACCCACCAATATTCTAACAGTATAAGGCCGATATGTAAATAAACGCGTCTGGTCCATTCAATCAAGTGATTGACATCACGAGCATCCGTCTTCGCGACTCTGATCGATGACATGTATCAACCAAGTCAGCGAGCTTGACCACCCAATACCTTTTTTGTCGCCTTTTATGAGATATACGGGTCGCTGAAGACCAGTTCTAACTCTGATCTTCAAGGGTGATAAAAAACAACACCGAAACTGCGTTCTTTCAATAACTATCATTAAATCGCTATTGTCTAGGTGAGATTATACTTGCGATATTATCGCAATTTGCATATATATGAAATTAATAGCAAACCCCATAAATGTGCCTTCTGACTTTTTTTCTAAATCAAGCACATAGAATTGAACTTTTTTTTTGCAAATTGTTCTCATTATTTTAAGTTGTCTTTCACAGAAGAGGGTGAGGGGTCGCAGCACACTGGTCAATAACACGGCGTATATTTAACTGTGAGAAGTATCAACACGCAACGATGAAGCAACGCAACACAAACGTCACGTCACCAGTTCGTCACAACAAAACAATTAACCGATGAGACTAATGATGATGGAGGACAAGAAACATCACTAATTAAATCAAAGTTTACGTTTAAACAGACCTACCTAAAATCAACACGGTCAGAATCGCCGCCATATTGCTTTTCAATGTCCCACCAGCCATTGGCTGTCTGCGTCACCAGGCAGCTCAAAAATGGCGACCGGCCGCCATTTTGGAATTTCAGATATGTTTACACTTTAAACGTGATTAGTACTAGTTATCTACTGTGCCGTGCGACGATCGGATGTACAAACACTGCCCTGATAGGTTCTTCGTCTACATTCTATGTTGATGGTACGAGTACGGCATATGCACGTCGTGGCTGTTTACCAAGGGAACGGACGGTCCAGTCCAAATTCGCCGTGCAGAGTTGCTTCCCTTGGGCACGCCAGAAGCTTTGGTGTGTGGTGAATCCGATAATGGCCGAGGTCATTGACTTCGGAACTCTAAGCCTTCAACGCAGTTACACATAAATTGGTCAAAAGTACACATGCAAAATTAGTCGATTTGTTACCTCATCTTCTTCCACCTAAATCCCCATTCGAACTGCGTACAAATTCAACACACAGGCAAACTGTAGCGCAAATAAGGTTGCGCAACAAAGAGAAAATGACCAGTCTTCCTATATGCGAGCGAAGAATATAGGAACACTGGTCATTTTCTCTTTGTTGCGCAACCCTATTGGCGCTACAGTTTGCCTTTGTTCAAATCCATCGCGTGTAATTTAAGGCTTGACCTTATGACTTACAGGAAGCCCTACTCGCCCTGAATTGACTCTGAACTTGTGAATTTTACCAAAGTGGTGAACCTCTGCATTACTTCGGGCTTTCCTCCCACATTAAGCAGACCCAGTGGTATTACTGGGGTACTGTTAGTGAGTGAGTGAGTTTAGTTTTACGCAACACTCAGCAATATTCCAGTTATATGGTGGCGGTCAGTATATATTCGAGTCTGCACCAGACAATCCAGTGATCAACAGCATCAGCATCGATCTCGGCAAATGGGAACCGATGACATGTGTCATCCAAGTCAGCGAGCCTGATCACCCGATCCCGTTAGTCGCCTCTTACGACAGGCATGGGTTACTACAGGTTCAGTCTAACCCGGACCTTCACGGGTCCTGGGCTTCTGTTAACAGAAGTAAGAGTGAGTGTGAGTGATTTTCGTTTTACGCCGTGTTTAGCACTATTCCATCTATACCACCAGTATAGATGGAATACTAGAAGTGACACAAGAAATGGGCTTCACACATTGTACCCATGTGGTTAATCGAACCCTTGTCTTCGGCGTGACAAGCGAACTCTTTCCCCACAAGGTTCACGAAGTCGTGTCTCCCAAGACACCAACAGCCTCTTAAACTTCTAAAGATTCGGCAGAGAGGGGTACCAGACAAATGGCGTGGGTGGATGCGTGGGTGGGTGAACAGACATGGCAGCGGAGGAAGGGATTCTGGAACTACGTCACAGGAAAGTTTTGGGTCAGGCAACGCGTGACTGTTTGGGATCGGATGTCAAAACATTGACGCCAGAAACGAGAGTGGGTGATAAAGCTGACAAATTGTGGGGTCACATACATTTGTATAATTTCACTGGATTTGGGGTCAGGAAAACGTAACTGGGGGAGCCACCATACAATGTTACCATAACGCCATAGTGCAAGTTCTCAAAATGACGTCACACTTCTGTCTGACGAAATGGCGTCATGGTACTGTGTCAGAGCAAAAAAAAACCAACCTCTCAGATGTTTTCTTAACAGTTTATACAGTTTAACAATGTATACAACAAATAATAAGTACTGGCACATATTATATTTCGTAAATATAATTAAATGTAAGTACTTTACAATGTAATCATAACTGCTGGTGATATCGTTGACGCCTTATCTTTACAAAAAACAACAACAAAACAAACAAATGCTGTTACTGGCACAAGGGTCATGTGGTCGGTCCATTTCGCATTCTTTATTGATCCAATTTATTTCAGCACCAATTTACGAAGCCACAGGTAAAATTTTACAAACTGTGTAGGAATGACGGATTCTTGAACAGACATTATAAAATCTGACAACAGTTCTTCAACTTGCATTTCATTAAAAAACAACAAGCTCGCCGTTCTTTCCTTTGCGGGGCAGTGGGGTAGCCTAATGGTTCAAGCGTTCGCTCGTCATGCCTAAGACTCAGGTTCGATGCCCCACACGGGTACAATGTGTGAAACCTATATCTGGTGGGCCCCGCCGTGTTACTAATGGAATATTGCTAAAAGCGGCGTAAAACTAAACTCTCTCACTCTTTCATTTCCCCCTAAGCGCATAGTTCACTTGTTTATTGGGTAATCACTACGGTCGTGGATTAAACTTATTTCCAGACTTCTTTTGCACGACAGAAGCCGCTTAGAGTTTAGATGGACATTGGTTGTTATATTTGTCATGTTGTTTTATGGCGCATCCGGCGCAATATCCCAGTAGAGTGTAAATCGTACCCATCAGTTTATCGTTGTTCTTGATAACAGTCACTTGATTGTCTGTAACAGACACGATTTTGTAATCGTGTGTTTTGAACATTGCTAAATGACACATTAAGCAGCCAAAAACGCACACACTGGGGGCGGATACAGCTTTTTGAAAGGAGGGGTCGATCATTTAATAAACTTTCAGGACAAGGGGTGGAGGCACAACCCTGCATTCAATATCCATTTAAACATCTGAAGAACGATTAATTTTCTGTCACTGAGATACCATCTGTTTCCCCAACAACGAAGGTCGCTACACGGAGATGTTTGCATTCCGGGCAGGAGTCCCTGGGGAAACACCTTAGATAGATGCCTGTGGGGGGGGATCTTGGTTTATAATAACCTTGGTTATCTCGTCATTACCTGTTTCCTTCTCGTGTTTGGCATGTACACGGTAACCGAGTCGTCTCCGGTGGTGTAATACCTTGTGGAGTTACGTCCCTTTGTTCACACCAGAAACCTGTCTTTGGTTGGTTGTTGTTTTACGCCGCACTCAACAATATTCCAGCCATATGGCGGCGGTCTGGAAACAAGCGATTATAGGGCTCCGATCTCACTGGGGCTCCCTTTCAATAAAATGAGAGCCATCTGTTTCTATAATTTAAACATGTATATTCCGAGTCTATATATTTTGAATGGAGTAACATTTACCTTTAAGAGCTATAAAGCTGTTGCTGACAAAGTTTGAGTGAGTTGAGTTCATGCCGTGGTAGGGATCGAACCCGGGTCTTCGGTATGAAAAGAGAAAGCTTTAACCATTAACTACCGCCCCCACTATTTACTGGCATGACATCAGGACTGCTACTGTGTCTGGACAATGCTTGGATGCCTCCATTCATGGAGTGACTGGTTAACCTAAAAAATTTACTATGAGACACGTAAACCCAAACACCTTTATTTCAAACAAAACAATAATTTCTGGTAAACAATCTGTACATTATTTGAAGTCGGTAATGTAATTAGGTCTAGACAGGTCACATAAATTACGTCATAGATATGTATTGTATAAAAACAGGTACAAAATGGCGAAAACACGGCAAAACACAAAACAATAACAATAAACATAAATAGCAACATATCTGCACATGAAAACGAAAAGAATATCTCATATATATGGTACCAGCAAACAGAAACACATATTTGTGATTTGGCGTCCCTAATGTTAAACTTTGTTACTTATATGTTCTTGAAACGCAAACAATACACGTTCAGTAGCTAAATCCTGGCATGGTTTCATGTTGAATTCAACAAGATACGTACATCACCCATGACCGTTTCAGATAAAGAGCACACTGCAACGTGCTTTTAAACATAGATGCGATTTGAAACTCGAAACATATTGCAAGAACTTATCTAAACACGAGTAAACCCAAAGTATATACCATCATCAGCATAGAAGTTGTCCAAGATTTATGGATTAAACTTCTTTTTAATTTCTCTCACGACGTTTCGAGACCATTCCAGGTCCCTGAAAGACACTGTCAGCATAGAAGTTGTTCATGAACAATATAGATAATACGATTGTAAAGGTGTTTTTGTTCAACATTCGTAAGAGTCTAAACCATTTGATGGGAGCTAATATCGAAATTACGTCACAACTTTGAGTTTGGGGTTGGGACGACAAATAAAATGTGTCGAACATCTGTCGAAATATGACGATATCATTTCCGGAAATAAGATCACTTCCGGTACGTGAGGAGATAACGAGAGTTGTGACTTCAATGAAAATAAATGAGTCGAAAGGTTATATCAACATAATCTCACACAAAGGTATCTTAATGAAAGTCACACGAATTATCACAGATTCGATCAGTAGAAATAACAATGCAAATATCAGCTTGAGCTTGTTTTGGCATTCGAAACAGAGAAACTGCAAGTTTTCTCAACCCTGTTGTCAGAAATAAGTAGGTGCATGATCATCCATGCAATACGCTGAAGAAATACGTACAGTGAAGTACCATAACAGAGTACGTTTGTAAAGCACATAAACTGTAAAGTGTATGCTACAAGCACTGTATTAAATTCGGGTCTATGGTCATGGCGCAGTCGATGTTTCATTCTCAGCGTCCTGAGGATCATACAACCCAAGCTGCCTGTGAGGTGATGAAGGTTTGCAGTTATATTATTATCTCTGCCTACCGGGTACCCATTCACTGCCTGGTGAAATATGGACTGGGACCTGTATTAGAAATCTAAATAATATTAAGGACTTGAGGATTAAATAATTCTAAGGACTTGATGAATAAATAATACTGAGGACTTCAGCACTAAATAATACTGAGGACTTCAGAGTGAGTGAGTGAGTGAGTTTAGTTGTACGCCGCACTCAGCAAGTTTCCAGCTATATGGCGGCAGTCTGTAAATAATCGAGTCTGGACTAGACAATTCAGTGATCAACAGCATGAGCATCGATCTGCGCAATTGGGAACCGATGACTGGGGACTTCAGAGAACTTCAGAACTAAATAATACTAAAGACTTCAGAACTAAATAATACTAAAGACTTCAGAACTAAATAATACAAAAGACTTCACAACTAAATAATACTGAGGACTTCAGGACCAGGATCCGCTGTGTGATCTCAGCCATATGTCTCTCCTACTTATGTTTGAGTATGGGAGCCACATGATAACCCATCGCCCCTAAGATGTGGGTTGCAACCAGCGAGCACCTGTATGGTGCTAGCAAACAACATTCATAATCAGCGCCGATCAGATTTCATTCTGGAAATATGGCCGGACAAGTCATTCGTAATCATCGATTCCAAGCCTAGATGGAAGCCACACACCAATAAAATCACAGATATGCTCTGACATTGAAATAATCTGAAAGTAAAAGATTAAAAAAACGGCAATATATTGAATCATAGCGAAACCTTCTAAATTTGGCCTTCGAATTTACTAGAATTAATCAAAAGTCAACAAGAACTGATAAAGGGGTGAACGGGTTAACATCCTTACGATGAGCCAAGTCGAAGTTAATTTTGCCTTGATTAGGGAAACCTTGAATTATGAAGTCATAACATACGAAAATCATCTCAAGTATCGGGTTACTTTGCAAACACTAAAGAATTTGCCATTTCTGGATTCTCAACCGCTGCGTTCCGTCTCTTGAGTTCCTGTTGGATTAGATACGCCTGAGCCTTGCACACAGGCGGCCTCTTGGGCTGGAATGTCTCACTGTATGCGGTGGAATAGTCCATTGAATGCTTGGTCTGCGGCTGCGTGTCTTTGGCCGCTGTTTCCGGTTTGAAGCTCCGCGCAGGTTCGGCGTATTTTGGGACGAATGTGGATTTGGTGACACTCTCCCCTTCAAATCGTACCACGGGTGGGACGTAGGGTCGGTTCTCGTGGAAGTCGCCGTATCTCACTCTGGGTGCCACGCCCCAGTCTCTGAAGAAGTCCTTGTTACTGGTTCTACCGTCAAACTTGACATCTGGCGATGTGTGGAGCTTGGCCGTTGGGGCAACTGCTTTGGGTACAGTATTCTGAGATACGTCTATTGGTCGGAAATCTCTCTGCGAACAAGACAGTGTTAAGACAAATTAGAAGTAATCTATGAATTGTTGAGTTATATATGTAGCTGTAACTGGGTTTGGTTGGTTTGTTGCTCTGTTGTGTTGCACTCACCAATATTCCAACTATATGACGGCGGTCTGGAAATAATCGAGTGTGGACTAGACTAGTGATCGACAGCAAGAACATCGATCTACGCAATTGGGAAACGACGACTGAATGGATACTGAATTGTTCCGCGACCTATTCTAACGAGTCTGCCAGTTTGGTTCTACCATTTTGTTACATCATTTTTACAGATGATGTGTTCATTTTTGTCATATTTATTATTCTCATCACAAATTATATATACTCATGCCAATGATGGTTGTCACCCCTTTCAATTTTTTTAATTGGAGAGGGGGGGTGGGGTGAGGTGGGTGTGGGATTGGGGTGAGGAGGGGGGTGACAACAATTATTGGCATGAGTATATATACAAATCCCCCATCATTTATAAATACATTACCCCTAGCACAGATGATTAACGCGATCAGATGTCCACTTACAACAAAGACGAAAATGACTTATTTTTCACGTGGTAGCCTAGCAGTTAAAACTTTCGCTCGTCACACTGAAGGTGTTCGATTCCTCACATGGGCACAACGTGTGAGTGAGTGAGTTTAGTTTTACGCAGCTTTTAGCAATATTCCAGCAATATCATGGCAGAGGATATGGCAGAGGATACCAGAAATGGGCTTCACTCATTGTTCCCATGTGGGAAATCGAACCCGGGTCTTCGGCATGAGGAGCGAACGCTTTAACCACTAGACTACCCCACCGCCCCGTACAACATGTGAAGCCCATTTATGGTGTCCCCTCTGTGATACTGCTGGATAATTGCTAAATACGTCGTAAAGCCAGATTCATTCATTGTGTTCCCAGACGATTCCGGTTAGACCCCATCCCCAGCAGGCTATGCTTTACTTAATTGATAGGTGAGTAGGTGCTCATAATATTATCCACTGAATTATCAGGTCCAAACTCGATTATTGACAGGCCACCGTCATGTAATCGGTATATTGTTGGTGGTGAGTTAAATAACTAAAGAAGAAACAAGGTGTGTAATAAATTCATTATCTCACCCTCTGCGAAGTCTCCGACTCAAACTTCATGGCGGAGGGGACGTAAGCTTCATCTTCCTTTCTACAGGGGATGGGCGCTGGGTGCTGGACCACATCGTGACCTTTGAACGTTGACCTTTGCTCTGTCTGAAAATTCCTCCTGCAAAAGACAAGTAACGTGCTTGGGTTATTCAGTGATTGGTTTAAAGGCGCTTTGAACAGTTTTCAAGGTAATATGTGACCCAAACCTTCCATCATATGATCCAGGGCCTGGATTTTCAAAGCTCTCTTAGCGCTAAGATAGTCGTAAGTTAAGGTTAATGTATGGCACTTACGACTCTCTTAGCGCTAAGAGAGCTTCGAAAATCTAGGCCCTGGTATGTAACAAGACCACCTGTTCCACGTTTTGCTGTCACAATGACACGAGCACCACATCATTCATTCGTTCGTTCGTTCATTCGTTCGTTCGTTCATTCATTTGACAACTCACTTGTTATCAAATCGTAAGTCAATGGTGGCAGGTGCTGGCTCGGCTGGTTTCGGCGGTAGAGGTTGTCCGGACATGAAGCCGGGGAAGTCTCGTTTAGACTGCGACTCCCCGTTAAAACGCTCTCTGCGATGAAGTGGCAGGTCAGGCTTGTTGGTGATCGGCTTGACTCGGTGATCTCCGCTTATGTTCTGAAACGTCCTGTTGTGGGTTGTATCGAAATTCATTTCCCCTGAAAAGAGGTATATGTTGAATTTATAAATAATTTAAATAAAATCAATACAATACTTCCTCTTTGCTTAAAAGCTGAGAGCGTGAAGATTATATACTTTGAAGGAAAGTGAAAAATTTCACGCTTCAAGGAATCACGCCATTCGACTTGTCCAATTGGTCATCTGACAGAAAGGGCCATTTTGTTCTTATCACGTGACAATCACATGACACAATACCACCTGGCAGCGGCCTCGGTGTAGAACTGTTCATATCATTTTCTTTCATTCCACATCAAAGTATCAACCTAGTTTCTGTTATGCATTGCATACACGGGTCTGCTATCGTCTGTCGCGCTATCTGAACTACCGATCTGACATTACTCGGATCATATTACGCCAGTTACGGTTGTACTCGGGGTATCCAAAATGGTATAGTTGTAAGCAGCGAGGCAATTTTTAAACAATAGAGGTTGACTGACTGACTGACTGAGCTTAGTTTTAGGCCGCTTTTAGCATTATTCCAACAATACCACGGCGGGGGACACCAGAAATGGGCTTCACACATTTTGCCCATGTGGGGATTCGAACCAGGGTCTTTGGCGTGACGAGCCAACGCTTTAACCACTAACCTACCCCACCGCCCCTATAGAGGTTGACGACAGTGTGAACAAGCTGTGCAGCCTGCAGCAAGCATGATGTGCTTGTTATCATTGTGGGACACAACCCAACCCACACACCACGTTGGTGGTAAACATTAATATCCCTTTGGCGGTAAACCCAAATATATCCGTTAGGGTTTTTTCCTCAAACTATGTAAATCATTATCCACCTGTTTTACCCTAAATTCATATTTCTAAAAAAGGACGTAGTTGGTGAGTTTGATTTTATTAATATTCCCGCCAACACTAGCCGTCGGTAAGAACGATTTTATTAATATTCCCGCCAACACTAGCCGTCGGTAGGGGACGATTTTATTAATATTCCCGCCAACACTAGCCGTCGGTAAGAACGATTTTATTAATATTCCCGCCAACACTAGCCGTCGGTAAGAACGATTTTAGTAATATTCCCGCCAACACTAGCCGTCGGTAAGAACTTCAGAAACAACCAAGAACATTGTATTCCCCGTTGATACTAACCTCACAAACGTCCAGGCACATTTGCATATTCCGTTGACATTAACCTGAGAAACAAACATGTACCTTGCATATTCCGCTGACTATACCTCAGAAAGAACCAAGCACATTGTATATTCTGTGTATGACACGTTCTGCGGAACATCTCAGAACATTGTATATTCCCTTGACGCTTTCTGCAGAAACAACCCAGAACATTGTATATTCCGTTGACACGTTCTGAAGAACAACTCAGAACATTGTATATTCCGTTGACACGTTCTGCAGAACAACTCAGAACATTGTATATTCCCTTGACACGTTCTGCAGAAACAACCCAGAACATTGTATATTCCGTTGACACGTTCTGCAGAACAACCCAGAACATTGTATATTCCGTTGACACGTTCTGCAGAACAACTCAGAACATTGTATATTCCCTTGACACGTTCTGCAGAACAACTCAGAACATTGTATATTCCCTTGACACGTTCTGCAGAACAACTCAGAACATTGTATATTCCCTTGACACGTTCTGCAGAACAACTCAGAACATTGTATATTCCGTTGACAACAACTTCATAAACAGCATATTCCGTGGCCACTAACCTTCAATCTTGATGTTGGTGATACCCGGTCTGACCTGGTCAGCGGGAGGGGCGAACCTCCCGAGAAAGGAGTTCTTGGTGGTACTCTCAGGCAGATAGTCTTTCTCAGGGAATAAGATGGACCCTGGTGAGGAAGTGAAATATATCATACAAGACCCGCTTCCACGTGAGATCAAGCAATATATGTCCTGGGATCACTACAATCAAATACATCACAGTGCTGGTTCGCCCTCCTTGTACACTTAAGGCACTAGTATAACTGATTACACAGAGACAAAGGATTAAGGGATAATTTGGGATGACATACAAAAAACGGCATGTCGGAGTGTCTTATCAACGTCAATGACATCAACACTCGATGTGTGCGTCAGGTGTTGCACTGGCTACAGAGACACACGCTTTGCCATCACCCTTTAATTCTTACAGGAACTCAATCTAAAAGTTAAAAACCTCCCCCCATGAAGTTCCGACCAAACAGGTCACTGACTGACATCGTCAGCATCGATATACGCATACATCAGCAAGATAGTTGAGCTTATCCACCGATCTGGTTACTCGTCTCTTACAACAATGCAAGAATTGGAAGCAGTGCACCTCTTTCAAACCACAACCCCAAGGGATGTACATGCACTTGATTGCCCCTTGCAAGGCTGATCCAGTCGTTCCCGCTGCTGTGCAGAGTTGCATCCCTTGGGCTCGCCAGAATCTTATGATTGTGGATTCGGATCCTGGTTTGCCCATATTAAGTTTCTAGGCTGTCAGCACCATACTCGTTCTTGTGTGTGTAACCAAAATGTAAACGTCTGGCAACTGCATCAGTTTGGGCTTCTACCCTCAGTAAGACGACGCGCCGACATATAAGAGGCATACTGCTCAACGCGGCGATAAAACTAACTCACTCACTCAGAAACAATGATATATGTCGTTAGATCTAACCTGCAAAACTCGGCAGCTCTCCGAAAGGCACGCTCGGCTGGGGCACCCAGTGCTTGTAGTGTTGCTTGTTGGTAGTCGAACTTTCAAATTTAGCAGACGACATTTTAAGTTTGTCTCGCATAGGGTAGACCCGTATTTCCGGTTCCGCTTGTTTAGGAATGAACTCCTTCTGGTATGACGTTGTAGCGTCTAGGGGGATGTCTAGACGCTCATACTTGTCCTCCTGAAAACATAAGACGCCACTTAGATTCTGGATGTATGGGATCACAGGTAGCCCAGTCGCTGTGCAGAGTGTCATCCCTTTGGCACACCGGGAACTTAGGATTCCCAGTATCTGATTTGCCAGCTCCGGTGATATAACAATGGTCATGAATTTCACCGAAGGGGATGACGTCTCAGACCTGCATCACTTGTAGCTTCTTCTTCATCAAACAGGCACATCATCACTTGGTATGCTTGTTGTTGTTGTTTATTGTTTAACGCTGCACTCAACAATTTTCCAGCTATATTGCAGCTGTCTGTAAATAATCGAGTCTGGATCAGAAAATCCAGTGATCAATAGCATGAGCACCGATTTACGCAACTGAAATCCGGTCACAGGTCAGCGAGCCTGACCCCCCGACCTCGTCAGTCGCCTCGTACGACAAGCATTTGTTGCTGAAGATCACTTCTAACCTGGATCTTCACGGGTCTGCATGATTATTTATAGCTAGGTTAGACCCACCTCACTAACACAGTCGCTTCAGTACAATATGCTGCTTCTCAAAGGTGCTTTAGTTTGGCATTGAGTTTTCAAGAACCAATCTGAGAAGCGTAATGTCTTGAACTGAAATAAACATCACAAACACTCTCTTCGTGATTATTGAAAATATTTTACAATATACTTCTGTATTTGTGATCATTTTAATAGCTTTTACTCTTTGCATTTTGAATATGCGTTTGGAAAATAAACTAATTTTTGAAGATATTTAAAAACAGAAATGTCTGTATATATGATCATTTCAATTGCCTATATTGTTTGTATTTAAATATTCGTTTGGCCAATACACTAACGTTGCTGAAGATAATCAAAAATATATGATTCTATATGAGAATATCATTGCCTTTTCTTGGTTGTATTTTTCAAAGTTTTTAGGCCAGTAAACTAAATGGAATCATCCGAATACTGAATTGGGACAGCTTGGCAGTGATCTTTTAGTAATTATTTAAAAAAACACAAATGTACGCACCTGAACAATAGGCTTCACCCTCTCTACATTGGTCGGCCGTCTGAACTCGAATCTTTGGTTCGTCTCAAAGAACATGGGCTTCCCTGCATTTTCCGGCGGTGGACTGGGAGGGGGGCGCTTGGAAGAGCGAGGTCGTGGATGTTGCACTGCCTGAAACGTTGCTTGGTAGTCAGTCACTGGAAACTTTTCATGGCGGCGGGTCGTTTTTGTGAGTCGCCCCATTTTCTTGTGGCGACTGTTGGAAAATAATATTACTTTTATCCTCTTTAATCCAAATTGTCCACGTGTTCGTTAGGACAATATAACACATATAATTTATAAAACAGTCTGAGTGAGGCACATGTTATTTACGCTGAATTAAAACGGTATTTCAGATATATCGCAGCGTGTCTGCATACAATCATATTTGTGCTCTTTATCAAAACATTGTTACATCTGTTTTCGGGTTGGAGGGGTAGCTCCGTGGTTCAAACGTTCGCCCGTTACACCGAGGACCCGGGTTCGATTTACCACATGGGTACAATGTGTGAAGCCAATTCCTTGTGTCCCCGCAGTGATATTGCTGGAATATTGCTAAAAGCGACGTAAACCATACTCACTCACTCACTACAGTTCGTCTGATTTCATTTGAGACCGATGTATTGCTCACTAACACAAATATTTAATAACTGCGACAAAATCAAATTTTGCACAGTCACATGAAATCGACAGACCAACTCTGATGATTTGTCTCAAAATTTGGGACATCCGAATAGTAAAGTTGTTTAACAATCATTATTTTGTTGTCACTCTTCGCTATTTTTTACCTGGGGGACCACTTGCTGGTAGAACAGCCAGGTGTGGGAGTTGCACGTGTGAAAATGAAATTTCATTACCCCAAAACAAAAAAATACATCCGTCTTCTCTACATCTGTGTTGACGTGTGAGCAGAGTTGCCTCCCATGTTTTCTTTAGCAGTAGCGAGAACTGAATATACGATTCGATTTTAAGGACTTTGAGGATCGGGGGTCAGGCTCGCTGACTTGATTCAATCATGTTATGGTATCCAGATCGATGCTCACGGTGTTAATCATTAGATTGTCTGATTCAGACTCGATAATTTACAGACTGCCACCATATGGAGGGGATAATCCTGAGTGTGACGTTTGGCAGAATATTATGAAACTGCGGAAAAAACAGTGATGGATATAACCTACTCTCATCGTTTTTAGAACTCATGCTTTTATCGTTTATATAGTAGTTCACAGTGGTAAAATAGCATATATTGTATCTGTCGTGTTTAGTTATGCTGAATCTGTGATATTACCTTATTGTCGTCGTTTGATGACTGATAGAAAAACTGCAAATGTGCCGTCAACCATGCACCCAGTCACTCTCACTTCTCGAGACAACACACGCAATGTAAATTAACGTCTTCCTATCCAGTTACTCCGCGGAAAAGGAGTTATATGACCTTTAAAACCTGTCCCAGCCAAAAGCCAAACCGGCCATAGCAACCATCGAGATAATCCCCCCTCATTATGTGATTATGCATTAATCTCCAGTGATAATCTTAACTCAAAACCATCAAACATTGCGTTCAATAGCTATATAATCCTAATCGAAAATCAATCCATTCAGTTGCTCGGGAAAGGAAAAAAAACTCATCAGGTTTACAAACACGCATACCATTATCAAAATATACATTTTTTACAAACACTTTCCGCATGTTGATTTATGGATAAATTACTTTTGAGTTGACCCCGACCTCGGCGATACTGTAACACGCCAGTCGAAATCCCGAGGGGGTAAAAACGTTTTGGTTGGTAGGTAACGCACAATGGGCGTTCTGACGACGCTGCTTATCGCATTTCAGATAAGCCCTAGCGTGTTCTGGCATACAGCTATAAACTCATTTGTGATCAAGTAACATTATTCAATCGACACACATTACTTTGAATGGCCGTGGGTTATACATAAGGAGGGTTATGAAAGTTACCATTACGTTTCAGTTGCCGAGGTATTGAGTGACGACAATGTACATTTCGAAACGAATAGACTCGGTTATGTGAACATACATTCAGATAAGGCGCACATAGATAAGGGGTTAAGGTGAAAGGTTACACTATCTAGGCGGTGCTGGGTCGGCGTTAGATGTGTATTAATTCATTGTGTGAATTGAATATGTTTTTATTGCGAGTGTATGCTCGACAATATGCCGTATTATTGTAAAGGTAAACTTGTGATATTGCTACCTTGCTGTCGGGGAACATATGTATTATGAATACCGGTACATTCCGGTGTCAACGCTACAGTGTCAAGCACAGTTTGAATGGGCAGGTAATAATAGAGGTACTTTGGTCTATTGCTAGCCTATGTATGCTGTTTAACGCCGCAATCGGGTTTATTCCTACCCGTGAAGATCCGGGTTAGAATTGATCTTCAGCAACCCATGCTTGTCGTAAGAGGCGACTAACGGGATCGGGTGGTCAGGCTCCCTGAATTGGTTGACACATGTCATCGTATACATCCCAGCTGCGTAAGTCGATGCTCATGCTGTTGATCACTGGTTGTCTGGTCCAGTCTCGATTACTTACAGATCGCTACCATATAGCTGGAATATTGCCGAGTGCAGCGTTAATTAACACACAAACAGAATTATTCCAATTTCATGTCGGCAGTATTTTGATAATGGAGTCTGGACCAAACAAAATGCGACTATGCTTGTCGTAAGAGGCGACTAACGGGATCGGGTGGACAGGCTCGCTGACTTGGTTGACACATGTCATCGGTTCCCAATTGCGCAGATCGATGCTCATGCTGTTAATCACTGGATTGTCTGGTCAGACTCGATTATTTACAGACCGCCGCCATATAGCTGGAATATTGCTGAGTGCGGCGTAAAACTAAATTCACTCACTCACTGGACCAAACAATCCACCCATTGAGCGTTCTTCCCAGCATGCAATTAACCAAGTCAGCGAGACTTACCAGCGGTCCTGGGTTGCTGGGACTTATTATCTCAGTAACTGGAATCACGATGGGATTATTGTGTGTGAGCAGGTGGCATTAATAGATCAAGATTGAGTAGTGAGTTTGATTTTACGCCACTTTTAGCAATATTCCAGCAATATCACGGCGGGGGACACCAGAAATCGGCTTCACATATTGTACCCATGTGGGGAATCGAACCCAGGTCTTTGGCGTGACGAGCCACCACCCCCAATATATCAAGATAAAAGTAAAATCCAAAATCGTTGATGGGAGGAATCAACACGGCGGTATAACAGTATCATGTCTTTATTAAAGTGGCAAACAAATTAAATATACATGGAAAAGATATCCGGAAAATATTTAATCGACACCATCATGTTTGAAATAATATTAGCAATTAAACTCGATAAATAACAACATAACGGGAATGCATGAAATACTCTTACCAAAAAGTGTTAGTTGCTGACAAAATTGGAATTACAATTATCCATAAACCTATGTGTCTCCTCAGATTTATAAAAGAACTATTACACAAGGACTGAATATAATTGTTCGGCGTGTTACAGTAATACAAACACATTTAGAAGAAAACAGCATTCTCGTTCGGATACAAGATCTGTTCAGTAGTTCCATTTATGTATTCACTATATTGGTCTTGCTTTATGTGGTAACTTCGCCTACTGATTTATGTCCCCTTTATACCGAGCGTCACACCACTTCGCCTACTGAGTTATGTCCCCTTGGTACTGAGCGTCACACGGGGTGACAACTCTCATTCTTATGGTATGAAGCGACCTGGGGGATCAAAGTTCCAACTTTCTAGGCAGGTGTTCTACCCACTAGACCACGTAGTCGGTCCCAAAACGAACGAAGCGATCTTTAAACCTAATTTGGGGCTATGGGTAGCCTAGTGGTTAAAGCGTTCGCTCGTCAAGCTGAAGACCCGGGTTCCATTCCCCACATGGGTACAATGTGTGAAGCTCATTTCTGGTGTCCCCCGCCGTGGTATTGCCGGAATATTGCTAAAGGCCGCGTACAAAAAAAACCTCACTCACTTTAAACCCAATTTTAAAGAAGCTCGATCCATGTGTTTAACACGCTGTGATGAAGATCGAGATATACGCCCCCCTGTAGGATAAAGACATGTACGACGAAACGGACCTCTCTATGAGCGATGTATGTTTATATAGACTGTTAAAAGAAGCTTTGTAAATCAAATGCATTTATTTATCTTGATGTTATAAACCTAGTGACGACTCTTCTTGTTGACTACACATCTCACGAAGACACTCGATACCGCTGTATAAACCTCTAATACACAACACAAACACACCTGCTGAGTGCCAGGGTAGAGCCAATCGATTGCTCGTCTCGACGAATTGATTTAGAATAAATGTTTTGATTTCATGCAATGCAGGGGTCGTATCGACAGTTCTGTAAGTGTTATTCGATATTGACTTAAGAAACAAATATGTTTGGGAAGCAATTAATTGAATGACTCACCGTCACGGTGAATGGGTCTCTTTGACTTTTCTCTTTTGAGATTTAGATCTTATCTTACTGTGGATTTAGTACACTGGCAAATTGTGCTTGTCATGAGATCACATGCAGTGGTCTAAGTCGGCACCAATCACACGACCCATACGACATACATGTATACTGATAAGCAAAAGAAACTATACGATTTTCAATAGAGTGAGTGAGTGAGCTTAGTTTTACGCCGCACTCAGCAATATTCGAACTATATGGTGGCGGTCTGTAAATAATCGAGCCTGGACCAGACAATCCAGTGATCAACAGCATGAACATCACTTTACGCAATTGGGTTACGATCCCGTTAGTCGCCTCTTACTACAAGCATGGGTTACTGAAGATCAATTCTAACCCGGATCTTCACGTGTTATTTTCAATAGAGAAAACAAGCTAGTATGTTTAGAAATAATATATTTATGAGGGTTATCATAGTTGTGTTTTGGTCCTTGCGTTTGCTATGTTTCAGCCAAGTAAATTTGTTATGGTTTAAAAAAAAAACAGGGAACAATAATTATAGTGATGGCAACCAATACCATGGGATTCGAACCCACAATCGGCGGATCCTGCACTGGTTGGGGCGTTATTCTGAAAATGTAAAATTTTGCGCATTACATCTAAAACGGATCTCCTTACCTGAACATATCAGCGGGGTCGATTTCATTTATATAAGTTTTACACTTGCTACTAAAGTACCTAGTTCTATAGTTCTATTTGTATCGTACGATAAACGATTGATTTTACATAAACCCCCACAGAAGAGAACGGGATTCTGGCAGAATAACTGTCAGAGACAAATCTTATGAACAGAAATACAAAACATTTCTAACTCTTTTAGAAATTTATCTTTTGGGGAATTTATTACACGATCAGTACACATTTCAAATTATACGGATGGAAGGGACAGTGAATGCTGTGGTTAGTTTCCTCGTACAATGTGAGAACCCGAGACATTTCCGTTTGCTTGTCTAAAGATTTTAGAAATGAAGTTCATGTCGGTAGAGAGAAATGAAAATTTCCAATTTCTATTGTATCGGTTAAATATCCTTACATAATTATTTATAAGCATGTGGGGAAAAACGAGGGAAAGGTAGTTTTAAAATCCATTCCTTACATGTTTCAGTTATATAATTATTTACACTGATAGTGACTGTAAATTACTGTAACAGTAAAAAACATATTTGTATCAAATAAATAAAGCTAAAAATATATAACCTACTGCATATTTATTTTTTTAAACATCAGAGTCGTGTGAGTGGAGCCCGGCCTTCGGCTTGATAGAGATAGTATTGCAATAAGCTGTGTACGCAATATAATCTCACTCAAGCGTCTTTGAAAGAGCCGTGGTAGAAGCGTTGAGGGGGCTTTTATAACCTTTTGACCGCCCTCCCGACATACCTACACCCTGAACAAGGTGTATACCTTCATTGTACTAATTTTCTGCGTCGCGGGCGATTATACTCTCCTGTTAAACACGAGACATGAATACCATGAATATACGGTCTTGAGGTAATTTATTGGCCAATATCTCTGATATATCACCAGTAAACATAACAGGCAATTGTCATAAAAGCACTTCCGAGGACCCATAGGTAATAAACTATTCTTATCGGCAATGCTTATATGTTGGTAGATTGAAGGCCTAAGAAACTTATGATTTTGACGTAGTTGTATGATACTAGTAAAAATGATGGTATATACTTGTTAATTGAGAGATTCCTTGCATTAGGGCATGGAATTTTGTAACAAGGACGGATATGAAAAATAGTCCGTGATAAATGTATTTTATATACTTGAGAATGCACGAAAACAATATTCTTTTAACATATATAATTGGAATGTAGCCAATTATGACTGAAAAGTTGTTACAAAGACAAAGATTCATGTCGAGAAATACGTGTAGTTCGAGGCATTCGAGTTTTAGAAGTAGTCAAGAGTGAGTGATTATGGTTTTACGTCGCTTATAGCAATATTCCAGCAATATCGCGGCAGGGGGGAACCAGAACTGGGCTTAACACGTTGAACACACGTTGGGAATCGAACCCATGTCCGTATTTACAGTGCAAGCCCCTTCAGTGTCTGCGTTCGTGCGTTCGTGCGCGCGCTTACACAAATCTGGACTAATGTTTTTACAAGTACACTGAGATTTCATGCCACGGATTACCATGGATAGTATCAGAGGTACGGATTAGCTGCGTATCTGCGTAAATTACGCACATACTTCTGTGAAAAGTCAATTCCTATTAAGTCTATTGCGTACAAGTACGCTTGAATTTTCGTAAATACTCAATAAATGTGATCTTACATGCGTACACAGGAAAATGGCAAATCTTAGCTTGCGTACCGGTAGATAGATAAATAACTGAGGTATACTGAGGGGGTTCTATTTCAGAACATGAACTTGAAAACTTGCAGTCTTTCTTATCGTTTCTCATTTTACAGATCAAACATAAATAACAAACACTTAAACTTTTTTAAATTTTCAAAATTAAAGGAAAATGTCAAAATACCCAATTGAATTTAAGTGAAGTGAGTACAATTTATTTGGTTACTCAAAGGAAAATTAGGATACCCAACTGAGATGAACACAAGCGAGTACACAACTCAATGACCCAAATAGTTATCTGTAGCTCTGTAAGATACACCGGCACATTGCACTTACTCAAAGCAACCACAGCAATATTCCAGCAATATCACTGCGGGGGACACACATTATACCCATGTGGGGAATCGAACCCGGGCCTTCGGCGTGACAAGCGAACGCTTTAACCACTTGTCTACGCCACCGCCCCTTCTCTGTAAATGCACTAAGTTTACTAAATATCAGGTTTACAAATTCAAGAAACATGTTAGACTTAGTAAGTGTTCGAATGAAGAATAGAAATTACACAAACAAAATTTAATTCTGTTGTCACATTTTTAAGACATTATCTATCATCAAGTATATATGTGAATACAACTTCACAACATACGTACCCACAATCGCAGAGGTCAGCAATGTTGACATTCTCCGGGAAATCGTCAACGAAATTATCCAAAGAACACGGCTTGCTTTGCGACATATTAGTTGTTGATAAAACAGTCACGTTTTGGCTTTTGAATAAGCAGGATTGTGCAGTGTCGATGTGGCACGTTTGAAACAGAACGGGCTATCAATTTCTATTCTTCAGCTATAACAATCAGCTGCAGCTTGTTAAAATCTCAAAGGTATATAAATCTTGACACATGTTATGTCAACATACTTCTTTCAGACATGCTTTCTCAAAACACTAAGCCAGTCACCTGCTGGAAGTGTACCTAGCAACGCCTTGTGTGACAACGGCTGTTCCGTTAACCTCCCACTATTTTTCGTGTCTTGATAATCTCAGCACAATTTATGTACGATGGTATATTTCATGTAATCATGGGATTACAATTATACCTGTTATACCTTATGAACATTTAAATAACTTGCTTTTCTGAAGCTATCCTAAAATATATATTTTGAAATTAATTAAATTCTGATTTAATGCACAGTTGATTATAGTTTATTTCTTGATGTTATATAAATTTAAACATTGTAGATATCAATGAAATGTCATGCTGTGAGATATTGTTATCTTTTGGACGATCGTATTATTGTATTTTACATGTTGTGTGCGGCTAACTTGAGTCACATGACAATCCAAGATGGCGACGATCGACATTCGTCTGAAGAAAGTGAACAAGGTTTATAGGGAAGGGGTAAGTTTGGATTGATTTGTCAATGTACTTGTCATCATGCAAAGCATAGTCCGTATATGTGCCCTCGTAAGAGAATCAAGCAATGAAATGGTAAATCTAACTGTTATTTTTTGCAGTATTTGCATGTTGGAAATTTCGATGTCCTGTTTTCGATCACCTGATTGCCCCTCCCCTTTTTCGTTTCTCGATGGCGATTATCACTTTGAGTGTATTTCAGGTTGTTTTGACATATTTATTAAGTAAACACGTTAAGTTATTCTTCTGTTACTTTTCGTATTTGTTGCATGAGTGACATTTCTGCTGTAGATCTATCCCAACTGTCCAGTTGACTAACGGGATCGAGTGATCAACTCGCTGACTTCGTTGACAAATGTCATCGTATCAGTAACTGCTTATTTGAGCCCAGACTCGATTATTTACAAAACGTCTTCGGGCCACGCCTTCATATAGCAGGAACACCACTGAGTGCGACGGTTAACAAACAAACTCAACATTTTCTAACTGTGTTGCTTGTACAATGTTAGCCGAGAGCCGCGATGCGGTCCTATACGGGATGGCCTAAAAGTCGGGCCAAGAAAAGTCGGGCCGGGCCGGGCCACCGGGTAATACTAAAATGGATTGCAGATGATTAAAACCCTACATTTGGGTCGATACTCTGACACAAATGCATAGTTTGATTGAAAATGTATAGTTAATGGGAAAAGACCAACACAACAACAAAGTCTACATACCGAGATTCCTGTAGAAAAGACAATATCTTGTTATGTGTTCTGATTAATACATTTTAATGATTCTCTTAGCGTGTGACATCTTTGCAGTAAGTGGTTTTGACTGCAACCTTTCATTATTTGTAAGATTTTAACATTTTATCCATTTAATGTTCTCAAAAGGACGTTTCTGGCACAGGGATCTGAGTGCGGGACGCGTGTAATGACACAAAACTCTGAAATCAAGGTAATGACTGTCATCTGTCGCTCTTCAACTGTTCTGATTATACATTTTAATGCCTATATGGTTAAGCAACCCATTATTTTACATTTTAACATTTTATCCATTTAATGTTCTCAAAAACATCATCAAGGTATTATTGTCGAACTATGTATACTTTGTAGCCTTTATGGCACATGGAAGAACATGAACATTCGGTGTTCGATTGTAATGTGAACTTATTGTAATGTTTTTAATTTTGAAACTTTCAATATCATTAAGGGTGGTGGAGACAGTGTTCACCAAAGGCTCAGGTGTATGTGTGAAGACGATTTCTGGTGTACCCTGCCATGATATTGCTTGAAGATTGCTAAAAGCAGCATTAAACCATACCCACTCATTCATTTAATTGCCTCACCATATTTCAGAACAATTAATGTATTTTAATGGCATTAAATCATCTTAGATAATGAACGGATGAACTCCTTTTGTTTCTCTCAGGATGTCGTATCCGGTGTTGTGGTGGTGCAGAGTCGTGGGGAGTTACAGCACCAGGGCATCACCCTTGCGGTAGATGGCGTTGTTAATCTACAGCTCAGTGCCAAAAGTGTTGGCGTCTTTGAGGCCTTCTACAACTCTCTCAAGGTAGGAGGCAAATTTAGACAATAGCTTGGACAGGCCTGACAGTCAATGCTTGACCCATCATCACCTGAAAATGCCAGTAGGATCTGGCAGAGCAACATAATTAGTGACTGACATGAGACAACACCATCTGTCTCTGACATTGACAGTTCTGCTTCTTTATGTGGAGGTGAGGTGAAATTGGGTTAACGTCGCACTGGAGAATATTTCGCTAATATGATGACGTGCATGCGTGTGTATGTCTATGTGCAGCTGCTTGTATTATCCCAGACTGAAGCTGGTTTTATAGTGCTAGCCCACTGAGATACCATGCCGCAGTGAAGCATGAATACCCCACTCAGACACATTATACTGACTCCGAGCCAACCAGTCCTTGTTGTACCCATTAATGCCGAACGCCAGACAGGGACCAACAAGTACCATATTTGTACGTCTTATGGTATGACGCGGTCAGGGATCGAACCCACGACCTTTCGCTCTCTGGGCGGACGCTCTAACCACTACACCACGGAGGCGGTCCAACATACTTAGTGACTGACATGAGGCAACACCATCTGTCTCTGACATTGACAGTTCTGCCTCTTTATGTGGAAATTGGAAGACAGTTGACTGCTACTAGGTCTTGTTTACATTTTACATTTATGTTATTAAGTTAACGTAACATCAGGAAAAGTTGTGGCCAGGAGTGTTTGTTTGAAACGTGTGAAAATTTGACTAGTTTACATATATCACTATTCCATATTTTGCTTCATATGATCACAACAAATGTTATGCCTTTTTTTGTAAGAGGATGAATGAACATCTTTTTTTTGTAAAAGGTGACTTACAGTATCGGGCTGTCATTCTCGGGGACAGTTGTTTCAAGACATTTTATCCCAGTTGCATTGATCAAAGTACATGTGTCAATCACTGGATAGTTGGCTCTTGACTTGATTAATTTACAGACTATCAAATCTTTAATATTCCTGAGTACAGTGTTAAGAAACAAAAATACTCACAATGAACAGTCTGCATGTCACACCCATCCGTCAGTAACAGCTTATCTGATTGTTTTAAAGAGAATCAGAGTATGTTCATAAGACCCACATTTACAGTAATGTAGGCTGGCTGGCTGGCTGAGTTTGGTTTTACGCCGTTTTTAGCAATATTCCAGCAATATCACGGTGGGGGACACCAGAAATGGGCTTCACAAGTTGTACCCATGTTGGGAATCGAACCCGGGCCTTCGGCGTGACGAGCGAACGCTTTAACCACTAGGCTACCCCACCGCCCCAGTAATGTAGGATTTAAGTTTGGAGAATTATTATGATTATGATTATTTACCACCATATAGCTTGAGCGCGACGCTAAAGAACAAACCAACCAACCTTGTTCTTCCCAGACTGAATAATGAAAGAGTTACATTTTCACAAGTCTATTGTCCCAGGTACATGCATCTATGCATAATTAGGTAAACTGTGTATGCCATGGTTGAGCTATTTGTTTGATAGATACCCATGGTTTAGAGTAATAGGTGATTTGGGGAAAATCAACATTATTTAACAGAAGAACAAGCAAGATTGAGATCAATGTCGACTTGATCCAGGTGGAAGTAAATACCTTGCCAGAGCATAGACACCCCTTCATAGTGACTTGGCCTGCTCTGGTGAGTCAGTGGGGCTCATGATCACCAATATTAGGTAGTCTAGTTTCAGTGTTAACATAGGTATCTGAGATTTAATTTGTTAGAAAATCTGACAGAAAAGGCACATTCCGATCGTGAAGTGAAATCCGGTATAGACACAGACGTAGTCCTCTGAAGCTGAAGACAAGAAGTGTATTTAGGTTGAATATGCAAGACCCGTGAAGGGCCGGGTTAGAATATTGATCTTCAGTAACCCATCTTTGTTGTAAGAAGCGACTAACAGGATTGGGTGGTCAGGCTCGCTCGCTTGGTTGACACATGTCATCAGTTCCCACTTGCGCAGATCGCTGCTCATGGTGTTGATCACTGGATTGTCTGAATCATTACCACAGTCTGTCCAAATGGTTATTTACAGACCACCGCGATATAGCTGGAATATTGCTGCGTACGGCGTAAAACTACACTCACTCACTCACCATAACCTAATAAATTTTAAGATGCACTCACACAAATACAAATGATCAGTATTTCTTGCAGCTTGTAAAATGCATATGCATGGTCTTTCCTCGACTCATAAACATAGTTTTAAGAGTCCCTGCTGGCAATATGAGGGTCTGTGACAGTGTAGAGAACTGTATGTTTTGATAATTTCTGTAGCGCCTGGAATGAATCATTGATCATGTGGATTGATGGATGTAATGATGCATGTAACTGCTCTGAAGGAAACAACCAAACACTTAGCAAGTCATAGATGTGTTGTGGGTGCAGTGAATACTATTGTGCGCCCATTGTTTACATTTGTGAATAGTGGACTCACAATAGCGCATTGAGTGAAACCCTGCATATAACAGAATGAGTGAGTGAGTTGGGTTTTACGCTGCTTTTAGCAATATTCCAGCAACATCACGGCGGGGGACACCAGAAATGGACTTCACACATTGTGCCCATGTGGGGAATCGAACCCGGGTCTTCGGCGTGACGAGCGGATGCTTTAACCACTAGACTACCCCACCACCCCGCATATAACAGAACTGAAATGTCATATGACAGTGATATTCTTAATATCATTATCACTGGTGGATAGACACCATTCCACATAGGCGGATCCAGAGGGGGGTTGCAGGGGAGCGCACCCCCCCTTTTGCCCTGAAAGTTTATTAAATGACCATTGAAACTCTCATGAAAATGAAGTGTGCACCCCTCCTTTGCTCAATAGTGTGCATCCCCCCTTTCTGAAAAAGCTGTATCCGCACCTGTTCCACATGGATATTATAGGTCATATACAGCAACAGAGAAAGGCTGAATCAAAAGGTAAACTATAACATATGTTATATTTAGGATTCCACTTTCTCAGTAAAGTACAGATTCATGTACTTTTGTTAGGTTGAGTCCCATCTGGGATTTGAGCCCATGCTCTCAGAGTCAGGCACCTAATTGCCAGAACACACAGTCAGCCATCTAACCCACTCAGCCGCCGATACTTCCAAGAAAATAGAAGCCGGACAACTGGAGTCTTTTTTGTCTTTTCTGTAGCCCTCTGACAAGTGTAAATTGGCACGGCTGCCACAGCTGATATCTATGAATACACAAAGTCTTTTATAGAATGGTCAAATGGGACATATGTGTCGGTAACTGTAAACTAATAAACTGATTCCAAGAAATCTTTGTCAACATATACAGGCTTTCACAAAAGTAATTTCCCATCCACTCTCAGCTTGCCTGTCACAGAAATATTAGCAGACATCACTGTGACAGTCTGTGACTTTAACCACTGGTCTGAAGCCTGAGTAACGTTCTGTTTGGTCCAGTATGCCAAGCAGACAATGGTTCATATGATAACACAGAGCATTAATGGAAATTTTGTAAGGTCATGTTTGGGCAAGTAGACTCAAACATGTTGGGACAGACTGTGGTAATGATTCAAACTTTCAGAGTGAAATATTGAAGACATTTTGGTATTTAAATTTGTTTGATATGCACTCTGCTGTGCAAGTCATTTGTGCCATCCCTGAATAAGAAGCATACAAATTTTTGTGTACTTGCTGTTTAATTACACTCAGCAATGATGAACTCCAGCTGTGTATGATCAAGCAGAGGCCCAGATAAGCTGCGTATCCAGGTAAAATACGCATAGATAATTTCCAATTACGCATTTAAAAATAATTGTTGCGTACCAATTAACGCATTTAAAATGTTAGATACGCAAAAGGTTTAAAACAAATGCGTACGGAATATATTTATAAAAATCGCTTGCGTAATGAAAAAGACGTTGATTGCTAAGTTGTACTGTTAGTATAGGACAAGTGTTGTACTGTCAGTATAGGATGAGTGATTTTTTATGAAATCATTTCCATTATATTTAAGTTGGTTTTGATTAGGTATGACATAAGTCAGAACATACCTGCTTAGTAAACTTACTCAATGACATAATACCTAGGTGAGTAAAATGACTGAAGTACATGTACGAACATATTTGAAAGCAGTGGGTAAGGAAAATGAAATACCCACTCAACATTCATAATACCCACTCCAAAAAAATACAGTGGGTACAGTACCCACATGAGCTAAATCTTATCTGGAGCTCTGATCAAGTCAGAATCAGATAATCATGTGATTGCCATTGTGAACAACGCCATCAGTGTACAACCCTTATATTACTGCTTCTATGTGTCTTCATGTTTTAGTTCTCACAAGACATACAGGATGTGAAGAAGAGTAAATGCTGACACTTGAGATGTAAATTATCTAAACAACAAACAAGAACATGTTTGTATGGTGACACACTGTCATCCTAGCCACCGAACCTGGCCACCAGATCCAGCTGGTCAACTGCACCATTTTATTCATCATTTGGCATGGTGGGCGAGCAGTCTAAGGCGTCAGGCTAGTGATCCAGCAAACTTGAGGTGACGGAATCGAGCCCACCTGGGACCGGGTGTAAAATGCTTGGAGTAAACTTTGTGTGCAGACTCTTTCAGAGTTGTCACAACCTCTAGTTTACAGTACACAACCCTGTGCACTTAAAAGAACCCACGATCCGTTGGTAGATGACCAGATGGTGGCCACATGAATACGTGCAAACACCTTGTTGCGGGCACAGCAATGTGCAGTAATTTGGACAAAGTACTGTGACTATGTGTCCCAGTCCACCAAGCTGGCAAAAAATGGGTACCTCATAAGGATGGGAAAGCCACATTAACTCGGTGCGCCAAGAGGCTGCAAGAGTTGTATGATCCCCAGGGAGTTGAGATTGGTAATGTGATACCCTGCTGAGATTGACATCCAATGATCAAGGAAAAATAAAGAAGCTCTTTGAGCATGCTTGTAGATGGGATGGACTGTGGCGCTATATAAATACCCATATAATAAGAACTTGTCTGGTCAGTTTAGATTGCTGGAGACCTGGAATACCATGATCAATACAATTTTGTGAATACCATGATTATTATATTACATTTCTTTATACTCCAGCCTATCCAGTTGATCAACTACCACCTCGATGTGGCCAAACCTGGCAAGCTACCATCAGGGAAGACTGAGATCCCCTTCGAGGTACCGCTCAGAGCGAAGGCAGGAAAAACACTGTACGAGACATACCATGGAGTATTTGTCAACATACAGGTGAGTCCTGGTCAATAGTTTGAGGTACCGCTCTGATCTAAGGGGTAGCAACAGTGTACAAGAAGTGTTATGGAGTATTTGTCAACATACAGGTGAGTCCTGGTCAATAGTTTGAGGTACCGCTCTGATCTAAGGGGTAGCAACACTGTACAAGAAGTGTCATGGAGTCTTTGTCAACATATACGTGAGGTTTCCATCTGTTGGACAACATGGTACAAGAAGTGCAATGATGTATCCGTCAAAACACAGTACTTTGACAACCCGCTCTGATTTGAGAAGAGACAACACAGTTTGCTGGAAGTACCTAGGAGTCTTTGTCCATCTTGAATTGATCTTCCGTAAACCCATTCTTGTCGTAAGAGGCGACTAACAGGATTGGGTGGTCAGACTCGCTGACTTGGTTGACACATGTCATCGTATCCCAATTGCATAGATCGATGCCCATGCAATTGATCACTGGTCTGTCTAGTCCAGACTCGATTATTTACAGATCGCTGTCATATAACGGGAATATTGCTGAGTGTGGCCTTAGACAGCAAACCAACCAACCAGTATTTCAAAGATGTATCCAACAAACTATTTACTATCTGTTTAATTGGCATTTAGAAGTTGGTGACTAATAAGAAAAGTAAGATTGTTTATGGATAACAACTTCTTTTATTATATATGATGCAACGTTTCGGTATGGATTCTTATAAGAGTGAAGTACTACAGCACAGAACAGACTTATATACATGAACAGGGATTAAGTAATAACAACATGTAGGTATGAATCAAGGGGGATTAACAATAACAGCAAGGCACGGTGGTAATAATGTAGTGACAATAGGAGGAAGCCAATGGTCCTAGCGGCAGAGACAAAATATACATGGCTGATGAGATTAATTAGCAATGATAGCTGGAGTGGTGTAATCTGTTGTTTTTATCAGTTCATTGTATGCAGAAGGGATGAGATATCCCTGGATTCTGTTGATTGAGGGCTTGTGTCTCCGGATTTGAACTGCTTCTGCAAGTTTTCTTTTGGTGAAGCACCATCTTTTACTAAGCACCATCAAACGATCGATCCGCTACCATCATTTTACTAAGCACCATCAAACGATCGATCCATTTTCACTATTTGGTAAAAACATGACATTTTGGTATTTATTGTTATAGTTATTTGAACCCTTCTTCTCATCAGGAATTTCATATTGATAATGGGGCGGTGTAGGGGTAGCCTAGTGGTTAAAGCGCTCATTTCGTCCATGCATCGAAGACCTGGTTCGATTCCCATACATGGGTACAATGTGTGAAGCCCATTTCTGGTGTCCCCGCTCACCGTGATATAGCTGGAATATTGCTAAGAGCGACGCTGAAAAGCACTAAACTCACTCACTCACTCATATTGATAATGACTTGATCCTTGTGCCACTGTCGTGTTTCAGTACTGTGTGAAGGTGGACATGAAGAGATCTCTGCTCAACAAGGACCTTCAGAAGCAGACCGAATTCATTGTCGAGTATAAGGTACGTACTGGCCACAAACAATTATAATCATCGATGATCTCAGTTTTAATATACTGGACTCTTGTTTTACTATGAGTGTGCTTATTTAACAGTCTCCGATACCCGCCTTTACCAACAGATAAAAAGACAAAGGGAACTGATATCAGGTTTGCCAATTGATATCACGTGTTAGGTCACATGGGCAACTGATCGGTAACAGTATTTGTTGGTTTTACGGAAGAAAGTTATTAAAAAGCAAATTTTTTGTCCTTCACGAAGTTATCAAAATTAATCATCCCAAACTGGCTTCCACAGGAAGTAACCCTTGGATACTGTTCTGTCTAAACTGAAAAAGTTGCAAGAGATATTTTGGATTATGAATATTATGTCATGCTGGTGTCTATTGATATCAGCGGCTTTCCAATGTTTAATGAAGGACTGAAATTAGTGGTAGATACCATACAGCGATCCATGCTGTCGAAATGCAATAATGAAAAGTAAACAAAATTACACGTTTAATGCCTCATGATCCCCTTGAAGATACAGGTTGGAATCGGTCTTCACAAACCGATGCTTGCAGTAAGAGGCGACTAACAGGATTGGATGGCCAAGCTTGCTGACTTGGCTGATCTATGGCATTGTATACCGTATGCATTTATCATTGTCCATGATGTCAATCACTGGACTGTCTGGCCCAGAACCAGTAATGTTTAGTTCTCATCTAGCTGGAATATTAAACAGCAGACAATCAAGCAAACACTCCTCATCTGTTTGTTTCAGGAACAAGAAGAGAAGTCAAAGCCAAAACTTGTCAACTTCACGATCACCCCAGAAACATTGACGAATATAAAGGAGGTACTTACCATGGTTACATTCTCCTCGTACCCAATATGTTCTTATGTTTTGTCCACAAAAATTCATTCTTGTTTTGTCAAGACTCTTTCAGACATAATTGTCAAAATGTCCATGAAATTTGCTGAGCAACTGAAAGAATGTTGATTGGGGACAGTGCCCCTCACGCACTTGTTCACAGTGTGGATACCTGACACTTGACATTAAAAGATAAAATTGGTACAGAGACATCATGCTGCATCTATGTAAGGTATTTATGATAAACAGGAGCACGATGTCACACTGTCTGTCTGTCTGTCTGTCTGTCTGTCTCAGACATGGAACCCATGAAGGTCCGGGTTAGAATTGATCTTCAGAAACCCATGTTTGTTGTAAGAGGCGACTAACAGGATTTGGTGGTCAGGCTCACTGACTTGGTTGACACATGTCATCGGTTCCCAATTGCACAGATCGATTCTCATGCTGCTGATCATTGGATTATCTGGTCCAGACTCAAATTATTCACAGACCACCGCCATAAAGTGGGAATATTGCTGAGTGTGGCGTAAAACTAAACTCACTCACTCACTCTCAGACACGGTATGATGTCACTCTGCCAATTATTCCTCAGTTTTATTTCCTTAATGTCAAGTGTCAGAAAGAATAATAAGTACAAAATTTTGAATGTCTTTTATGACCCTTCCGAAGATCAAACCACTGCTTTCCACTCTCCGGGCTGACACTCTATCCACTTCACCATGGAGGTTGTCTCCCCTGCCAGACCACTAGTAGATAACTTGTTGTAAACAGGTCTTAATGGGTCCCTTTCTGCATTCATGCCCTCCTGCTTGTGCCTTGGATTCTGTTTCTTTGTACCAGGTTTCTGAACGCTGTGATAACTGCAGTGGGTATTTTGACCTCCTACTTGATACTGGTTTAAAATTTAGGAAGAAAAATCATGATGAGGAAGAATTTGATAAAAGTGCTAATTATTGTATTTTATTGTATGTTTCTTTGTTGTTTGTTTCGTTGTAGCTACAATACCTTTCCATAAGAATGTATACTAGTTAGGTCTACCCCGAGTTTCAAGCTTCAAGTTATTCTCAGGAAAGTAGACTTGTTGGATTTGTTCAATGGGTGTGTGTTTTGATTCCAGAAACAGAATGTGCCAAGGTTTAAAGTGAAAGGAAAGCTCAGCTCGTCCAATCTGCAGATAACGAAGCCGTTAACAGGCGAGGTGAGTCACAGTCCACTCCAGGTTCAGATCCATTCATTGAAGAATACGCCTTGGATGAATGGTAGTCTACACCATATACTTTGTGCACATCTGGCAAATTTAAATTGGATTGGCCACCATGGCTGAAAGTTGTGTATACAAGTTGGGGCTGTGGGGTAGTCTAGTGGTTAAAGCGCTGGCTCGTCGCGCCGAAGACCGGGTTCGAATCCCCACATGGGTACAATGAGTGAAGCCCATTTCTGGTGTCCCCAGCCATGATATTGCTGGAATATTGCTAAAAGCGAAAACCAAACTCAGTCAGTCAGTCAGTATACAAATTGATATTTAACAAGTGGTCAGATATAACATATGTTATATTTTGGATTCCATTTTCATTGTAAGGTACTGATTCAAAACTGTTGGCGGTTGAGTTCGATCAGAGATTTATACCCCCAGATCGTGAAATGGTGAGTGAGTGAATGAGTTGAAGAAAAAGTGGATCAGTACTTCACAAACCTTATCCCAAATGTGGCGTTTGAAACGCAGATCCGTTAAGCTGAAGTATCTGAATAAAATATTAGTGTTCTTTTCCCTAAAGAAAGTACTGCATTCAATTTATAGTCTGTGTCCAACAAATGCCCTCATGTTTTGAATTATGAATTTCCTGAAGACTCTGTAATACCAACAGAGTTGTCTCCCCTTACTGTTGTTCAAGAAGTCGTGGAGGCTTCTCTCTGTGGCCTGATTACAAACAGATTGATTACCTCATTAACTTACATTCTTGGCATTATATATATATGGGGCTTAAAACTTATTGCAGTTAACTTATTTCTGTTAAGAATTATTTTACAGATTCTGGGACATTGACAGAAGCGTGGTTTTGTTTGTCCGGGTCATATTGGGAAAGATATGAGATGAAATAGAAGAATCCTACTCACGTGGAGAATGATTTGGCAAATCTACATTAACTCAGCTCTAGACAGAAATTCTTCTTTGTTCAAGGCTTCATTTGGATCTGTTTGTAATTTGTAGATGTGCATTTTCAAATGCGATAATCCTAGCTCTGTGTATCGTGTTTGCGTGTTTTTGTGTGTTGTTGTGTTTTCATGGGGTGCAGTGTGCATGTTTGTGTGTGTGGCATGCGTGTGTGTGCTCGCTGATTTCAATGTTATTAGCTTGTCCCCTCTCTGTTTATGTTCCAGCTGCAAGTTGATCAATGTGATGCACAGATCAAGTCTATCGAGATCCAGCTGGTCAGAGTAGAGACATGTGGCTGTGCAGAGGGGTATGCTAAAGATGGTATGTAGTTTCTTGTGTATAATGAGCACTTACGTTAAATGAACACTTACATGTATTGATCACTTACATTTAATGGTCTTTAACGAGTTATGAGCACTCTCTTCATGTACAGTTGCATGTAATAAACAATTACGTTTGATGAACACTTGCATGCAATGAACGCTTACATTTAATATACCCGAGCATGTAATGGGCACTTACGTTCATGAACACTTGCATGCCATAAGCACATATTTTTAAAGAACACATTTATTGCATGTAGTGAGCACTTATGTTTAATGAACACTTGCACGTAATGAGGTCTTGGCGTCAATGAGAACTTTCATTTAATAAACACTTACATTTAACAAACGCATACACAAAATGTGCACTGATATGAAATGAGTACATATGTGCTCTTAAACAAAAAGCACACTTGCTTATAATGAACACTTATGCATTATGAACATTGAAATATAATAAATACTTAAGTAAAATTAATGTTTATTTAGTGAGTGAGCATACTTACATATATCTACAATATAATATCACGGCGAGGGACACCAGAAATGGGCTTCAAACACTGTACCCATGTGGGGAATGGAACCTGGGTCTTCGTGGTGACGAGCTTAACGCTTTAACCACTAGGGTTACCCTTAATCACTCTGGTTATTATGAACTCAAAGGCACCACTAATGTTAGTTCATTATAACCACGGTTTGTTATACACAGTTCGACTGTAATATACATCAAGTGGTCACTTACCACCAAGAAAACATATTTTTCACATCTCTCAATTCTATATTAGCTGTCCAAACCAAACTGTGATTGAAAGTATAGAGCTCAAGAAGTTAACTGTAATTGTTAGAAAATTATTTTGGTGACATGAATTTCTGCTTTGACTGAGAGAAGTTATGATAAAAAGAAGAATAAATATATTCCCCAAATCTCCAAAATTTGAAAAATTAGAAATATATATAGATACAATGGCGAACTTTAATACTTTAACCACTAAGCTGCCCCAATCAGCCCTACATATAATGAATATTTACATATAATAAGCACATTCATATAATGAAGACATACATATAATTTATAATGAACACTTTCATAGAATGCACACTTGTGCTTTATGAGCACTTCTGTATAGTTATGCTCACTTCACTTAGAGTAATCACCACTTCCGTGTAATGAGCTGAAAGTGTCACAAAACCCCACCAACTCACTCACTCACTGTTCCAGCGACGGAGATACAAAACATCCAGATAGCTGACGGAGACGTGTGTCGGGGGCAGAACATCCCTATCTTCATGATCTTTCCACGTCTCTTCACCTGCCCAACTTTGTCAACAAGTAACTTTAAAATTGGTAAGTGAGTCCTTCTGTTTATTGAAATATCTGGGCAGGATTAGCAGTGACAGTGATCCTGTCTCACAACTATGAATAGATGATGCGACTTATGGTCAAAGGGGGGTAACTCAGCATTATGGTCCACGCTGAGCCCTCTCATAAACACCTGCTTCTAATAGACACTCTACCATTAGCTAGCATATCAAAAGGCATATGGACCTCTACTAGAGGAAATACGGTATTTTTCATGCACAGTGGAATCTGTCCAATCCAGACTCTGTGTAATCCAGTTTTCTCCAAAACTGGGCTACTCGCTGAGTCCAGGCAAATTTGTTCTTAATGTATCGTTAAAGCTTGTTTTGTTTGGTCCTCAAAATTTGGCTTATCTACGTTACTATGCGGAAACTCATCATGGCAATGTCTACAGTAAGGGACAAAACTTGTCTAATCCGGACTGCTTTACAATCCGGACAAATGAGTCTGATCCAGGCCAGTCCAGATAGACAGATTCCACTGTATACTCCACAGAAATAATACAGCAGTATTTTATTTATTCATTAAGATTTTATTTACCAGTACATCTTGAAGCTTAATAGTCACTTAACACTCAATCATCTCATTCACAACAACCCGGCTTGTTTGAAATCACAAAGAGCTTCATATACAGTAGAAGTTAATTCGCCAGATCGTCAGAATTAGGAACATAAGACCAGATGTGTTTTTCATCTCTTCCTCGCGAGTAAACGGATTACTGTGTACTAGTATATCGCACAGATAGGGATTTCCTGTGAGTAAGCAATAAACGCCACCCTGACAGGTTAAGCCACTCTGTTTGTTTTCACTGCTATTAGTGGCGGCCAAAGAGGCAGCTGGCAGTTCCGCAATTACTGATTGCGCGAATAATTGACGCTGATGTAGTCTAAACTGACAATTCCATTCGAAAATTGCACCACGCCGAAAATAAGTATCACGCTTACAGTATATTTCTCCATGAAAGAATGCAAATTTATTCGTCCTGAAGCAGGTGTGGCTAAATCTGTTTTCAGTTTATGAAAACATGTCACAAAGTAACAGCAGAGACCCTAAATAAAAATTTATCATATGGTCTCTGGTAATAGCACAGTAAGCCAATTAAATACTGCAGAACTGCTTACAATTTACTACATGTTGTTTATTACATGGAGGTGGTGTTCTGGTTTCAGAGTTTGAGATCAACATTGTACTTGTGTTCCACGATGATCACCTAGTGACAGAGAACTTTCCCATCAAACTGACCCGCTTCTGAACAACATATGACGGTGCTTGTCGCAACTCTTTGAAGGCAGTACATGTGACTGCCAAACGTTGTCATCACGACAGATGGACCGACAATACTGTACCTCAGCCACCTACAGCAAGGATTCAGTTAGACCTGCCCAGATACCTACATTCAGCCCAATGTTTATAGTTTTTTTTTATGTAAAAATTCCCACCCAAATGAGAATTGTAACTTTCCCATCATTCTTATAAATTTGTCGGTTGAAGAGATTGATAACAGCATGATGAAATATGATGATCAACTAATACAAGTACTGGAATCTGATAAAGTGTTATCCCAAATATAACAATATACATTTGACCTCTTTCTAAATGGCATTCTGTATTCATTAATAGGAAGAGGTTCATTTCTTTATTATATTGAACGTAATGTTCAAATGCAAAGTTGAAATATCTGGGAAGACACAAATCTAAGAGATATCAAGTTTGAACAAACTATTTTCATTATTATTGCCTGTGAATGGCATGAGTTAGTATAGATGCTGTATGTATCCCTGAACAATGGATCATGTTTAGCACCACTTTAAACAGTATGTCAGTTACATCACTGTGTGTCTGGTTGATAGTAGTGCTGAGATTTTGTTGGACATCAACATGTTTGAATGAATGTGAAAATTTGTAAATATAATATTGTACATAAATGTCATCATTTATGATATGTAAATAAATGAATGTAAACAAATATTCTTTTGTCTTGTCACAGAAAGTTTGGATATGTTTTCTTCATATGTTCTCTCCATCTTTGTTGGGGGAGCATGAAGGGCGAAGGGAAGCCTACTAGCCTAGTGGTTAAAGGGTTCACTCCTCATGCTGAAGGCTTGGATCGATCCCAAAATGGTGTGTGTGGTAAACGCTGTATAAACCATACCCACTCACTCACTATGAAAAACCGGTCGAGACCCGGGTTAGAATTAGTCTTCAGAAACCCATGCTTGTCGTAAGGGGCACTCCGTGGTGTAGTGGTTAGGTCGCGGGGGTCGATCCCGGCCGCGTCATACCAAAAGACATTATAATGTGGTACTTGTTGGTCCCTGCCTGGCGCTCGGCATTAATGGGTACAACAAGGACTGGTCGGCTCGGAGTCAGTATAATGTGTCTGAGTGGGGTATTCATGCTTCACTGCGGCATGGTATCTCAGTGGGCTAGCACTATAAAACCAGCTTCAGTCTGGGCTAGTACAAGCAGCCGCACATACACATACACACGCATGCACGTCGTCATATGAGCGAAATATTCTCAATCACGACGTTAAACCCAATTTCACCACAGCTCACCGTAAGGGGGGGGCAACTCTGGTGGTCAGGCTCGCTGACTTAGTTGACACATCGTATCACAGCCGCGTATATCAAAGCTGATGATGTTGATCACTGGATTATCTGGTCGATTATTTACAGACCGCCGCTATATAACTGGAATATTGCTGATTGCAGTGTCAAATAACAAACAAAACAACAACAAACACTCTGAAGAAATCAAACCTGGCCCAAACTGAAGGCAAAGTTTGACTGGTCAAGACTTGCTTGATCAAATGATGCTGTTTGATTACTAGGGCTGTGTATTGGCAAGTAAATTGTCTTGCAATATATTGCGATTCAGGTACCCATGTTGCGATACGTATAGCGATATATTGGGAACATATGTGTTTGACAGTGAGTGACACTAATTGTGCATGTCAGTCCTATTTCCGTAACCCATGCTTGTCGTAAGAGGCAACTAACGAGATCGGGTGGTCAGGCTCGCTGACTCTGACTCAGGGCAAAGACGTTCTGTGACGAGGATCTGAACGTGAGATACAGGCCAAGAGTTCCAAGATGAATCCCGACAATCAGGACAAGGATTGGATTGAACCTACAAACAGAAACAAATATCCCCGAGGTGACTTTGGGATAGAGCGGGATCACTCACTAACTCACTCACTCACCACCACCATCTCCACATGTCATCGGTTCCCAATTGCGCAGATCGATGCTAATGTTATTGATCACTGGATTGTGTGGTCCAGACTCGATTATTTACAGACCGCCGCTATATAGCTGGAATATTGCTGAGTGCGGCGTAAAACTAAACTCACTCACTCACTGGTAATACCGTGCAGTCCTAGTTATATCTACACTATTGCTGACAACTGCCTACAACAGTGTTCACTCGGTCGAGGCAATGAAGGGGAAATATCCAATATGAAAAGGTCCACAACACTGTTGCTTGTAACAGATTGTGGATCAGGTGGCTATACTCGGTAACTCACTGCATGTTGTACTGGATTACTGTAGTTTATACTGTCAATTTTGTTTCCTGTCGACCGTGAAGAGCCAGGCCACCCTCAGCAACCCATGCACGTCGACAAGCGGCGACTAACCGGATCCGGTGGTCAGGTGGATGAGCGTCATGGCATCCCATTCAAGTAGAGCGATATGATTTCAATCACTGGTAAAATTATTAAATCTCTCTCTCTCTCTCACACACACACACACACACGTATATGTTACAGGCAGATTGTGAAATCAGTCACTTCGTGAAATGACTAAGAGGACCAGCCATTTCGCTATTGGCTATATAAATAGGTTTGGACGTTTCTATCAAATTTGATGTAAACGTGCTTGATAACGATTGCCAATGTTCGTGATGCACGCAACAAATCGCCCAAACGCATTTTGTGGCCCCAACTCTCAGAAACACGAAACACAATGTCTTAGTCGGATACATGAGAAAGATCGTGCGAAAAATCAGTATAAACAGGGATAATCTACAACACGTTATATAGTCTCCCTGGTCCCTGGTATAAATGGCCTGTCCAACACTGCAATATCACTGCACATAAAGTCACACAGAGAGAATGCAGAGGTTAACCCAGGAAGAAAGAGAACGAGCAGTAGGGATAGTTGAATGGCTGACCCTCTTAGTTATTTCACGAGATGACTGAAATATTTAGTCATTTCACAAAATGACTGATTTCACAGACTGACTGTAAGATATATAACAATTGCGTGGATCGATGCTCACGATGTTAATCACTGGATTATTCCGTCAAGACTCGATTATTTACAAACAACCGTCTTATGGCTGGATGATTGCGGCCTTAAACAATCTGTATGGTTAGACACCATTACGGGCCGTTATCATGTGGCCGTGACAGTGCTAACTGCTTCTTTTGTTTGCTCAAAAGGACAATCAACTTGAAAAATTAACAGCTGATTGATAATTCCCAGACGATTCCAGGAAGAGAGGTCTGCACATGCGAAAGGCTCAAGGAACATATATTGCACATGCATGACACAGTTGCCTCGTCCAGTTCTTGTGTTAGAAGGGGCTCATCAGAACATTTGTTAACTGTATTCAACTGTGGTTGAAATTGAGAAGACGGTGTTAGCGATTTTTACGTCAAGACATCAGAAGCTCGTGCACTTACCCCGCCAAATATTGAAGCAAGAGTTGACCAGTTGTAAACATCGCAGAATCTTGTGCACAGTTTCTTCCCTTTGTGGCGTAAGGATACAGTGATCACGGGTTCTCATCTTGCATTACTTGATTGCAAGACTTATCATGCGTCGATTTTATGAAACTGGTAAACATTGCAAAGTGAGTCACATTACTCTCACATTCAGATGACGCAGTTCAGATGCGGTGTTCGGAGCTACAGATAACTTTTTGGGTCATTGAGTTATGTACTCGCTTGTGTTCATCTCAATTGGGTATCCTAATTTTTCTTTGAGTAACCAAATAAATTGTACTCACCTCACTCAAACTCAATTGAGTATTTTGCCATTTTCCATTCATTTTAAAAATATAATAAAGTTTAAATGTTAGTGTTTGTTATTTATATTTGATCTGTAATAGAGGAACGATAAGAAAGACTGCAAGTTGTCAAGTTCATATCCCGAAATAGAACCTCTCAGTAAACCTGTTATTTTATCTATCCACAGGTACGCAAGCTAAGATTTGACATTTTCATGTGTACGCATGTAAGATCACATTTATTGAGTATTTCTCAAAATTCAAGCGTACTTGTACCCAATAGACTTAATAAGAATTGAGTTTTCACATAAATATTTGCGTAATTTACGCAGATACGCAACTTATCTGTACCTCTGCGGTGTTTGATCCCTGGTTATGTTGTCCATAAATGAGCCGGGATTTAGGAGATAAAACAAGGACTTGTCTGCTCATGGTCAGTCAGAGTGGGATGTCCATGATAAACTGGGATAGCATTCTTATAAAATCGCCAGAACGCCAGAAAAAGGCTTCACACATTGTACCCATTTAGGAAATGAACCCGAGTCTTCGGCGTGGCGAGCGAACGCATTATCCACTCGGCTACCCCATCGTCCCGCCTCGACTTGAACAAACACACACACACACACACGTGCATACACGTCTCCTTTTGAGGGAAATAGTCTTGAACGCGACGTTCAGATCCATTTCACTGCTACTAAAAACACAAGTGAAGGCTTATCTTATTGCACTGTTTATGTACAATACATTGCATAGGATTCTTATATACACATATACATGTCGGTAGTTCCTTCTTGCATACGTAATTGTCGTTCATACCAAACAAGGTAACATTAAGGAAAGATATCGGTAGAGGGCTGAAACTACAATATGGTGAAACAGTGTGAAGAGAAATGACGTTACAAAAAGTCGGCTGAAGAGTGAGTGAGTGAGATGGGTTTAATGCCACTTTGTATGATAATCAAGTTATATCACGACGTGTCGGGGGTTCGTTCCTCAAATTATCGTGCCGCTAAGGTGATCGGAACTCCCATTCTTTAACATAGACTTACGACGCAAAGGGAGCCGGGAACCAGCATGGTATCGGAAGTAGCGCCTCGCGAGACTTACAGGCCCTATTGAAAACTGACTGACTGACTGAGTTTGTTTTACGCCGCTTTAGCAATATTCCAGCAACATCACGGCGGGGGACACCAGAAATGGGCTTTACTCATTGTACCCATGTGGGGTTTCGGACTCGGGTCTTCGGCGTGACGAGCCAACGCTTTAACCACTAGGCTACCCCACCGCCCCTCCCTATTGAAAACAATGTCAGGACCTGCGAGCCCCATGTATTACACAAAGATGGACAGTAATTAGTATGATTAGATAAGTAGGACTCACCAGCGTCTGATACAATCAACATTTGTTTAGTCAGAAGTGAAATAAAACTGATATGATAACAATCGAAAAATGTTTGGCAATCAAACACAACACATTTTTACGAACAGGGAATAAATGATGCATCACATATTATCAGTAATATACCCTAACTATTTGATAGGGATGTTACAAAACCAAATAAAATCATGTGCAGTGTTCCGCTGCAAAAAATAATATGTAGTTGACGGGACACGATCCAGGAGTTGAAGTCCAAAAGGTTAGCTGACGCGACCTTCTACTAGGTTTTGTTAGACTCAGTATAGCAGTGTAACGAATAATACTGAGCCTAAGTATCCTTCGACTGGAGTTGAAGGTGTAGTCACATAACTGATTTGCTCAAGTCTCGCGAAATTCACTTATATCTCGCGAGACCTCGTAGCATGATGGAGACCATCATAAACCGGCGTACACAGTATATAAATATTCAGTGTACAGTAGTATCACAGTAGAGATTACAATTTAGTGTTAGTTCTCATCCCTGACAGTTATGTTCGGTCTGGACTGTACTCCTGTAATTCTAAACATCGTATGTACATTAAGCATGACGTTCTTTAGTAAGAACTAAATGAATCAATCGAGACTATAGTGCGTTTGGCTCAAAAGAGGACCGATATATTGCAATCCAACTCGAAAACTAATAAACATATAATACTCAATGAAACACTGATCATAATCAAAACATCAGACCAACTCTGTCATTTGTTTGCAGAATTTATGTCCTAAAATTAACAAAGTTGTTTAGCAAACAATCATTATAATATTGACACAGTTCACTATTTCTTACGAGGGAGGAGTGCAGAGAAAGGGACAGCCAGGTGTTAGAGAAGCACGTGCACAAGTGCCCACAAAGTTATTGATTCATTAACCTGTGCTGTGCCGTCTCCATCCTTTCTCGAACACCTGGCTGTCCCTTTCTCTGCACTCCTCCCTCGTAACAAATAGTGAACTGTGTCAATATTTTAATGATAGTTTGTTAAACAACTTTTTTATTTTTAGGACATAAATTCTGCAAAAAACTCAAAGAGTTGTTCTGACGTTTTGATTATGATCAGTGTTTCATTGAGTATTTTATTATGTTTATTAGTTTTCGAGTTAGATTGCAATTCATAGGTCCGCTTTTGAGCCAAACGGACTGTAGTGTATTATTTTGATGAGGCCAACCAAGTGACGCTAAACTATAAACGTCAACATGTTCTATCACATAACAATCTATAACAACAAAAGTTTAACATGCTAATTCTTTAACCATTCTCACAGCAACAGCTGATTCGACCAGTGAAAAAAACTTATTCTTTAAAACCATGTTTACAAAACAGATCCACATTTTGATGATTAAACGGATCAAATGTCCAGATCCGCTTGCCGCCTCGTGTGCATCTGGTGGTACACTGTCAACGACGTCACCACGACGACCATCGTCACGCCCACGATACTGGACAGCTGAGGAAGATACATACATACAACAGCATCAGTCATACTGGCACCTCATCTTTGTTTGTTTGTTTGTTTGTTTGTTTGTGTGCGTGTTTGTTTAAGTGCGTGACGTGTTTTGGTTTAACGCGTCATTCTGCAATATTCCAGCTATATCAAGGCGGGGACACCAGAAATCTTCAAACAATGGCCAATTGCGTAGATATATGCTCATGATTGTTGATCGCTGGATCATCAGGTCCAGATTCGATTATTTACTGCTCGCCACCCTACAGCTGGACTATTGCTGGGTGCGGTGTTAAACAACGAACAAATTCAAACAATGGATTCTGGGCCAGAAAATCCAGTGATCTGTACAATCGTGACAAGTATAGCATGAATCAGAATAAGATGTGAGCCAACAACTCCTGTTAGTCGCCTTTTACGGCAAGCACGGGTCGAACAAGTTACGCGCGCCCGCACACGAACGCACACACACACACATGATGTTTGGGGGCGGGATCACAAATGTCATAAGTACCGTTCATCAAATTATGGTCATAACTTTCCAGTTAATAACTACAGCTTTGTTTTTGCACGTTCTATTTAGTAATTGAATCGAACTGAATAGAACTGAATCGAAATGGAAGTCACATTGGTCCGTGGCTTCTTAATTATAAGAAATGTTTAAATAATGATATAAAATGTGTACATAATGTGGGAGGTACCTTCATCCAAATATGGTATCTTGTCCACACATCGATAAACTGTATCTTCGCCAGAGCGAGGCTGCAGGGGAGATAAGCCTCGGTCTTCCGAGATTCTTTGCACCTGTACAAACACAAAATTCTTGTAATAACTTCGGCGGGTTGTAATATTCATTGAGGCTACAGGAATTAAAAGCACACTGAAGACATATTTCAACACTACAGGATCATTGGCATTAGCCCAGGATTCTGGCACGCCAAAGGGACACAAGTCTGCACAGAAAATTATGATGTCCAAGGTGTCTGATCCACAGGTTCTACAGTCGGCATCAGGATCTGGACACACGTAATAAGCGGAATGTAACACGGCAAACACTGACCCTCACTATCATTGGAAACGTATGATCACTATAGTAAACCGCTATAAACTACATTGCAAAAACATTGTAAAATTCTGCTACTGTCACACCAAAGCAACGACATTTAAGGAACCAATGTCATTAAAAACAAGTACACACGTAAGTACAGACAGACAATCCAGTGATGGTCAGAACATCAGTGTGTGAGTGAGTGAGTGAGTGAGTATGGTTTAACGCCGCTTTTAGCAATATTCCAGCAATATCACGGCGGGGGACACCAGAAATGGGCTTCACACATTGTACCCATGTGGGGACAGAACATCAGACTCAAATTCCCAATGTCAGGTTCAATAGCCATTTTGAATGATAGTCGTACGGTAAGTTAGTCACAATGCGTGAGTGATTATATTCAGTCACATATATTTCGGCCTAATCGTAACTAAAACCAGCTACACATGAATAATACAATGTCAAAGGACAGTAAACGAACTAGAGTATCACAGGTACAGATTTAGAACAAGTATATAAGCATCAACAATAATATTATATACAATTGGGCTATAGATCACCAGCAGTTGGGCCACCACACTTGGGAATCAGTTTTTTATGAGTAAATATTTACGTTAACCCTCATCATGCAGTGTGCAAAATAGCCCACTTGCCCGTGGCTAGTAAAAATCCAGTCGGGCCAGTAAATCTCGTTTAATTCATGCCCGATTATGGCCTGATACAATTGTTCGTCATATGAGCAGCTTAATGATGAATCCCGTGTCATGCAGACAATATCATATTCTAATGTATTTTTGTAATCTTTTGCTTAGTTTCGACATTCAAATTTCGGGCTAGTGAATTATTTTGTGGGCTAGTAACTTTCAGGCATAACTAGCACAACTGGCTAGCACATTTTTGAAATTATTTGGCACATCGCCCCCATCTGATGTGGAGTCCGAGTCTGTACTGATGCTGGTTTATAGTCTCAGCAATATGAGATATAATGTTAGTGAGTGAGTGAGTTTGGTTTTACGCCGCTTTTAGCAATATTCCAGGAACATCACGGCGGGGGACACCAGAAATGGTCTTCACACATTGTGTACCCATGTGGAGAATAGGACCCGGGGTCTTCGGCGTGACGAGCCAACGCTTTACCCACTAGGCTACCCCATCGCCCCTATAATGTTAGTTTAACGTGGATACTGTAACCAGACTCCGAGCTATTATATCTCCTTAGCGCGAGGCAGGGTAACAAGAAACACCGCCTTTAAACGTCTATTGGTATGACGCGACTGGGGCTCGACCCACCGACCTTTCCTCTCCCAGTGGACGCTTCACTAAACCACGGGATGCAGCCACGTTACAAACAAACTAAGACGACAATACATTCATCACCTCGTATTTAAAATAACTCTGTCTGTACATATCTATACTATACCCTTTGTCTGCCTCTTGTTGAACTTTTTTGTAATATACACTTGCAACTATGCGGAGAGGGCTTATTTAAGTTGGATAACTTGTGCCCAATCCGTTTCTTAATTGAATAAAATATGTTTCAATCAATCACCTCGTATATAGGTACATCAGGAGGGTGACGTTGTTGGCCCGATGTGCCTTGGGGATGTGCAGGATGTCCCAGGTGCTGTCGGGAATTCTAGCGCCCTCCTCCACCATGAACGCCAGGTTAAACAACGCCTATAAATAAAAAAGGCAGTTTCATCATTTTAAAAACAAATGAACCATGACCAATCGTTCTCTTCAAAAGGTGAAACACCCTAGTCAAAGGAAATTATGTAACTTCAATGCCTTCCTATTACAATAGTTTATCATTCATGTTTATCAGTCAAAGCTGAATTTAAGTTCATGGAAATGCTGAAGACATACTTACATGTGGGTCTCCCTTCAAGGCTGAGTTAGCATAGAAGACAGAAGCCTTGGGGATATCTCTCTCAGCCCTGCATCCGTACCAATAGTAATCCCCCATCTTGATCATAGCTGAACAGAAACAACGAGGTCAGATGAAACAAGGCAATAATTGTCTTATAATAATTATAATAGCATTGATAATGTTTTAAAGGCCAGTTGTTAAGGCTACAGTCCGGTTTTAACAACATTTCAGAATATGACAGTAAGCCAGGTAACGTTCTTCACAAATGTTCAAGAGAGTTTTAAGAATTGGTTTCTATTTAGGCACATGCAAAGAGTTTGATGTGTGAAAATATGAATTAATTTGAAGATAAATGAGAAAAAGGATTCCCCAAAAAAGTTTTGACTGGCCTTATATGTCCAGTCCACGTTGGACGTTTGTTTGAAATGCTGGTTGTTTGGTTAGGTGTTTAACGCCACACTCAGCAATATTCCAGTTATATGGCGGCAGTTTGTAAATAATCAAGTCTGGACCAGACAATCCAGTGACCAACAGTATGAGCATAAAAATTGGGATACGATGACATGTCAACCACGTCAGCGAGCCTGACCACCCGATCCCTGGTCTCTTAGACAAGCATGGGTTACTGAAGACCGATTCTGACCAGGATCTTCACGGGCCTCTCAATGTGTCCTCACCGTAGGAGTCGACGAGCTGGGTCTCCCTCTGTAGTGACTGGTTGTAGTGTCGCCACATACACTCCTTCTCCATGTGGTTCACGATACCTTCCTGTAAACACAAGCACCTGAGTGAGTGAGGCAGTGTTTATTTGTTTATCTTTTCGTTGTTTTACGCCGCACTCAGCAGTATTCCAGCTATATAACGCCGGTCTGTAAATCACTCAGTCGGAACCACTCAAGCCAGTGATTGACATGATCAGCACCGATTCTCGCAGCTGGGTTACGATGACATGTGTCAGCAAAGTCAGCGAGCCTGACTGTCAACCAAGGCAGCGACCCGATCCCGTTAGTCGCCTCTTATGACATGCATAGGTTGCTGAAAACCAATTCTAACCCGGATCTTCACGGGTCTCTTCATGAACTGGCTTTCACACCAAGTTATCTTCCATAACCTATTAGGGGCGGTGGGGTAGTCTAGTGGTTAAGGCGTTCGCTCGTCACGCCGAAGACCCAGGTTCGATTCCCCACATGGATACAATGTGTTAAGCCCATTTCTGGTGTCCCCCGCCGTGATATTGCTGGAATATTGCTAAAAGCGGCGTAAAACCAAACTCACTCACTCAATAACCTATTAAAGTACTGATTATGTCACCTACTTGGTTTGACACGCACAACTGAAGCGAGTGAGTGAGTTTAGTTCTACGCCGCTTTTAGCAATATTCTGGCAATATCACGGCGAATTATGGTTCAGGAACTCAGACTTGGTTGCATGGCTTAGCAGCTTTGAGAGAGATCCGTAGTTTATTAATTAATAAATGTGTACTGTAGCAGGTCACTGACCTTGTTTTCCTCACACAACCACGCGACGTTGAAATCCCCGACCTCAATCCCTGTGTCGGCCGCCAGTAGGTAGTAGAAGAACGCCAGGGGGCTGTAGGGGTTGAAAAAACATTCGTGTAGCCAATCACAAATGCATCGATCTTACCTGTACTAAAATGATAAAATTGGTGTATTACTTATCGACTTCTCCCTTAACGTTTGATTAATGTGTCTTTTATTGGCCCCATGTATTGCTTTTAAAGCATTGTAGAAGTCACCGAAAGAAGTGTGAAAACACACAAATTTCATTTAGTGGGGAATATATGGAGCTCGTATATCATTGTTACGTGTTGACTCATTTACACGATTGTTGTCACCTGCGTTTCAACGTGTATACAGACCTACTTACTGTTTATATATATATACACGAGTTGATAAAAGTTAAAATATCCGAGGCTTGCCGATAATATTTTTACTTTAATCAACGAGTGTTGATATATTTGATATCAGAAGACACGAGGGTGAGATTTTTATTTATCATCCAAAATCATTCTTCATCAGTTATCTTTAAAATAATGAATTTATCTGAACACATAACTGTCATTAGGCTTCTTGAGCAGTGAGTCAGTGAGATCATAGCATTGTGACGTCATCAGCTTATGACATCATAGCTTTGCCTGTCAGCAACTTTGTGACGTCATAGCATTGTCAGCTGTGCTCTTAGCGATGTCAAAACACTGTGAGGTCATTGACTGATGATGTAATAGCATTATGGCAGTACATTTTTTGTTGCGATATCAACAATGTACCACTTAATCTCACACAAGCGATATTTACTGTGGGAGCCAGTTTTGGATGATAAATGTAAAATATGCGTTTCTACGTTATTTATTTCCAGTAGGGAAGGGTTTTTTTTATATTTGGGGGCCTTGGAGTTTGTATAGATATTTATTCCACCTACAAAACAGCCATTCTACCAATTAAAACTCTGATCCTCAATATACTTTCATAACAACAACAGCAGCAACAACAACAACAGCAGCAGCAGCATATCAGTGAGAGAAACACAGTCACATATATGTTCCGATGGCATAAAACAAAACGAGTATTGTCAAGCATGTATGGAGATACATGAATTTGGGTATTAGCGCCTTCCCTAGCCCAACCAATCACCCTACCCCTTCCCAACAATCAGTCGGCCCCTAAGCAGACGCCATTGTGTTTCTGTTGTATGAACTTACATATTGCCACTTCTGTAAGCATGGAGACCTTTCCGTAACACAATTCCAACAGCCGGATTCTTCTCAGCCACAAACCGTGCCCACCTGCAATAAATAGGTGCAGTGTATAAGTAGGTATGACTGGCTTAAATTATGAAGGCTGCAGTTTTCAAACTTTAATAGAATGAAGCTGGGTTCTGGTAAGTGACCAATGGGGTTGAATAGTTACTCTCCGCGGTTTAAAAATACATTCACTCAGTTTAGCAGTTACAATAATGTTACTTATGTTCACCCCGTGGAGATTGGGTCAGTGTATGCCATCAGTGACCCCTGCTAGTCGTGAGAAGCGACTAACCGGATAAGGTAACCGGTTCTGTTCACTTGTGAAGATCCGGTTTAGAATTGGTCTTCAGTAACCCATACTTGTCGAAATTACGCGACTGCAGGGATCAGGAATCCAAAGATCAGGTTCGCTGACTTGGTTGATGCATGCCATCGTATCACAACATTGGAGATTGCTATTAATTAATCACGGGTTTTTCTTGACTCGATTATCTACGTATACCAAATGGTGGTATATAGGCTCGCTGACTTGGTTGATGTATGGCATTTTACCCGAACGTTGGAGGTCCCTCATAATATTAATCACTGGTTTGACTTGACCAGACTCGATTAGTTATGTCAGTGAGTGAGTTTAGTTTTACGCCGCACTGTGCAATATTCCAGCTATATGGCGGCGGTCTGTAAAGAATCAAGTCTGGACCAGATGAGCATCGGTCTAATCAATTGAGATACTCAAACAAGTCAGGGAGCCTGAGCTCCCGATCCCGTTAGTCGCCTTTTACGACAAGCATGGGCTACTGAAGATCAATTCTAACCCGGATCTTCGCGGGTTCGTTTATTTATGTACACCGACAGAAGCATTGTCGAGTGGGGTGTTAAACAACACACATCATGAAACAAAAAATAAATTGCCCCTGGCAAAGCGTGACTCACTCGGCAGCTAGGTAGAGGTTCCGAGGCATCGTGGATGTACCCTTCATGCTGATATAGGCAAACAGTACTCCAGCATCATAGTGCCCCCTCAAGGCCGCAAACTCAAAGTACTTGTACGCCTTGTCCTGGAACAAGGAATATACACTGAATCAGTGAATGTCGTTGACAGGTTGTCCGAACATCATACTGTTGTAACCGTAACTACACATGTTAACTACATCATGAGTGAGTGAATAATGTGTTACCCCGCTTTTAGCAATATTCTAGCAATAGCATGAGAAATGGCCTTCCCACGCTGCATACATGTTGGGAATCGAACCCAGGTCTTCAGTGTGACAAGCGAACGCTTTAACCACTAGGCTACACAGTGTCACATATAAACCAGATCAAATGAGATTGAGTATGATGTTTCAGCTATATTCTAGCAATTAATCGGGACCATGGTGCAAATCTGTGCTAATCTGTGCATTGTGCTCATGAAGCAATCGGAATGTCTTAGAAATACTGGCTCCTGCTGAAGTATCAGAACTATGCTTCAGAAAAAAGAGTGAGTGAGTGAGTTTAGTTTTACGCCGCACTCAGCAATATTCCAGCTACATGGCGGCGGTCTGTAAATAATCGAGTCTGGACCAGACAACCCAGTCATTAACAGCATGAACATCGGGATCTACATAATTGGGATACGATGACATGCGTCGACCAAGTCAGCAAGCCGATCCCGTTGTTCGCCTCTTACGACAAGCACGGGTTACTGAAGATCAATTTTAACCCGGATCTTCACGGGTCTCAGGAGAAAAGAGACAATATTTGCGAAAAGGCTTCAAACCTGTGAGACCCGTCTTATTTTACGCCACTATTCTGAAAAAAATAAATGCATAGCAATTAACAATCCTTGCTAACAATCTTGTACGTGTTACACAAACGCTGCTTACCCAATCCTGTTTGTCTGTGGGGTGGTACCCCTCGAGGTACATGTGCCCGAGGTAGTAGGCGGAGTCGGCGTTGCCGTATCTGACCGCCTGATTGAAGTAGTGGACAGCCTGTGTGTAGTTCTTCTGCCTCATGGCGATCCAGCCCAGGGCATTGATGGCCATCGGGTTACCCTGGAAACAATAGACAAGTGCTGAGAGCCTCTTTCCATGAAACGATCTTAGCTTTCTGATTGCTTTGAACGACACTAACAAAATGAAAAACACTTAACCGCCATGTTTTGCGTTTTTGGTTTGTTTGACGGTTCTCAGTGAACTATTAGTTTACTGAATACAGCTGAGAAAAGAAATGCATTGCCCTCCACTTCTGTCCAATAGAAATCAAATGTTCTCTGGGACGCTAACGAGAGTTAAAACTATTCTTGAAAGAATCATTAAAGGGCAAGTTCATATGAAAATATACCTATTTTGCTTTCACCTTTTAAATATAAAAGGTACTTTGTACTGTAGTTAGAAATAATATCTCAAGTCACTAATACATGTTTTGCATTATATCGATTAATATTTTTCACATTTACCGAAAGTGTCACACCATGGCGTATGCTCCTTGCAATTGGTGCCAATATATAATAGCATAACATTTCAATACTTGTATTGAACCTAATTTCAGTGTTAGAAAAAGTGATCGCATATCAAACGTTGATATTTCACCAATTCTTAAACTGTGCTTTGTTTCATTTAAGTGATATCTGAGTGTACTCTTCCCCAAAGAACATTGAGAGAATATACGTACCTTTCCGGCAGATTTCTGCATATATTCAATGGCTTTTGTTTTGTTTTTTTCCTGCGTTTTATTCTGAAATAAACAAAAGCCCCAAGCAATTAAGAATAACAGACAGTGTATCATCTGGAGGTGTAATAATAAGGTAAGAACAGTTTTAAATTTCAGGAGATTGAACTGGAAACGAAATGGGTGCGAGTTTCATCTGGACTTCGATATAGGCAGACGCCTATATGATACAAACCTTCTCCGACAGCGATCTCTGTGGAAACAGATTCGGGTAAAACAAATACCACATTACTCCCAAATGTAGTAATGAGGCGTAAAAATGCATCATTCATAATTTCATTTGTGTCTAAACAACACTGGCATATACAACAAATTCATCATGCTCTTGTGGAAAACACAACTCCCTTTTAACGAGAATAACGTAATAAAAACTTGAAAAACAATTTCGTTATCCATCCATGGCCCCTTTTGCAGATACCACTTGGTTCACAACACGAGATTCGTAAGCCTATAATAAAATATAGTTACGACAGTTCGTAACGTTACGAAGGCTTTGTGGATCGGAACCCTGGTATATAAAATGTATGGCTACTGATTAAGATGGATGCAAATACTTCAGTGTATTTTCTTCAAAAGTGATTTTTTGCGAGATGGGTACAAAAATACACATTGGCACAAATGGCCCATTACTGCTATCTTATCTCTAAGAATGTCGTAAGTTTGAGTTAAGGTTTTGCAGGGACGATCAAAACTGAAACTGTGTATACGAATCTGGGAACTATGCCAGTGTGGGCGTGGCGATTCATCACCACAATACATGTAAGGGCGCTGGTGACACAGTTTTACGCTGGTTAGCGCTGGCTGGTACTTACGTTGTAGATGTTGATGCCGTAGTCGAACATCATGTCGGGGTTGCCCTGCTCTGCCCCCATCCGGAACACCTCCATAGCAGCATTCAGGTTCCGCCGGAGTCCCTGGGAGCCCCAAAACAACGCCCGCCCAAACCGTATCTGAAACACACGTTGGTTGGTTTGTTGTTTAACTCCGCACTCAGCAATATTCTAGCTATAAGGCGGCGGTCTGTAAATAATCGGGTCTGAAACAGACGATCCAGTGATCAACAGCATGAGCATCGATCTAAGCAATTGGGAACCGATGTCATGTGTCAACCAAGTTATCGAGCCTGACCAACCGATCCCATTAGTCGCCTTTTACGACAAGCATGGGTTGCTGAAGACCAATATTAAGATGGATCTTCACGGGTAGAACAGGCAGTCATCGCAGAACTCGCATAAAACTAATATTCCATACAACGAGCCGAGTTCCAATGACCCGGATAAAGAAATATATAAGAAGACTTCGGATATGACGACATAAATTCATGGTCCCATATAGTTCGATATATCCGGGGATTTAGCGGAACGGCAAGAGCTTCAATTAAATATTTTGGGATAGCATCGTTGATAACAGTGACTGACCTTTAACTGAATGCATGGGCGGTGTAGAGTGAGTCAATATTTATTTATTTGTGGTGTTTTCTGTTTTCTTTAACACAGCATTCAGCAATATTCCAGCTGAATCTGTAAGTAAACGAGTTTGGACCAAACAATCCAGTGATCAACAGTGAGTCAATAGATTGTGTGAACTGATGGTATTAAAGGGATACATGCGCTGCTACAGTGGACAGATAGTATGGACTGAGTTTTCCAGAATTCGTTGACTGTCTGAAGTAACTGTAAAGACTGTGTGGGCTGCATGGGCTGTAAACCTTAATTGAGGGAGTGAGTGAGTTTAGTTTTACGCCGCACTCAGCAATATTCCATCTATATGACGGTGGTCTGTAAATAATCGATTCTGGACCAAACAGCCAGTGATCAACAGCATGAGCATCTATCTGCGCAATTGGGAACTGATGACATGTGTCAACCAACTCAGCGAGCCTGACACCCGATCCCGTTAGTCGCCTCTTACGACAAGCATGGGTTACTGAAGGCTCATTCTTACCCGGACCTTCACGGGTAACCTTAGTTGAGAGACAGTTTGGACTACCTGAGCTGACGCCACTCCGGCCTGGGCCTGGTGTTTCAGCCACATGAATATATCCCCGTTTTCGTCTGTCTGTTCCTTCAACGCCGCCTCGTCGGTCAACCTCACAGACTCCGTCAGAACCTGCACGCACAATCAAATGTATCATCCTCCTGGATATAATGATATAATACATGTCTAGTCTAAAGTAAACATAAAGTACACTTCTACGAACAGTTTCATATGTCCTGTGGCCCACTCGTCTAAGGCGCTGCATTTCGGAAGCAGAGTTGCGTCCCTTTGAGCACTACGGAAAGCTGGATTGTGGGTTCGAATCCTGTTTCGGCCGTGGTATATTTCTAGGTCTGTCAGCGCCACAAACGTTCCGGTGGGGTTTGGGTTCACCATAGTGATACACGTCGCATTTCCTCTCACATCAGGCTGAGATGGGGGAATACCGTTCAAAACTGGCGTTTAACCTGATCTGAGTCAGTGAGATTAGTTTAACGCCGCTTTTAGCGACATTTCAGCAATATCACGACGGGGGCACCAGACATGGGCTTCACACGTTGTACCCATGTGGGGAATCGAACCCGATTCTTCAGCGTAACGAGCGAACGCTTTAACCACTGGGCTAACCCACCACCCAACCTGATCTTGAGGCCGTAGAGCATGTCCATCTACGAAAGCCCACGACACACACTCTCTCTATACCTTTTTTCCCTAAACGACAATGTGCTCACATATATCAGTCCATTCGGCCATGTAGGAACATTTATGTAACACGAGTCTATTAGCAATCACATCACACAATGGCTACCTGACAAAATGGTACTTACATCTGATTCTTTGTGAAGGTCTCTGTCATCTCTCGTCTTCCCGGCCACGTACTTGTAATACACTGGGAAAAGAACAACCTGACTGAACCGAACCGCACTTTTGAAACAAACGTGTCAGTGTTTACACTATTTCCCAAATCCCGTAGACCCGCTTCCAATATTATCCTACAGTGACTGACTGACTGAGTTTTGGTTTTACGCCGCTTTTAGCAATATTCCAGCAACATTACGGCGGGGGACACCAGAAATGGGCTTCACACATTGTACCCATGTGGGGATTCGAACCCGGTTCTTCGGCGTGACGAGCCAACGCTTTAACCACTAGGCTACCCCACCTCCCCCAAATCCTGTAAACCCGCTTCCAATATTATCCTACAGAGAACGTCATCGTATCCTACGTTCGTATCCCCATGTTAATGACGCCAATCACTGCATTGTCTGGTCCAGCCTTTTTAAAGGGACTCTGTCATATTGCTGGTATACTGGAGTGCGACGTGAAACAACAACACTACGTGCTATGTCTCTGTGTGACCGCTATTTCCATCTAGGCTTTGTAAACAAGTATGTCCATGGGGATGAGTTCACTGGAAACAGATTTCTGGTGTGTGTTTTTTAAATTTCTTTGGTGTCTAACTTAGCAATATTTAGGGGTGGGTATTCCAGAGAATTTTCATATTGCGATATATTGCGATGCGGAAGCATATATTGCGATATGTATTGCAATATATTGCAAGGATTATTTTTTTAAACACAAACTATTTATAATCGAGTTAGTGCTTGATTATAAAGCAAAAACACAACAAAATCACTATGATTGATTAACCTTTCATAAAAACTTTTAATCATGACAAAATAAAAATGTAAGTAACATTTGGCACTAATGAAACAGGGAAAAATGCAATTAAAAAAACGGAAATATCCGAAGATTTCCGAGTGTTACGAAGTTTTCCGAATGCATGTCAAAATACCGGTTTTCGATGAGCGTATCGCAATACGTATCGTTGTCATGTCTGAACCAGTAAGTACCGGTAAACCGGTTATATTGCGCAGCCCTAGCAAATCTGTAACTAACTGAGGGAACTGGGGAAAAAAACAACGCTTCTGTGTGGATACTGGTTTGCACGCAACTCGTACACAATGGCATGAGATAAAGTCACTGACTGTGACACTCCACCCCCGTCGTCGCCTGTGTAGTGAGTGAGTGAGTGAGTATGGTTTTACGCCGCTTTTAGCAATATTCCAGCAATATCACGACGGGTGACACGAGAAATGGGCTTCACACATTGTACCCATGTGGGAATCGAACCCGGGTCTTCGGTGTGACGAGCTAACGCTTTAACCACTAGGCTACCCCACCACCCATTGAATAGTTTTGAAGAACCAAGTGTAGCTTTAGAAACAAGGAATCAGCATGTCAACACTGGACCATGTTATACTGAGTATACAATCAAACGCACATGATTACTGATACCAATAACCGCCTCCGTGGTGTAGTGGTTAGAGCGTCCGCCCGGAGTGCGGAAGGTCGCGGGTTCGATCCCCGACCGCGTCATACCAAAAGACGTTAAAATATGGTACTTGTTGGTCCCTGTCTGGCGCTCGGCATTAATTGGTACAACAATGACTGGTCGGCTCGGAGTCAGTATAATGTGTCTGAGTGGGGTATTCATGCTTCACTGTGGCATGGTATCTCAGTGGGCTAGCACTATAAAACCAGCTTCAGTCTGGGCTATTACAAGCAGCCGCACATACACATACACACGCATGCACGTCGTCATATGAGCGAAATATTCTCAAGCACGACGTTAAACCCAATTTCATCTCCACCACCACTGATACCAATAACAAACCAAGTGCATGAAGAGTTCACAGAGACAGGTAAAACAGTTTGGCGTTTGCAAACGGGCATTTTTTTTTTTCAATTTTAAAAGCTTGCAACAGGGCAATATTAGTGAATCAATGACTACCTACTGTAAGCTTGCTGCTTGTCATTTGATGCGCCATCTAAGCCGTTCCTGTGCTTGTGTCCGAGCGCCAAGGTAGACAACCGGTGTTTGTCCACAGCCCCCAACATCAGGTAGGCCTGTGCCTGAAATAGACATCTTGTGACGTCATTGACTGCTGAAACAGTCATCGTCTTCAAAAACATACTACCCAGCGCTGATTAAGACACTAATATACTACGGGAATATGAATAGTATGTAAATACAAATAATATATTATCTTTCTCATCATTCTCTTCCCACAGAGGTTACTTCTCATATCTTCCTACGAACCTCTGTTCTAATACGGCCCTTTCGTGGTGCGAGTGTTCAGGATTCGTGATTGGTTGCATTCAGATTTAGTTGTGCAATCAGCGACGTTGTTTCAAAAGTGATCATTCGCAAGGTCTCGGTAATTTCCGTATGCTTCGGGAAAACTAGAACCTCTTCCCCCTGCGCGATGCGCAAACGTTTCTTCTAGACAGAACTCAATCATGCAATAGCGCTTCAATGGCGTCTCCCTCGCCCTCGTTTGACAACGGATTATAAGCTTGCCATTAAATGCCTTGTGTGTGACATCAACACAAGTCCCCGGCAGAGGAGGGATATTTGTGGCCCCGTATTTGCTTGTATTAGTCAGGTTGGATGTAAGTCGATGTTACACGTGTTCTGATTGGATAGACAGAAGGGAGATAATTCGCCGCTAGGGGATTTTACGAGAACTGGGAATATGGCCGTATTAGAACAGAGGTTGGTAGGAAGATATGACAAGTAACCTCTGTGGGAAGAGAATGCTTGCTCATATGCATGAAAACGTTTACCTTTCGATTTAAATGAAAAAAAATGACACGTTGATGGGCACAGTGTAAAGAGACATTACTGTTGTATCATGATAGCTTGTACAGAAAAAAACACACACAAAATTTTGTTCGTATCTAAATAATCAAAGTTTAAATATTGTACATTGGTATAACATTCAACAAAAGGAGATCAATAAGATCAACTGTTGTTTGTTTATAGTTTAACGCCGCACTTGGCAACATGCCAGCTATATGACGGCGGTCTGTGAATAATCGAGTCTGGACCAGACAATCCAGTGATCAACATCATGGGCATATATCTACGGAATTGGGATACGATGACATGTGTCAACAAAGTCAGCGAGCCCGACCACCCGATCCCGTTAGTCGCCTCTTAGGACAAGATGGGTTGCTGAAGATCAATTCTAACCCGGATCTTCAGGTGGGGATACCACGGTAGCCTTTAGTGAACACATCAGTGATTGATAACATAACAATGATCGGAAAAAAAATGTGACACCTCACCTGTCACTTTTTATATAACCTTAGTATCCTTAATTGAAAGTTACTGTCAACATTAGTAATATATAAACATATGATGAGTGAGTGAATGGTGAGTGAGTGAGTGAGTGAGTTTAGTTTTACGCCGCACTCAGCAATATTCCAGCAATATGGCGGCGGTCTGTACATAATCGAGTCTAGACCAGACAATCCAGTGATCAACAGCATGAGCATCGATCTGCGCAATTGGGAACCGATGACATGTGTCAGCCACGTCAGCGAGCCTGACCTCCCGATCCCGTTAGTCACCTCTTACGACAAGCATAGTCGCCTTTTGGGTTGCTGAAGACCTATTCTACGCCGGATCTTCACGGGTCAGTGAGTGAATGTAATTGTATGCGCTTTAAACAATATTTCCTCAATATCACGGCGGGGGGACACCGGGAATGGGCGTCACACATTGTAACCATATGGGGAATCGAACCCAGGTCGTCAGTGCGACGAGCGGACGCTTTAACCATTATTATTAGTATTATAGGATATTTATATAGCGCACATATCCACGCACTAGTGCATGCTCGAGGCGCTGGTATTTTTTCTTTCGATCATTGGATGTCAATATCAACTGCACATCGTATTAGCAATCTCAACTCCCTGGGGAGTATACAACTCTTGCTGCCACTAGGCGCACCGAGTTATTGTGGCTTTCTCATCCTAACGATTAGGCTACCTCGCCGCTCCTATATGAAATATTAACTGCCGAACAAAACATTTTCAATGTTTAGCTTTTGTGGAATAAGTCTCGCAGAAAATTTAGTTGTAAATATTAAATGCCACAAGGCCGAGCGCCACACTTCCCATGACTGGCTGGTCATCTGCGACTTCTGCTTTGATGTAGATGCTGTGATCGATGGAACCCATGTAAGCGATGTCAAAATATCAATGTCTGCATTCATGGGTATGTATCGATCTGTGGCGACACCTTGCACACGCTGTTATACATAGAGGTAACAGAACGTACAAGTCCCAGTATAACAGTCCTGTTGTTTAAATGTTTCATCGAATGTGTTTCCGTTATTACTGTAAAAATCTACAAAATAATGCAAATTAATATGGCTAAGGTAGCTCTAAATTCAACAATCCTTGCATTAGCAATTCTTTTATTATTCATATTAAGTTATCCGTCCGGTACATTATCCGCAAAAAACAGCAGTACGAGTAGTCGAGTACTGAGTCCCATTGGTACGAGTACTGTAGTCTGTCTCACAGTCCCTGAACCACTTTAATTTCCCTACCGCCAAGCCCTCTCTGCAGTGCTAAATCCCTAAATAAAGCAAGTCTAGATTTCCTCAGGTTCAGGTTCAGAATCTCTGGTCTCCCTAGGGCTCCTTTTCAATATAATGGGCTTGTTTGTTACTATCAAAATTATATATATTCAGAGACTAAGCCTTAGTCTACGAGTACTGCTGTAAATCTCTCTTCAATGTGCTTCACCCGGTGGCCCCTCGAGGACCGAACACTTCATGACTGTTCTGTACACAGCTTATCCATTTCTGCCGTTACAATAGGGCTACATGTGATTAGATGTCACGTGACCAGAAACTAGCGACATGTGCATGTCAGTATCACGATTATGTGAATGATATACACCATTCTTCAATATCATACAGTTAGTTTTATCATGCACTTATCAGAAGTGTTTTAGGCTCAAAACTTTTTGATAGCCCTTCCTATCATTATTTACATACATGAACATAGAGACTTTTTTTCATTTTCATCATTGCTACAAACATTTATTGTTTGGTACAAACACTGGTACAAACATTGGTACAAACAATAAAAAGAAGAGGAAACCCAGAAAAGTCTCTATGTTCATCAAATAGCATCTTCTAAAGTGCCAATCAAACATCTATTTACATACAGTTATGCTGTTGTGTTGTTTAAAAACAATAATAATCAGTAATATTCCAGACGAGGGTCAGGAACCAGGGCGGATGCAGCTTTTTCAGAAAGGGGGTACACAGTTCATTTTCATCTGTTTTCAGTTTCAAAGTCATTTAATAACCTTTCAGGACAAAAGGGGGGATCCGATTAGACAGACAATCCAGTGATCGACAACATGAGCACCGACCTACGCAATTGGGATACGATGCATGACATGTGCCAACCAAGTCAGCGAGAAGGACCATTCGATCCCCTTAGTCGCTTCTTACGACAAGCATGGGTTAGTGAAGATCAATTGTAACCCGGATCTTCACGGGATATTTAGAGACAGTAATACATGTGTATAAATACATTAAAATGTAGTGAGTCAGTTTAGTTTTACGCCGCACTCTGTAATATTCCAGCTATATGGCGGCGGTCTGTAAATAGTCAAGTCAAGACCAGACAATCCAGTGATCAACATCATGAGCATCTATCTGTGCAATTGGGAACCGATTACATGTGTCAACCAAGTCAGCGAGCCTGACCACCCGATCCCGTTAGTCGCCTCTTACGACAAGTATGGGTTACTGAAGATCAATTGTAACCCGGATCTTCACGGCATACTTACATACAGTAATACATATATATGTATAAATACATTAAAAAGTTTGGGTTGTAGAGCGACGTTGTGACTCCTGTGTACGTGACATTATGTTTTGTGTGTGTTCAAGTTTTTTCACAGATGTCATGCAGAAAAGACGTGACTTGAACAAACATGGGTCACAGATATGAACAAACTTTAATTTTAGATGGTCTCTAAATCAGATGTCTCTGCTTCAAAATAAATGTAAAATCTTGCTTCAAAATATAAATCGAACCCAGGTAAAAACGCTTTACCACTAGGCTACCCACCGCCCCGAACAGTTATAGAAATATGATCCAGTGGATTTCTTACATACTAGAAAATTTCGTTTTTTGTGAAGAATGTTCGGAAACCGAGGTATTCGGATATCTGAAGTTCGGATAAACGAGGTCTGACTGTATCTAAAATTAGAAACAAATATATTCTGTAGTCACCATTGGTGTGATCTGTGTAACGTCACTGGTTGCAATATTGCCATACAGGACAGAAAACAACAACATTTTTTTCAGATTCCTCTGAATTACTGTGTGACACCCGAGCTGTGTGGGCCCATGTGTGGAATCTATAAACGTGAGTTACTTCACCTGAATTTCGTCGGCTTTGGTCATCAGGCCGTTGTTGAGGATGACGGACAGCATGTACATGGCGTCGTAGTTGCCGAGACACGCCGCTTGCCTCAGTAGCGGGAGGGCGACCGGTATGCGTTTAATGTCCTCCTCCTAGAAACATAACGCTATTGTAAAAATACGCATCACATATCAGTCTCTTCTACATACCAAGCATCATTCACGACTCATGCAGATATCACGCATTGCCTGTTACTCTCTCAGTATTTGTAAATATTGTAAATGTCACTTATCACTCGCTTGTAAATATCACGCATTATTTATCAACTCATGTAAATATGGCGTATCATTTGCTTGTAAATATCATGCATTATTTATCAACCCATGTAAATATTGCTTATCACTCGCTTGTAAACATCACATATTATTTATCAACCTATGTAAATATTGCGTATCACTCGCTTGTAAATATCACATATTATTTGTTAACCCATGTAAATATTGCGTATCACTCGCTTGTAAATATCGCACATAATTTTTATCAACCCATGTAAATGTTTCGTATCACTCGCTTGTAAACATCACGCATTATGTATAAACTCATGTAAGTATGGCGTATCATTTGCTTGTAAATATCATGCATTATTTACCAACCCATGTAAATATTGCGTATCACTCGCTTGTAAATATCACATATTATTTATCAACTCATGTAAATGTTGCGTATCACTCGCTTGTAAATATCACGCATTATTTACAAACTCATGAAAATATTGCGTATCACTCGCTTGTAAATATCACATATTATTTCTCAACCCATGTAAATGTTGCGTATCACTTGCCTGTAACATCATGCATTATGTATAAACTCATGTAAATATGGCGTATCATTTGCTTGTAAATATCATGTATTATTTACCAACTCATGTAAATGTTGCGTATCACTCGCTTGTAAATATTTCGCATTATTTACAAAATCATGTAAATATTGCGTATCACTCGCTTGCAAATTTAATATCCCCACCCCTCTTTGGATCCGCCTTTGTGTAACACTATACACACACTTACTATAATGGTCACGGCTTTGTTGAAGATATCTGCAGCAACGTTATGGAAGCCCCGTTCCCCGAGTTGTCTCCCTTGATTTACAGAACGTCGGATGAAGGCATTGAGGATGTGAGACTTCTTTGGTTTGGATGCTGATAACGCTGGACATTGTTTCTTTTCTCTTTTGATGAACATCTGTTCAATCTTATCTATACACTTGTCTGAAAAAATATGAGACGAATGAGTGCTGAGATGTGTCACTCTACAACGCTTGTCAACATCAGGGATGGCGGTGGGGTAGCCTAGTGGATAAAGCGTCCGCTCGTCACGCCGAAGATCCGGGTTCGATTCCCCACATGGTTACAATGTATGAAGCCCATTTCTGGTGTTCCGCGCCGTGACATTGCTGGAATATCGCTAAACGCGGTGTAAAACCATACTCACTCATTATAAACATTATGGTATTCCAACAGGTGCCCCGGAAATAAGTATTACGGTAATCACTTTAATGATTCATGTTTTAACATGTGCCCTGAACGCATCTTCGGGTCGGATACATGTTCACCTCGAATGTCAGGGTTGTTTGAGGTTTACCATATGCGAGAAAAGGGCATTCAACTGACAAAGGCTTTTGAAAGGATAAAAAAGTAATTTGCTTTATTAATGGAGATCTATGTCATGGTATGATCCCAACCACCAAACAGAAAAAAACGACAACCTTAAACCAAACCAAAACAGGAAATACATATCGTACGACAAGGATGGCACATCGTGTTGATTGTACAGAAGAATTCATGATCTGCATCAAACGTGTTGAAAATCCAAAGGATATCTTCCAATTTTTTTCGCCATAATCATTGCACGTTGAACTGCTGACTCACTCAAAATATAACAATTCATCTATCATCAATTTCAAACTGTATATTATCAGAACCAAAAATGCATACATATGGAATACGGTTAGAGCTACGGTAAATTGTATAGACTGAACCATAAGGAACCGGTTGAAATTATGAATTATTCAAAAACTCAAACTTATAAACAAATGTCGGCATGATGAGGTCACTGCAATAATCACTGATAAACAAGAAGTTGACAGTTGTCATGAATTTATAAACAGATGAATATCATTCTATCTTGAAATGGAGTACGTCTTACTCTGTTGAATCCTATCTGCGAGAAGGTGTTGATGGAACCTCTCTTGTTGGCTGATCCAGGTCATGAAAGTTTGACATTTGACCTCTCTCCGCGTAAGCCCCAGTTCAAACATTGGGTGATATGGACTAGGCATGGGGATCTGGAAATAAATGAGTCGAAATTCTTTTTAAAAATGATTAAAATGCTGATTGATATCATTTCCAAATCGCATTTATTCACGTACAGCCCTACATGTGACACGTTGGATAAGCTTGCATCATCCATATATAAAGTACAGTAAAATATGTAATAACGAACCCGCTTATGACCAGGGCTGCGCAATATAACCGGTTTACCGGTATATACCGGTTCTGACATGAAAACGATATGTATTGTGATACGTTGATCAGAAACCGGTATTTCGACTTGCATTCGGAAAACTTCGTAGCACTCGGAAATATTCGGATATTGCCTTGTTTCATTTGTGCCAAATATTATTTACATTTTTATTTTGTCATGATTAAAGGTTGTTGTTTAGGCTTAATCAAGCATACTTATTTTGTTGTGTTTTTGCTTTATAAACCAAGCATTAACTCGATCATAAGTAGTTTTATGTTTACGAATACTTCTTGCAATATATTGCAATACATATCGCAATATATGCTTTCGCATCGCAATGTATCGCAATAAGAAAATTCTCTGCAATACCCACCCCTACTTATGAAGAACCGCAAGATATCTCGAACTGTTTGTAGTCTTGCTGTATATTTCAGTCAAAATGAGTACAACGAACTAAGGTTGTAGCTATCTTCGTTATAACAGTAATTTGGGTGAGTTCCAGCAATATCACAGCGTGGAAACCAGAAATGGGCTTCACACATTGTACCCATGTGGGGAATCGAACCGGGTCTTCGGCGTGACGAGCGAACGCCTTAACCACTAGGCTACCCCACCGCCCCGGCTGATATCATGAACATCGTCTCATGCCGCTGTGGAATCCATCAGATGGTGATATACACTGCTAATCGAGGGCGGTGCTCGTGTGATGTAAGATGAATTGATGAAGCAGACATTTGGCCGCAAAACCAGTGCCTGTTCAGAAAGATATTGCTTTCGACTACGCGTATACAGTCCCCCTAAATATACGGAAAATATGTTCCCAGACAAAAAACTAAGACTGATGGTGCAAATCTCTCCATCCCTCCTAACCTATAATTACAGAAATGTGCAATATATGGACTCTGGTACAAGTGCCTTCTGGTAGTAGCTGCCTACCCTAGTGGACAATTCTTGCGCTACTTCCCCTAGCTTACCTTTCCTTAGAATGGTTCTTCCTTTTCTTATTAGAGTGAGTGAATGGGTATAGTTTTAGGCCGATTTTAACAATATATTCCAGCAATATCAAGGCTGCTCCTACAGGCCTTACTGGGCGAGTGAGTGAAAGTATACGGTTTTATGCCGCTGTTAGCAACATTCCAGCAATATCACGGCGGGGGTACACCATAAACTGGCTTCACACATTGTACCCATGTGGAGAATCGAACCCGGGTCTTTGGTGTGACGAGCGAACGCTTTAACCACTAGGCTACCCAACCGTCCCTTTCGTGTTCGAAAACAACGTGATGTGAAATACTGTAACAGACTTGTCAAAAATGACCATTCAGCTGGTACCTTACTGGGCTCAAGTACCCGCCGCCTGTAGAACGTCGCTTTCCCAACGTAGCCGACGAAGCTGGGTACAAGGGCGTCGTTGCCGCCGATGACGTAGTCTCCCTCCGTGTCGTCCATGAGCATCTCGCTGTGGTACCTGTGAGGTTTGTGGAAAATGTGGGTTAATTTCACTGAAACAGTTTGATTGTGTGGCAGCGAGCGGCTTTCTGAAGAACCTTTGTTTTGTTGTTCAACGCCACACTAAGCAATATTCCAGCCCTATGATGGCGGTCTGTATATAATCGATTCTGGACCAGACAATAAAATGACTGACATCATGAGCATCGATCTATGTAATTGGGATACGATGACATGTGTCAACCAAGTCATCGAGCATGACCATCCGATCCCGTCAGTCCACAAGACCGCTATGTAGGTTAAGCATAGACCACAGATCTACCCACACGTCATATACATATATCTTTGGTTTCTGTTTAACCTACTGGGGATAACGGTTTCCTGTGCGTCAGTCGCCTTATACGACAAAGACTCAAATGGGTTGCTGAAGACCGAGATCTTCATGAGTTTCTGAAGAACGCACCGCCTCCGTGGTGTAGTGGTTAGAGCGTCCGCCCGGAGAGCGGAAGGTCGCGGGTTCGATCCCCGACCGCGTCATACCAAAAGACGTTAAAATATGGTACTTGTTGGTCCCTGCCTGGCGGTAATAGGTACAACAAGGACTGGTCGGCTCGGATTCAGTATAATGTGTCTGAGTGGGGTATTCATGCTTCACTGCGGCATGGTACCTCAGTGAGCTAGCACTATAAAACCAGCTTCAGTCTGGGCTAGTACAAGCAGCCGCACATACACATACACACGCATGCACGTCGTCATATGAGCGAAATATTCTCAAGCACGACGTTAGACCCAATTTCACCTCACCTCACCTCTGGAGAACGCATGAGTGTGATTGTTTTCATTTCTAAGGTGATTCCTTGTTTTCATTTCGTCAATTCACCAATAACATCGTGTCAGGCATTTTACAGGATTAAATATTCGAGGCAAGGTGCGAGAAAGCAGCGGTTGGTCAACACCCCATATGCAAAAACCAAACGCTACACGTGTTTCGAGACATTGTAACTGCTCCTTCAGGCCCTAATGGACGAATGAGTGATTGATTACCGTTTTATGCCGCTTTTAACAATATTCGAGCAACATCATGGCTGGGGACACCAGAAATGGGATTCACACATTGTATCCATGTGGGGAATCGAACCCTTGTCCTCAGCGCGATAACCGAACTCTTTGACCACTAGGCTACCCAACCACTCTCCTAATGTAGGAAGCACCGTCCGAAATAAAGGACTTGTACAGCCTGTAACTTACGTGAATTCTGACACCAGTGTTTGGTTGAAGTTAGCGCCATAGTCAACCGCTAGATTCCACTGCAACGGGAAGAGTGAGTGAGTGAGTGGTTGCTCATAACGCCTCTTGTGGCAATATACAACGTTATCAATGATATACCAATTCTCTTTTACACCAAAATAACTATGACATATAGAAAAGAATTTCAATTTCAAGAAGAACGAAAACTAATTGTTCAAGCATTTCCTTGCGGTTATTGAACGTATCTCTAAACATGCATGAAAATATCAAGGATAAGAATGTCTATTTATGGAATTTTATTTCAAGCAATCAAATCTCTCTTTTGGTAAGGTTAGTCTTATTTGTCCACGATGCGCAAAAATATTCTCATAATGTCATGGATACATTAAATAGAACAACACAACTGACTGTCCTTATCAAAATTCGAGTTGTATATAATAGTCATAATGTTTCAAAATTGTATTTTTCTTGGCACCAGGGTACCCAACTAGAAGATTCATCTTGACTACCCCGAGAATTATTTGCTACAGTTGTAGTGAGTGAGTGAGTATGGTTATACGTCGCTTTTAGCAATATTCCAGCAATATCAAGGCGGGGGACCAGAAATGGGCTTCGCACACTGTACCCATGTGGAGAATCGAACCCGGATCTTCACTGCGAGACGAGCGGACGCTTTAACCACTAGGCTATCCTACCGCCCCTTTACAGTTATAAGGACTTACACATTAATAAACCCAGTAAATCATGTTACAGACCCAGCACATCTAAATGACAACTTGTATCCACGCACCGAGGTATGACTAACGGCGAAGGTCACTCTGATCCACTGATGTTTGGGGAAGGTCCAGTTGACCTTGATGGAATGGTGCTCTTTTCTCCGCCTCAGAATAACCTCCACTCGCGGATGACCTTGAAAATAAAATAAGCAAGTGAGTGATTGTTTGTTGTTTAACGCTGCACTCAGAAATATTCCAGTCAATTATCGAGTCTGGACCAGACAACCCAGTGATCAACAGTATGAGCATCGATCTACGCAATTGGGATACGATGACCTGTCAACCAAATCAGTGAGCCTGATCACCCGATCTCGCTCGTTGCCTCTTACGACAAGCATGCTTTGCTGAAGACCAATTCTAACCCGAATTTTCACGGGTCGGTAGCAAAAGAAGTTCTATTTCAAATAACTTTATTTTACCATAAGCAAATAATTAAATTCATCTTTAAGTTTGATCCCGTATTCAATTATTTACGGCGGTCTAATTTACTCGCTCTAGGACAGGAAACATGAATCGTGTTCATTGTGTACAGATATATCTGATCCTTATTTTATGGATATTTTTACGGCAATGGTCTGTCCTCAGGATGCCATTGTGGTCCAACCACTTCGTGATTCGACCGTTGAAGTGAAAATATGAACCTGTTGCATAACATATAAGACACTGTTTGGGAGTTGCTTTTCTTTCTGAAATTGTATGTAGACACGGACTTATTTTACGTTACTGCCTAGCAGTTTGACATGTTTAGGACAATGACTGACGACATTGTACAGTACGGATGATCAATTCTTTATCGCAAACTACGTGTCGTGGTAGATACCACCAAATGCTTGCTTAGATAATTATAATAATATTGAAATTAAACAAAATTTGTATAGCACCCTATATATGACTTAGAGTCACTGTTTTTAGTTTCACGCCGCTTTTAGCGATATTTCAGCAATATCAAGGCGGGGAACACCAGAAATGAGTTAACACATTGGTACCATGTGGGGAATCGAACCCGTGTCTTCAGCGTGACGAGCGATCAATAGGCTACCCCACCGCAGCTATATGATTTTGAACGCCGAAGTCCCGGGTTCGATTACCCAAATCGGTACAATGTGTGAAGCCCATTTCTGGTGTCCCCCCGCCGTGATGTTGCTGGAATATTGATAAAAGCGGCGTAAAAGTACACTCACTCACTCAGTATATGATTTTGAAACTAAAATACTCGATGGCGCTTAAATACCCAACAACTAAACGTCACGGATATATCCTACGGTGAACGTGTTAACTGTGAAAGGTCCAGCTTACCTTCGTAGTCAACGAGGAGTATGGGAGTCATGTACCAGTTGTTCCAGGAGACGTGGATGAAGATGCCGCAAGCCAAGTTCGGGTGACCTTTCTTTTCAGGGCAGTAGTCCAGGATGTACATCCACATCGACACGGTGAAGCTGTTGATGACGGAGTAACACGAGGGGGTTTAGTTTGACACTGCTATCTCTGTTATACTAGTCCCGTAGAGGTGAGGTGAGGTGAGGTGAGGTGGAAATGGGTTTAACATTTTGCTCAATATTATTATGGTGAGTGAGTTTAGTTTTACAGCATTAGCATCGATCCATGCAACTGGGAACTGATGACATGTGTCAACCAAGTCAGCGAGCCTGACCACACGATCCCGATAGTCGCCTCTTACGACAAGCATGGGTTATTGAAGTTCAATTCTAACCCGGACCTTCATGCACGGGTGCAATATTATATACATATAGGAAAGTAGTAAAGGAAGGTGTGGTGAGGTGAGGCCAGGTGAAGTTAGTTTCGGTGGGAAAAGGTTTTCAGTTCAATATTATTATATTCATTTGGGGACGTGGTGAAGGAAGATGAGGTGAGGTTAGGTGTGGTGAGGTCAGGTGCAGTGAAAAAGGGTTTAACGTATATTATTACATGCATATCGGGACTTGTCAGGTGCAGTGGTGATATTGAGATCCTATGTCACATTTTAACATGAATACCTAACTCATGCATAGTCTACTGACAACGCGCCGACCGATCTTTGTAATATCCCTTCATGCCATAGGGGCGGTGGGATAGCCTAGTGGTTAAAGCGTTGGCTTCTCACGCCAATGACCCGGGTTCGATTCCCTACATGGGTACAATGTGTGAAACCCATTTCTGGTGTCCACCGCCGTGATATTGCTGGAATATTGCTAAAAGCGACACAAAACCAAACTCACTCACTCACTTAATGTCATAACGTCATTTGGTTCCACGCACTACACCATGAAGGCCGAGCCACTCCAAGTGCATATGATTTTAGTAATAGTATAACAATATCACGGGCACACCAGAAATGGACTTCCCACAAAGAATAGAACCCAGGTCCTTGGCGTGACGATCGAACGCATATTTTAACGTCTTTTGGTATGACGCGGCCGGGGATCGAACCCGCGACACAAAGCTAATGAACCGCTAACGTGACACATTGTAAGGTTGTAGAGATTGGTGGAATGACGAGTTGCACCAATATATTGCTGACAAACTAACAATGACAATCAAGGAAGAACATCCTATGCGAATCACAATTAATTTTAACAGGTTTAATACACGCAATTTTGCACAACGAAACAAGGAGTTTGAGAACTTCTGAGTCTCGGGTCAAACAGCAAGTTAAATGCATGTGAAACAAACGACTGCAGTATCTAAGTAGGGCACGGCTAAAGATCATATAAGTGGTGAATCAGGGTTTTTGACAGCGGATCCTGCTACGACTAAGGGGCTAAATACTGTACATCATGTACGACGACTGTTATGGCAAGGCCACCAAGGTTTCTTTCCCTAAGAGCTGAGCTGTTTCATGAACTGTGATTGGAATCGTGGGGCTAAGAATTTGCGGAAAAACATGCTTTAGAAAAAACAGATTTTTGCACCTGGTCGTACCAAAAACAAAATAATCATTTGACGTAAGTTCTCACTGTTCTGAAATGATTTATTTAGTTATTGTGCTATTATTTTGTACAAGCCATTATTATGCACCTCTTTTGGTCAAACACACTTACGCTGGATTTCCGATCGTTTGTCTCCTAATCTTCTCCAGCCCTGGGTCTTGGTACTTGGGGAAGTGTCTGTGTATACCGTAATGAAGACCATTAAATACAGCCGGGTAACTCACCAACTGGACTATCTCTGAAATAAACAACAACCGTGTTGCAATACATTTCAGACACATACACCTAAAGTTTTGGAAAACACAGGTATGTTTAATAATAAATGAGCATTTATCTGTATCTGTGGCCGTACAAAGTTAATTGAGGGAATAATCTATTACGATGAAATAAGCCCCATGCATATCGCTAACCATATTCCATGTCAAAGTACCGCGATGCGAATGCTGTTCAAACGGCGCTAAACCTCACTCACTCATCCACACTGTCACTCCCTCACTCACCCTGTTCATAAGGGCAATCGAAGTTATTCAAGGTAGGTATCCTTTGTAAGATCTTCCAGTACCAGGGCACACATGCTTTGTGGGGCGTCTTCCTTGGCCGAGAATAAGGCAGGGTAACAAACACATTATAGAGCACCTTGGCTTCCGCCTGTATGTAATACAACGTTCTGGATTTCATAACACTTTTCACAACATCCCGAAGTATGAAAGCTCTCAACTGAGATTTCAAACCAAAGTAAAACTGCCTGTTAAAATATCCAGGCCGAAATCCCAAGTCGTCATCTAGCCTCAGTTTCACTTTTCTTTTTCTGTTGAAATGACTGGAATCACACTTCCAATATTTCCTGTATATGAGAGCTGGCTCGTATTTCTCCTTCATAACAACCAGCTCCACTGCTACAATGCTGTCTGTGTTGCACGTGTACTCCACTGTTAGGAGCTTGCTGTTGTCTATACTATCTGGGGGATGCACTATCTGGATAAACTCCTCTGCATCACCGGACTGTTTGCCTAGAACCAACGACAGAGACTGAGGTTCCCCATTGTGTGGCTGAAAACGGAAGGTGTTACATTACTCACACGTGGACATGAACTGTAAATAGTGAGTGAGTGAGTGCGTTTAGTTTTACGCCGCACTCAGCATCATTCCAGCTATATGGCGGCGGTCTGTAAATAATCGAGTCTAGACCAGACAATCCAGTGATCAGCAGCATGAGCATCGATCTGCGCAATTGGGAACCGATGACATGTGTCAACCAAGTCAGTGAGCCTGACCACCCGATCCCGTTAGTCGCCTCTTACGAAAAAGCATGGGTTACTGAACATCAATATTCTTTAACGTTATTTGGTATCAAACAGTGATGGAATCGAACCCCCATACCTTTCGCTCTACAGACAAACGCGGTATCCACTTGGCCACTGAGGCGCGTCCCCCATCAGCCGAATAGAGGCGTGATAGATAATGATATAGAATGTTTACTCATCTTATATATCATTTCTGACTGGCTGATAAGAGATTCAAACATTCGATCCTGAAAATTTCTACCTGGACACATATGTACGGTTTTGACAAATTGATAGATAACGACGAACCAGTAGATAACAAACCCAATCAAAATGGGTGAAGACTGCGCGGAAGCTTTCCTTTCACAGCTGGCCTCACACGAAGGAACAATATTCCCCTAACTGAACAATGTGCGGGAATATCATCCCAGGCCCACGGGTCGACCATTTGGCCGCCAAATTTACATTTGTTTCGCAAGTGAGTGAGTGAGTGGATGAGTGAGCGAGCTTAGTTTGCATTTGTTTTGCAAGTCATGGGTGGGTGGGTGGGTGGGTGAGTGAGTGAGTGAGTGAGTGAGTGAGTGAGTGAGTGAGTGAGTGAGTGAGTGAGTGAGTGAGTGAGTGAGTGAGTGAGTGAGTGAGTGAGTGAGTGAGTGAGTGAGTGAGTGAGTGAGTGAGTGAGTGAGTGAGTGAGTGAGTGAGTGAGTGAGTGAGTGAGTGAGTGAGTGAGTGAGTGAGTGAGTGAGTGAGTGAGTGAGTGAGTGAGTTAGTTAGTTAGTTAGTTAGTTAGTTAGTTAGTTAGTTAGTTAGTTAGTTAGTTAGTTAGTTAGTTAGTTAGTTAGTTAGTTAGTTAGTTTAGTTTTACGCCGCTTTTAGCAATATTCCAGCAATATCACAGCGGGGGACACCAGAAAGGTTTCACACATTGTACCCATGTGGGGAATCGAATCCGGGTCTTTGGTGTGACGAACGAATGTTTTAACTACTAGGCTACCCACCGTCCCTCGCAGGTCATGGAGTGAAACAACATTTGGGAGATGATGACCTGAATATTGCAAAGGTGTGTAATGGCCATCGTTTTCGTATATCTCTATAACGTATGAAATATTGTTCAACTATGACATGAGTTAAAATTCCCTTGAAATGACCAGATTTGGATATGCCCTACATTTCTTATAATACCCGGTCATAGGTATGTGAATTATTATATGGAGAGTGAGTGAGTGAATTTAGTTTCACGCCGCTTTTGGCAATATTCCAGCAATATCACGGCGGGGGACACCGCAAATGGTCTTCACGCATTGTACCCAAGTGGGGAATCGAACCCGGGTCTCCGGCGTGACGAGCGAACGCTTTAACCACTAGGCTACCCTACCGCCCCTATTATATGAAGCGCCCGTTGTGAATGACCCACGTGACGCAACCATCTATCAGGCTAGCGTAACGCGAAATGTTCGCTGACATGTTGCCAGTAACTAACTATCTCAACAGAATCAACAGACAGTTTATGAAGGTTTTGCACATCTTCTGTTTCGAAGGTAGAACTAATAATTATGATATGAGGATAATTAGGATCCACAGTTTCAATTTGCTGTACATGTATTATGTATTTTAGTTTATATAACACCATTGTGCGATTGTTTACAACCTTTAAGAATATATGACACGTTTATGAAAAACAATTTTGATAAACATACAACTTAACTTCAAACAGACAGAAGTCTTATGTAAAATGACCTTTGTCTTATTTCTCAGCGTTTCCTTAATTATCATTTTTAAGTTGATGTATTCATTAACAAGATACATTAGACATATATATGAAAGCTGGTGTAATGTTTGAAAAACTGAACCATAATGAATTCGATCGAGACAGTAGTCTCGTATAACGTAAATAATAATAATAGTCCATTGATCATGCGCATTGCCCCACGTTATATAACATCATTGCAACTGCTCAGCTGATAAAAAGGGACACAATCTTTTCTATAATCATAATAAATCTCTACCAGACTGCACGCTGTCAACCTCTCAGAAATGAATCACTACTGCGTTCACACGGGTGTTCGGGGTTGGTCGAGGTCACCATGCCCTGTCGGTGGGACACGCAGCAATTCATTCAATGGCAGCCAAAGATGTTCCCGAAAATTAAACCAAGAGGACATGTGGTGGAATACACAAAGGGGAATTGCATAGGACAACATGTTTATAACTGGTTCGTCAGATCTGCACATGTGAAACCCAGTTTGTGCCTCCGTTAACTTGTCATCATAGGCTTTCATCATATTATAACAGGTATTTGGGTATCTATTTTAGTCCATACGAATAATTCGGCACCAATATTTAATACACATTGAATAACAATGTACACACAAATTATAGCTGCCAATTTCTCCAAGTACAGCACAAATGCTGTTGTTTTACTGATTGACAAAAATCTCTTAAAATACTCACTATGGACCTTTCAATACACGTACGCGTTCTATAACTATAGCCCCAAAGTTCACTTCCATGGGTTAAAATCGGTAGTATCGCGTATATCGCACTGACAAATATGTTTTGAGCAATAGCTAAGGGCATACTTTGTTACCTGGGGAACAGTTGAAACAGAGGGAAACATGCACGTTTGTCTTGTAAAGATAGAGTATCACAGGCTTTTGGCCAAACTAAACAAGATGAAAATACAATTCTAAATATTTATGATAAGGGATGACCTCTACCGGCAAACCTTTAAAGGGCCATTTTTCATTCCCTTTAACACGTCCCCCATTTTGAAAAACAACCACCTTAGATTTATCTAGATTTACTTCACAACCCCACTTGTTACAAAAATCTTCAGGAATGTCTAATCAACAATGCTATCTGCCAGGAGCGCAACATGATCAGCGAACAATAATATCTTGATACCTTCTATGTATTCATTTATTGAGTTCTTTGAGTATTGCTTTGATGACGATCGTCTGCAAGTTTATTGATAAATAAGATAAAAAGTAGCGGACTTAGCATGCAACCCTGGCGTACACCATTACTAGCTAAGGGATTCACATTATCCATATGGTGCGAGAAAGATCTGTTTTCCCGTGTGAGCGGGCATCTCATTGTTAACTATCTGAGGGAAGATGACGTGTATCATAAATTGTAACTATGTAATGTAAATAACGAATCGTTTGCTTTTGGATTTGGTGCTATGGCATTTTCTTTTAATTAAATAAGAATATAATGAATAAAAACAAAACATTACTAGCTGAAAGAAATCTGTTCTAGATTTACCAGTACGAACATAGTCACATACATTTGAGTACATATTCTCAATGATTTATACATCTTGTTGTGTACACCCTTTTCAAGTAGCAGTCGGTAGTCTCGTGCGGTCGCTTTAACCACTAAGCTGCCCCACCATCCACTCAGAAGTGAACAGAGGCATGTGCAGTGGCTATCGTCTCGAGATATTGCCCTCCCTACGCCCTCCTCCCCCACCACGCACCTCAAACCCCCAATGTGTCGTGACAAACGGCAGTAAGGCGGCCCTACAATCTATACCATATTTATTAAAGCTACTGTCGCAACGAGTACGAAAGTTAAATCGTTTTTATAGTTTGTCAAACTGAAATTGAATTAATAAAAATCTTTCTTCTACACTTGGTACGGGAGTCAAAATGACTTGAACACAGTGAAGATTTCGGGGTAGACTTGGTCTTTACTAACCCATGCGTATCATAATATACAACTAAGGGGATCGGGGGGTCAGGCTCTCTGACGTGCTCCATGCATGTCTTCGTATCCCAAATGCATTAACCATTGCTCATGATATCAATCAATGGATTGTTTGGTCTAGACTTGAATATTTACAAACTGTCGTCGCGTAATAATAATATTGCTCGGTGCGTAGTTACACAACAAACAAACAACAGACGCGACTGACCTCCCCCCCCTACACTTTATAGGCTTGAACCAAAGAAACCAAACCAATTCCTACAGTGACGGGGGACAGTGGAGTCGCGCACTGGGTAAAAATTTGCTTGTCACCCCGAAGTGCCGATTTCGACGTGGGTACAATGTTTGAAGCCCATTTCCGGTGTCCCCGCCGCCGTAATATTGCGGGCATAGTTTGAGTGAGTGAGTGAGTGAGTGAGTGAGGTAGGTTTTACGCCGCTTTGAACAATATCACGGGGGAGGACACCAGAAATGGGTTTCACGCATGGCCCCCATTTGGGGAATCGAACCCGGGGATTTTCGTGTGACGAACGAACGTTTTAGTTACTGGGCTACCCTACCACCCCAGATCCAGGCAGTAAATCGCGTACACATTCGTTGCAAGAAAATTGAAAAAATAATCTCTGTAGTACCTTTCTCGTAAACACAATAACTGCTCCCGTCGCGACCTTATGGACCCAGTTCACACCTAAGCCACCCAAAACAGTTTGCGGAACAGTTCTCGAGCTGAAACCGACCCTACACAGGTTCACGCGCTCAGCTGACCTGAATAGTGTACGTTACAGGGCAGCTTACATAAACTAGTTGTACATCATTTGGCATTTTAACCTTGCAGTATATCCCTACAATCCTGAATGGTGATATGGTTGTTTTAATAAATAAACAAGGTTCGTACTGGTTATAAGCTGTACATTTCTTGTGAAAATTTTCAAAATACTTTACTAAAATGTAGTTGTGTCTGAGATTGCCTCCCCTGGCGAGGGGGTCGATAAGACGATGACGTCTGAATGTAAACAAGTCGATAGGGTTTGTGATAGACATGTTTGCCACGTTGGACCGGCGTGTGGAAACCTCAAAGTTTTAAACTTTTCAAATGTTAAAAACCTAATCGAATGATTAACTATGATTATTCAAAAGCGATTTATGTTTTGTCGACAATATGCGTTAGCACAATACACTTACTGGTTTAGAGAGAGAGAGAGAGAGAGAGAGAGAGAGAGAGAGAGAGAGAGAGAGAGAGAGAGAGAGAGAGAGAGAGAGAGATACGGGAAGGCGGAGGAGGAGGGAATGAAAGAAGGTGGGAGGGAGGGAGAAGGATTGAGAGAGTATTTCCATGCATATATATTTCTACTGTATAGGATTTCATTAATTCATGGGCCAGGCATATACTACGATTACTATTAACTCTGTAAATTTATGATACAGCTTTCATATACATCAGACACATAGAACCCAAATCATAAAACACGTTACAGTCAGATGTTCAAGCTCGATATCTGTCCTTTTAGTTTACCAAATACACAGTCGGAATCATAAATACATATACGTGTACAAAGATAACACCTAAAGGTCATAATCCATGTATATCATAATATAGTACTTTATATTAATGATATTTTGTACTTACTTGGACTAATATCGCAGTAATGTGAGCTAGCAGAACATATCTCGTCAAGGAAGCCATGTTTCCGTGTGTTATCGGTGCCTTTCGACCTGTCATTCATAGTTGGTCACAGCTGGGGGTCGTGACGTAGCGCATTCACCACGTGCAGCTCGTGGAAGTGGTGACAGGCGCTCTGAATCAATGCCTTGTACCACACTGCAAGATATTTCAAAGTAACGGTTGATACATTGTTACTGCGCTTTTGGATTCAGTGGCCCATATAACTGTGTTAGACTGCAGAGATGAAATTCGCTTTTGATTGTGATAAATGCTGAAGTGTGCAATCCCTGTAGATACGATGGAATGCAAGTGTTTGATAACAGTCGTGCGAATCTTAAAACACGAATCGCATTTGACAAATCATGTTACAACGTTCTTGTGCTGTTATTATAATAGTTGTTGCTGTCATTTTGATACCATTCCATTTAGTATTTGGGAGAAAAAAAATCCAACAGTTTAATATCTATAAAATACTATGTTTGTTCGCGGTCTTTAAGTAACCCATGCTTGTCGTAAGAGACGACAAACGGGATCGGATGTAGCTAAGATACATAGTGTTAGTGAACGCTATGTATCTTAGCTAGATCGGATGGTCAGACTTGCTGACTTGGTTGACACAATCCCATCGAATCCCAATTACGCAGATCGATGCTCATGCTGTTGATCACTGGATTGTACAGACTTGATTATTTACAGACCGCCGCCGTATAGCTGGAATATTGCTGAGCGCGGTGTTAATCAACAAACCAGCCAACCAATCGAATGTCTAATGTTAAGGAAATACAGCAACTCGCATACTTAAATATGATACTTCAGAAAAGGCTGGGAAATAAGCCAAATGTCATTTCACATAAAACTTCACTCTACTTGTAGTTAAATTGTATGCTCATCAAAACTGTATTTCATAAACGTGTAATGAAAAATAACTCACATCGGGTTTTGTACGTTATCAATCTATTATGAATTATTATGAAAGTAGTCCAGTAGGTTATGTAAACCAATTGTTGTCAGTGAATTAGTCAGTCTAAACGGGCAGCATACTGTTTGATTGCTTCATTAGCTTGTTAATAGCACCAAGCGAAATGCCACATACACAGACGTGTTTTCATGTCGAGAAAACATGACGCCCATGTTGTATGTGCCGTGTATTTCGAGAACCCATGATGCCTGCTGGTTTATTTATTTCATGTACTTCGAGAAAACCTGATACCATTAGATAATCTTCCCCGCCGTCAACAATAGAAGGAACAGAATATAAATAGTATAAATAAGAAGTAGAAAATATATCACGAAAACGGGAGACGTAATGTAGACCAAGTTGTCTTTGTTTGGAGAAACTTACGTACACAGTATATTTATAGTTACACAGGCATTATTGTCAGAAAGAAAGTAGAAACAGGAAAACTATTAAGTGTATACAATGTAAATAAATGAATGAATGAATGAATAAATAAATAAATAAATCCTCTGACTGCATATACACACACATATCATGATACATAGAGAATATAAAATACGAGTCCAGATATTTCTTCTTATCAAATCTCCTTTATATCTCCACAAGATCTTTCGCCGTTCAACGGCTCTTCAGGTGTACAATCATCATCGTGACTGATGATGATATATATATATGGGGTGGTGGGGTATGATTATGATGATTGTTGGTAAAGCATGTACCATGTGAATGACCTCCCTAAAATTTATGTTCAAAGTAAGTGACCCCCCCGCATGCCATGTACAAAATCAATTTACCTCCCCCCCTCGACCCTATCTTACACATATGCATTTATGTACACAATTTTTGAACCCCCCTAGTACATGTGTACAAAACTGCTGACATCCCTACCTCCCCTGAACAAAATGGGTGACCCGCTTAAAATCACCAACAACCCCACAACCACCACCCACCATAACTCATGAACGGTCCTAAGATGGCAGTAGTATATGTGCACATACGATCTTCTTAACACGAAGATCGCTCGACGCTACATACCTTCAGGGGAGCTAACTGTGTCACACGAGACACCTGGTACACGCATAAAAACAAATTGCAAGCATACTCACTATAAGGTTCAGCCAATGTCATGGAAGAATAGATATAACCCTATAACCCTGAGAAGTTACGTACATGTTGTATAACACCCCAGCACTTGCCGCAGGTCGTTTTGAGATCTGACTTTAACCCTCCTTAGGTTTGACGACAAGTAACTTATTAAATATGCAGAGACATTCTTCGATTGAGCGTAATGTGAGACTACCGCGGTTGACAGAGGTTGCTATAGAAACGGAATTCAGTGTTTAGACCAGTGAAGATTGTTTATTAACATGTGTATATATGGCAACGGCATTTGACTATTTTGTATCAGTCGTGATTTGACCTTTCTCACATGTGGTTGATTAAAAATGCATTAAAAAAGAACGACAGAAATAAACACTGATTTGGGCAAACACAGGGCCTGTTGTTCGCTTGTCAGGGTCTTTCCGAGGTTGCTTTCAGTAGATCGTGCACACAGTTAAAGAGATCAAGAGTGAAGAGTGATGATGATGATGATGATGATGATGATGGTGGTGGTGGTGATGATGATGATGATGGTGGTGGTGGTGATGATGAGTGAGTGAGTTTAGTTTTACGTCGCTTTTAGCAATATTCCAGCAATATCACGGCGGGGGACACCAGAAATGGACTTAACACATTGTGCCCATGTGGGGAATCGAACCCGGGTTTTCGGCGTGACGAGCGAGCGCCTTAACCACTAGGCTACCCCACCGCCCCGATGATGATGATGATGATGATGATGATGATGATGATGATGATGATGATGATGATGATGGTGGTGGTGGTGGTGACTACGAGATGGTACGTAGTTAGGTCACGTGCTGGTCAATACATTGCACTCATATAGAAACATATACGTAGTAGGGCTGGGACGAGTCCGAATTTTCTACCCGGGTACTCCACCCCCTATTACTTTACTCTACCCGGATACCCGTAATGTTAATTCCCAACATCAAATTTGCAAGAAATGGCAATATATTCTTCAGCTCGGAGGGTAAAATTTTGAGTTTTTTCAATATCTTAACCATATATTGTATTCAAAAGAAGTGACTGTAAATTATGTCTAAATCTTCAAAGACAATACAGTCACATGATCATAACGGGTCCGGGTAGTGAGACAGGTACCCGGGTCAAATTCACTACCCACCCGTCCGGGGTATCCGGGTTACCTATTCCAACCTTACAACGTAGATGCACATGCGCGCACGTTTGTGCGTGGCTGCGTGTACTATTCAAGATTACTGCCTTGTTTATAGTGACAGATTGCAAAGAAACTCGATTTGTAGACATAATTTCATTAATTTACTGTCAATATTTTACAAATAACGTTACATTGGCATACGGAACAATTCAGACACATTGCCATAACAATATATAAGAAGAAGTTACCTTGAGAGATGTTGACCACAGGATTTACAGACGTAAGCTAAACTCACTCACTCACTAGTCCAGACAAGTGCGTGGTGTATAAGAGACTAATCTAGAACTTACTGGCTTGGTGTATCTTAGCCTTCTAGCACTATAAAACCAGCATTAGTTCCGATAAAACAGCAACATGAACAACAAATAGCGTGAGTGGGCATTTTACGACTGCTTCGAATGATCCACGCGTAAAGGGCAAATAACTCCAACATTCTAAGTGTCAAACATGGCGACCCCCCAAGAAAGTTCACTGCAGTCTGCGTTGGAGGAATTAACTATCTATGACGTTGATGGGAAAGCTCAACCAGCAAAGACAATGCTACCAAGGACTGACGAAAGGTTTTCTCTCCTTGTTTTCCTTCGAAATTTGGCATGAATTGCGTGGTATGTACATTTGTTCAACTTTGAAAGTTTTATAAGGTTGACATGGCGTGCTCTGGTTTGTGACCTGTGGCCTGTGGGCTATATTTAGTACAGGCTAAAAGGCTTACTTGGTTCAAAGTTCACTTTCTTCGTTTTGCTAAGTGATGAATAGAAAATCGAAACTTTACAAAATAAGAACATTGCTTGGAAATACGGAGAGAAATACGACATATCTATTTGGGAAACTTCAGATAGCTGCAATGAAGTGAACCAACATTATTATTTAAAGGGCCACTGATCCAGAGCAATTTCCGTGGACTGGTTGTTGCTTTTGTTATTGTTTTTCTCCAGTGAGTACCCGGATGATATCCCAGCATATTCATGACTGGTTCGTTACCTGTCCTGCGCCACCCTCATGAGCAATTGATAGTATAAGCATGATAAGTATAGACTGATCAACAAAGATGAAATCTTTTTTACTCTATAATCTTATGTTGATTTTGTTGTAAAATTATGTAGACTTTGATGAATAATTTGGTTTCTTTTAAAGAAATATTCACTTTGATAAAAGTGCTGATTTTGATGTAAATTTTTTATTTCATAGTAATGTTGACGTAAATGGATGTAGAATTTGAACTCAGAAATAGTTTGACCTTGAATTTGGTGAGAAGCCTGATACAGTAGCATTGTTTTAAAAGTAAGGCTAACTAAGTACATGGGGAGTCTTGGGGAGAGTAGTGAGCTTGGGTTCACTACTAGTCAATCTGAATGTTGTATTAAATGGCATTATTTTGATAACAAATGAAAACGTTTTAAGTTTAAAAGATAAGCTGCGTATCTGCGTAAATTACGCAAATATTTATGTGAAAACTCTATTGCGTACAAGTACGCTTGAAGTTTGGTAAATACTCAATAAATGTGATCTTACATGCGTACACAGGAAAATGGCAAATCTTAGCTTGCGTACCGGTGGATAGATAAATAACCGAGGTATACTGAGGGGTTCTATTTCAGAACATGAACTTGACAACTTGCAGTCTTTCTTATCGTTTCTCATATTACAGGTCAAATATGCAACAAACACTTAAAAACTTTTTTAAATTTTCAAAATTAATGGAAAATGGCAAAATACCCAATTGAGTTTAAATGAAGTGAGTACAATTTATTTGGTTACTCAAAGGAAAATTAGGATACCCAATTGTGATGAACACAAGCGAGTACATAACTCAATGACCCAAATAGTTATCTGGAGCTCTGAATATCTAGACATGTTATAGATGGCCAACGTGTATCATATTTCTCACACACGCCCTGAGTGCGACCTAGTGTATGTTGTCTGTCTCATTACACTTCAATGCCCCAAAAATGATTCTGTTGAATGCCATAACAAATAAATAAAAGCAAAATGCAAATATTAAAATTAAAACAGACTAAAGTTATAGAAACAATGTCAGGCTATTACCTTGTTTGGGGAATGTATCCATCAATATCCACATAAAGGAATGAGATGACATTCATCTGCAGCTGACAAAGAATCCTGTTCCATGTCATGTGTCTTTTAACAGTCTTATATGCGAAAAAGTGATCTATCGTTTCAGGTTTTTCACATTGGTGTATAGTCCCATTGGTCACCCAAGATAGCACACCTGGCAACTAATTGCATGATGTCCGCCATTCTTTAAAAAAGTAATTTAGTTACGGTTTCGTAATTAGACTGTTGGCTGGAAACAATCATCGCTCTGGATCAGTGGCCCTTTAAAAGATGTAAACAAACAAACACTGGCATTATATACACTATAGTGTATTTAAGAAACTGTTTTCCATAAGTTGTGTCTACTTTAGCAATGACCACATTTGACTGGGGTATTTGTTTATACTTCTCATTATATTTTAATGCACTATTATCTTCGGAAGATAAAAACACAAATTACAAGCTTCAGTTTGTATTAATTGCCATGGTTACATAAGATGCATAACCTGAACTATTCAGACTATTATTCTCTCAAGTCCCATGACTTCATGACAATCCAGATCAGATCAAGATGATATCACAACTCTTATAAAAATACTCTCAGCCTTGACAAGTGTCTTAGGTAAAAATACACATACGGGAATGTAAAGTTGATTGACTCAGATCTGTTACATGAGTTATTATTCTTAAGGTGCCCTCATGCTTGGTATCGGGCGGTGGGGTAGCCTAGTGGTTAAAGCTTTGGCTCATCACACCGAAGACCCGGGTTCGAATCCCCACATGGGTACAATGTGTGAAGCCCATTTCTGGTGTTCCCCGCCGTGATGTTGCTGGAATATTGCTAAAAGCGGCGTAAAACCAAACTCAGTCAGTCAGTCATGCTTGGTATCAATGATAATTTTACAGGCAAATTTGGAAAGCTGTTGTGATATTGATCCAAATATACTTTTTTGTATTCTTTGTTGAATAAATTCAGATTAAATGGGAATTTTTAATTGTAATTTGGGAATTTTTACTGTCATTTGGAGCTTTAGTGGTGTTCTGACCCCACTGTGAAAGACAAGTAGCAGTGTGAGAATTAGTGGTGGTCCGATTAATTGAAATAATCGAAGATTGGTCGCAGTGACTAAACGACCAAGCAATCGAGCATGTTTTCTCATAATCGAACACAAACAATTCCGGAAAACTTGTTTTCATAAACAATATTTTTCACAAGGTTGGTTTTGTCTGTTACATTTCATAATCACTACAAGCTCGTTTCAAGTCATGATTGAATTTATCTTAAAGACTCCAAGACATTTATGTTCCTGACATACTAGTCATCCTTTAAAGATGTGAAATTTTGCCAAAAAACCCAAAAGAACTACATGTTTTTTCCGTATTTTTATGTGCATTAACAAATTCATTAATGACGCTAACCACCTTTTTTCGATGATTGATCGGATGTAATAAACCAATCATCAATTATGAGATTTTAACCAATTCCCAACACTAGTGAGAATACATAAGGTTTTCACAAGTGCCAGCAATGCTTTACAAAGCTTACATCCAGATGTAATAGTGAATGAGTTTAGTTTTACGCCGTCTTTAGCAATATTCCATCAATATCACGGCAGGGGACACCAAAAATAGACTGCACACCAGATGTAATAGATCAACATAAATTATGTAAATGTTTTCTTCAACTGAACATGCAAGCGCTTTTCACATAACTTACTTTTGTATGTATAACCTCTGAATGCATGTATGGCTTCTGTAGTTAAGTTATTTACAACACAGACTCGTAATATACATGTCTTTGCACAATATAATTCATTTCAGACACTGCAAGTTTGACAAGTTCAATGAAATTTATATTTCAAATTTTCACATGATTTCTAGACTTCTTTTCTTCTGTTGTAACTGGACCAAATATGTTATTAATTCTTTTTTAAAGCTTTTCATTTCCAATTTGTTTACTTTGTGTACTTCGGTACATGAAGAGAAAAATTTATAATCCTGGGACACTAAGGTATGTTTTTAAGAGTTGTCCCAAAGCTGTATATTACAGTCTATTGGAAAAGAGACACGATCCAGTAATGGATAGTTGGCATAACACTGCATGGTACAGGTCAATATGAAGCCTTCTTGCGCAACGGATATCAAATTTATGTCACTCCATGTTGGGTTCTAAATTGAATTAAATATGTTTAAAAGTACAGATAACCCAGCTGTTCATTGAAAACACATTATATATATATCTATTAATCAGCAGCAGTACTATCTGCCTTTCATTGGAAACTCAAGGTAAAAGTATAAACCCGGATCTTCACACAGGGGCTTGTATTGCTGAAAATAATATGTCTTGGACCTGGGACGTATTATTTTCAACAATTCTAACCCGGATCTTAACGGGTACATAATCTATGAACACAACATAAGGCCTTGTAATGTGAACTGCTTATGGAACTTATTGATAGCAGAATTTCTGCAAGGCAATTTGAAGATTTCTTATAAAGAATTAATAACTATGCCATTAATATCACACTTTTTACAATCAAACATGATTGTTTTAACTAAAATGATCAACCTAAGTGTTTAATTAAAAAAGGCTTGCAATAATTTTCATTTTCATTTTTTTTTACCTGGCAATTTCTTCTTTTCCTCAATATTCAGACACTTCAGACATTGTTATGAAACTTTTTCAAGGGGTCAATTTGTAGCTGGGATTAAGTGAAAGTCTTCCAGCAAATCATCAAGCGATCAGCAGTCCCTAAAGCGTATGGAGATAAAACTTTGTTTATAAAATGCCATATTGAAAGATTGTGGCCTCGGCATGTATAATTTTGAAATTTGATATGCAGCAAGTATGCTGAATAATATTTCAGACATTGTTTTATTTTTTTATTTTTAATCAGTGTATTGAATAACCTTGTGACCTACATCCTTCTTTTGTTCTGTTGTTCGTTGGTAATGTTACGTTCATGTTTCAATCTATGACTGACTGACTGAGTTTGGTTTTACGCCACTTTTAGCAATATTCCAGCAGCATCACGGCGGGGGACACCAGAAATGGGCTTCACACATTGTGCCCATGTGGGGATTCGAACCCGGGTCTTCGGCGTGACGAGCCAACGCTTTAACCATTAGGCTACCCCACCGCCCTCTTAAATCTATAAACATTCAAGGACTATGGAGCTGAATCTTGACCTTTTTCAAACAATCATCTGTTTTTGAAAATCATGAAATATCATTGCAATATATCTTGACATGTTCTGTCTCAACTCATAGCCTGAACAGTGACTATTAAAACTTTGTTTACTTTAGACCCGTGAAGATCCGGGTTAGAATTGATCTTCAGCAAATAAGGGGATCAGGTGGTCAGGCTCGCTTATTTGTTTGACACATGTCATTGGTTCCCAGTTCAGTAGATCGATGCTCATGCTGTTGCTCACTTGATTGTCTGGATAGCCTTGATTATTTACAGAGTGACTGGACTGAGTGTGGCGTTAAACATCAACAAGCAAACATTTTACCTAATATGTCAGTAGTAAGGTCAATTGAGCTACAGAGCCCTGAGGCCTTATTCTTGAAGTTGGCGTACTGTTCTAACATTAGTGTCTCTTTCGTTACAGTCAGCTGCGCATGCAGGCAATGCTGCCTCTGTCGTCCCTCTTGGTTGACAACGGCGTGCGGCTTATATTCATCACCTCATCCGAATCTAAACAAACACAGGAATTTCTCAAGACCTCGACTGTACCTCTGTGTGGGGAAATCTTTGATGATCCCAGCGTCTCTACCTACAAGGTCTTCAGTCTGAAACGTGGCGTGTTCAGATCAATATTTCGGCCTCTTGTGCGTGGAGTGAAGAAATACGGGTTTAAGGGCATTGTTGAAGGTACATTTGTGTTTGTCTTGTATTATTAGTGAGTTTGGGAATCTTGTCAAACGGTGAAGACAGCAACAACGTCATTCTCTTCCCACAGAGGTCACTTGTCATATCTTCCTACGAACCTCTGTTCTAATACGGCCATATTTCCCGGTTCTCGTAAAATCCCCTAGCGGCAAAAAGTCGCAACACGAATTATCTCCCTTCTTTATCCAATCAGAACACGTGTTACAGCGACTTAGATCCAGCTTGACTAATACAAACAAATGTGGGGCCACAAATGTCCCCCATCAGCAGGGAATTGTGTTGATGTGACACACAAGACATTTGATGGCTAGCTTGTCCGTTGTCAACGAGGGCGATGGAGATGCCATTGATCCGACATTACATGACTGAGATCTGTCTAGAAGAAATGTTTGCGCAGGGGAAGAGGTTCTAGTTTTCCCGAAGCATATGGAAATTACCGAGACCTTGCAAATGATCACTTTTGAAACAACGTCGCTGATTGCACAACTAAATCTGATTGCAACCAATGACGAATCCTGAACACTCGCACCATGAAAGGGCCGTATTAGAACAGAGGCTCGTAGGAAGATATGACAAGTAACCTCTGTGGGAAGAGAATGCAACAACATTTGGTAAGGATGAAAATACTCATTTTAAGTCAAAGATGAGTCCTTTGAAAGGACTGGTGATTAGGGCAGTGCTGTGGCTGATATAATTATGATTGAAATACTGTTCATTGCAGTGTTACAGCTGATGTGATATATTTGAATGATTGTTTACATTTTCAGGGTTCCGCCTGGGATTAGAGAAATCTCATTTGGCAGGAGATTCCTGGCAGCAGGGTGGTACCGTGCTGCTTGACCGTAGTGGACAGGTGTTGTTCCAGGTGAGTGACGTGTTGTAACAGGTGTTGGATGTATTGTACCAGCAGTGTGATGTATTGTATACTGTATTCTATCAGCTGTGTAGCATGTTGTATGATGTATTGTATCAGCTGTATGATGTATTGTATGATGTATTGTATCAGCTGTATGATGTATTGTATCACCTGTGTGATATGATCTATCGTCTCTGTGATGTATTGTATCAGCTGTGTGATGTATTGTATGTATTGTATCACCTGTGTGATGTTTTGCATAAACTGTGTGATGTATTGTATCAGCTGTGAGATGTATTGTATCAGCTGTGTGATGTATTGTATCAGCTGTGTGATGTATCAGCTGTGTGATGTATTGTATGTGCTGTATGATGTATTGTATGATGTATTGTATCACCTGTGTGATGTGTTTTATCTGCTGTATGATGTATTGTAGGAGTTGTATGATGTATTGTATCACCTGTATGATGGATTGTATGATGGATTGTATCACCTGTGTGATGTATTGTATAATGTATTGTATGAGCTGTATGATGTATTGTATGATGTATTGTATCACCTGTGTGATGTATTGTATGAGCTGTATGATGTATTATATGATGTATTGTATCACCTGTATGATATATTGTATGATGGATTGTATGAGCTGTATGATGTATTGTATGATGTATTGAATCACCTGTGTGATGTGTTGTATCAGCTGTATGATGTATTGTATGATGTATTGTATCACCTGTATGATGTATTGTATGATGGATTGTATGAGCTGTATGATGTATTGTATGATGTATTAAATCACCTGTGTGATGTGTTGTATGAGCTGTATGATGTATTGTTTGATGTATTGTATCACCTGTGTGATGTATTGTATGAGCTGTATGATGTATTATATCACCTGTGTGATGGGTTGTATCAGCTGTATGATGTATTGTATGATGTATTGTATCACCTGTATGATGTATTGTATGATGGATTGTATGAGCTGTATGATGTATTGTATGATGTATTGAATCACCTGTGTGATGTGTTGTATGAGCTGTATGATGTATTGTTTGATGTATTGTATCACCTGTGTGATGTATTGTATGAGCTGTATGATGTATTATATCACCTGTGTGATGTGTTGTATGAGCTGTATGATGTATTTTATGATGTATTGTATCATCTGTATTATGTATTGTATGATGTATTATATCACCTGTATTATGTATTGTATGATGTATTGTATCACCTGTGTGATGTATTGTATGATGTATTCTATCAGCTTTGCGATGTATTGTATCACCTGTGTGATACGATCTGTCTTCTCTGTGATGTGTTGTATCAACTGTCCAATATATTTGTTTAATTGTCCTTGATGTTTTTGGTTTTTAGCACACAGAGGAAGATCCCGCTGACTGGCCAGACATGAAAGTAGTTCTGCGTTTGGTTGGGATGTCTGATACCAGTGTAGACTATGAGAAGGCTGTGTCTGATTGGCTGAAAGCAAGAGATGCTGAGAGAGCTGCCCGATAGTTACCTCCCTTTGACATCATTCATCTGCTCAAACATGGCATACTTTTTAGGCCAGTCGCCTGTTTGCATCAATTGGATGCATAATTGTCTTGTTAAGAATGTATTCAATGAAACAACTCCACACCCACCACCCATTACCTGACCCCACCAACACCTGACCCCCTACTCCGCCCTCACCCCAGCCTCACCATGGATGTCAAATGGCCCAAGCATTACTTTGATATAAAAGACATTGCTATATGAATGGAGACATATCATTATTCTTACAATGGATAAATGAAAAATGTGATCCATTTTTACATTTTGTATTATTACAAACAAAATGTAATTATGTAAATGTGATACTTTTTTGTACATGAAATACTTCTGAAAGTGGTTCTTCCTGTTGCGATTTGTTCCTATTTATGAAGATGATTCACTGAAATCCTTTTGAAGGAAGGAATTGTTTGATGACGACACTTCGGAAAAGTGTGAACCATTTTCAAAACTACATGTATTTTTATAGTCTATGCATTAGGTACTGTTTTGAGGGCAGCATTTCTAGTCTGTTTATCTTTATGTAACTGGATTATACACTTTGTAAGAAGATGATCATGTTGCATTTAAGGAATAAATATTTTTCGTTAGTGTATGTTTCTGTTTAATATTCAAATGGTATATCCTAAAGAAGGAGCTGACTTATTTTACAGTGAGTGAGTGAGTGAGTTGGGTTAAACTTGGCTGTTTTCTTGACTATGAAGTTTCTAATACTTGCTCAATGATCTAGCAGATGAAGCATCTACATGTTTCAACTGTTTATATATTTTTTCAGATGTCCATTATAATGAACTGCCAGAATTGTTAAATTTACTTCAGGCTTCTGGGACCATCTTCGTAGTCTAGTAGATGTCATATACCTTCAGGTTAGAGCGTCCGCCCGGAGAGTGGAAGGTCCCGGGTTCGATCCCAGTCCGCGTCATACCAAAAGACATTAAAATATGGTACTTGTTGGTCCCAGCCTGGTGCTCGGCATTAATGGGTATAACAAGGACTGGTCAGCCCGGAGTCCGTATAATGTGTCTGAGTGGAGTATTCATGCTTCACTGCGGCATGGTATCTCAGTGGGCTAGCACTATAAAACCAGCTTCAGTCTGGGCTAGTACAAGCAGCCGCACATACACATACACACGCCTGCACGTCGTCATATGAGCGAAATATTCTCAAGCACGACGTAAAACCCAATTTCACCTCACCTCACCTCATATACCTTCAAAGGTTTCGGAAGCCTCAAATTTTGAACTCACAGTGAAAATGTCGCTGGACAAACAGCAGACGGACGGCACCACCGAGCACGTCCAGCCTTACTTCAAAGGCAAGCAAGAAGTCGCGACTCAACTCGAGTCCGTTGACACCTTGTTTGCAAAAATACGAGAATCCCTGGAACGCTACACGCACATGTGCTCACGCTGGGTCGTGGACAGGGTCGACATGGTCTATCTGGACATGGAGAACTAGGAGGGTCGTACCTAGACTTGCCACCATACTACAAGAAAAAGCAAGCCATGGTCAACGTCAAAAACAAAGGCTGTGATTGCATGAGGGTTGAGATCAGATCCGCTAAGTTTCCGGTCAAAGCACATTCAGACAGACTTTCGAGCTTTCCCGAACACGATGGATCAACTGGGATGGCATAGACGAACCCACCCCCATCTCCCAGGTCACCAAAATCGAAAAACAGAACGACGACATAGCCATCAATATCTTCGGACAAGAAGGGAATAAAACAATAGTGCACAGGATCAGCTCCCTCACAAACGAACACCGCAAACGTGCCCGTACATCTATTTCAACGCCTGACTTCGAAGCCACTCATCAAAACCGCATCGACACTGTCGTGGGAGAGGCGTCATCTGTAGACCCCTGGAAAAAGTTTCACTCATAAATGCCTGTGCCCTAGAACACAAAGCCTGTGGGTTCGGTTAAAAAGTTTCATCATTCGATCCGACCGCGGGTTCGAACTAACGCTCATCCTGTGGTCTACCGAGGTCCCAGTCTACCGAGGTCGGCCAGCGAAAGATTTCTCACATGTTTGCAAAACGAAGAGAAAATCATCAGGAAACAGTTGTTCACCATCGTCCCCATGCGCATGACCCAAGACGTCTGGTGAACTCATAAGAAGGCTAAGAATTGCCACGTGTGCGACGAATGGGGATGTCGTGAGAGATCACATCCACGTCACCGGTAAGTACAGAGGTGCCGCTCACAACGCGTGCAACTTGAAGCTCAGAATCAATCCCAAGACCATCAAAATCCCCGTCGTGTTTCACAATCTTCGTGGTTACGATTCACACCTGATCATGCAGGCCATCGCGAAGGTCGACGGAACATAGTGTGCATCCCCAACAACATGGAAAAATACATATCATTTTCGATAGACGATCTGAGATTTATCCGTGCGTTCAGTTCCTGCTGTAGTCTCTAGACAGTCTAGTGAACATCAACAACACGGACGACTTCGACATCACCAATAGATACACTGACACCGAGACTCGACCCCTGCTGCTGAGGAAGGGCGTCTACACCTACGAGTACATGGATGATTGGTCTAAGTTTGACGAGACGCGATTACCTCCCATCGACCAATTTTACAGCAACTTGATCGATTCCAATATCTCTCAAGACGGTTACGCGCACGCGATTAACATGTGGGACGAACTCGGCTGCAAGAATTTGGGTGATTACCACGACCTGTACTTGAAAACGGACGTGCTGCTGCTGGCCGACATGTTTGAGATATTCAGAAAAACGGTCTCTCTTGGGACGCCTTGTTGAAAAAGACCGGCGTGGAGCTGAAACTACTGACGGATTACGACATGCACCTGTTCGTGGAAAAAGGCTTGCAAGGTGGCATTTCCATGACCTCCAACCGATATGCCAAAGCCAACAACAAGTACATTCCCAGTCATGACCGCGGCAAACCGACCATACAAATACTCTATCTTGACGCCAACAACCTGTACGGCTGGGCCATGAGTCAGTATCTCCCCACCGGGGGATTCAAATGGGTCTCTTCGCCTGAGAAGATTGACGTGAATAGCATCGCGCCGGATTCGAACAAAGGCTACATGCTCGATTCGGACTTGGACTCTTCCGCAGAAATACACGAATCGCACAACAGCTATCCGCTAGCTCCCAAATGATTGACGGTGAACCCTGACTGGATGTCCGAATATCAACGAAACCTGCTGGTAGACAACAAGCTGGCTAACATCGAAAAACTCGTGCCGAACTTGATGAACAAGTCAAAATAAGTTGTTCACTATCGCAATCTGCAACTGTACTTGTCGCTGGGAATGAAACTCACGAAAATACAGAGGGTGCTCCAGTTTGATCAAAGTCCATGGATGGAACCTAACATTCGGTTGAAGACGTATCTGCGAAAACAAGCCATGAGCGACTTAAAAAACAAACTTGTACAAGCTCATGAACAACTCGGTGTTCGGCAAGACGATTGAGAATTTGACGTTAAAGTGAAATTAGTCAGAGACAGCTAGGAAGAAAAACTCAGGAAACTTATAGCCAGCCCGGCGTTCAACCGAAGCAAGATATTCGACGATGACTTTGAACAAAAGCCACATCAAATTCAACCGGCCCGGTTACGTTGGGATGAGCATCCTCGACTTATCCAAACACTTGATGTACTATTTCTACTACAACGAGCTGATAAAGCAGAACGGCGAAGTACTGTACACGGACACAGATTCTCTGCTCATGGAAATTCACACCGAGGACGTGTACGAGGACATGAATAAACACATGCACCTGTAAGACACCAGCGACTACCCTAAAGATCACCCTATGCACAGCCAAGTCAACAAAAAAAAAGTGGTCGGCAAGATGAAGGACAAATGAGCGGGCACGCCGATTCGCCAAGTACATTGGCTTGAGACGCAAGATGTGTTTCATCAAGAAAGCCGACGACGAAATCCGAAAGTCGAAAGGCGTGAAAAAACGTGGTGAAAAAACACACCAAGCACGCCAGATTCAAGGAAGCCCTGTTCAAGAATAAAACGTTCAAACACCAAATGAACATGCTGAGAAGTGACTGACACAAGATATACAGACTGAGAATCAACAAGACATCGCTGTCTCCCATAGACATGAAACAATGGATCGAATCAACGAAGTCACCACTTACGCGTACGGGCACAAACTCGTATCGAATAATTGAATGCTTATGCACACAGACGTACATATATCACGGAGAAAATTTATTACAGCCCGCAAGGGTACTGGAAAGGCGCGGACGCCATCCTTAATCGCCAAAGCCGCTTGAGTCTCGGAAGAGAAAGCCAAAGCCTGGCTTAAAAAACAAGCCATCCGGCAAGTCTACCTGCCGGCGCCTCGATACACCCCGAGAAGAAAATTTGATATTTCAACGCCGAATCGGGTCCACCAAGCCGACCTCCTGTTTCTCCTTCAAGACAGGGTGAGGCGCAAAACCTACAAGTACGCCCTGACCGCCGTCGATGTCGCCAGTCGCTACAAGGAAGCCGAACCGTTGACAACGAAAGATTCGAACGAAGTCGTCAAAGCCTTTGAACTCATATACAAACGCAGTGGCTTGACATGGCCTACTGTATTGCAAGTCGATCCCGGATGCAAGTTCATGGGAGCCGTGTCGCAGCTGCTGGCCAAGCACAAAGTCCAAGTGAGACGAGGTATAGCGGCAGCTCACCGAAGCCAAGACATCATTGAGAGATTCAATTGCACCCTAGCCGAACGCCTGTTCTCGCACCAATACTCGCAGGATTTAATGGATCCCGGAAACAGAAACACAGAATGGGTCGTACGCTTACCGCGAGTGGTGGATGTCATCAACAACGAAGTCACCAGACTCGTGGACAAGAGACCCGTCGAAGCCATCAAAATGAAATCTGTCGAATCTTCGTCGGCAGCAGCACGTCGGGATAAAACAGAGAAAACATTACCAGACCGGGTCAGCGTTAGGTACTTGTACCAGCTGGGAGAATACGAGGTAGACAGCAGAAAACGCGCCACCGATCCGATATGGTCCATGAAAACGTACAACGTAGACCTTGTCGACATCAGAGATGGCGAACCGAACTTGTACTACTTGAAAGACGGACGGCCGAGAACATTCGTCAGAGAGGATCGTACCTCACGACACAGTCCCTTACACATCACCCACCGTGTGATGATAGGTTATCGTCATGATTTTTTTATCAGTCTTCCATGCCTATTTTTCTGCTTAATGTAGCCAGCCAGCCAGCCACCCGTACACCAAGCCGAAAAAGACACACTCCCACGCAATGCGACTCGTCCGCCAAACGTGCTCGGAGGAGGAACCACCCCCGAGGCGACCCGAGCCTGTTTCTCGACCGACCCCATGCTCACTTTAAAGTCAATATTTCAGAAACTATTCCACCGATTTTAATTACATTTTGCATGCAACTCAGTAGTAGTATACACAATGGGGCTACGGGATTAGGGACTTCCCCAAAGGCTAAAGTTTTAAAAATAAATTGAGCCCTTGAGGGGACCTGGTTACGTAGCCACATTGTGTATACTACTACTAGTTTAGCCCCGCTTCAATAAGTGGCCAACTGCATCGAGTTACTGAATTGCAGTCAATAACAGTACTATTTTAACTTAAAAAATCATTCGTATATATTTCACCGTTACTCAAATATACCTTTACTCCAATATACTAACCTTGGCTTGTTTTTTTTCTATCATATGGATACAAGAACATAATGTCATTCACTAACTACAATATACCTTTCTCTCTTGTCTTTTACTTTCTGATTATTAGATTACCTTTAATTACTGGTCAATAGGATTGTATGCATGTAGTTCTTCTGGGAGAGCTGACGGGCTGTGCTCATTACATGCCATGGGGGTGCCTCTATTCAGATAATTAATCCCTGTAGATAATTTGGGATGTAGTTCAAATGGGAAGTAGTTCTTATGGGAGTAAACCAATTTGAATAGCTAATTCATTAATGAAAAAGGTAAATAGAAAAGGAACTAAAATGCACCCTTGTCTAACTCCTAACTGGCTGATAAAAGTTTTTGAAATTTCATTATTGTTACGTACACACACCCTTACATTCTCATAAATACTGCATACAAGTTTATTCATTTTGATACTTAGACCATTTAACCTTAATAAAATGTTTCTCAAATAGATTCAACGTAGGGTATTAAGAGTCTATGGTTCATCAGGACGCTAAGTACATTTAAAGCACATAGTTCCTCAGGACACCAACTACTTACACTTTCAATCGTTCCTCAGGACACCAAGTACTTTAAGAGTCAATAGTTCCTCAGCACGCCAAGTACGTTAAGACTACATGGTTGGTCGGTATGTCAAGTACCTTGTGAGTCCACAGGACGTCAACTACTTAAAGTGTCTGGGGTGTTTTTGGATACCAAATACATTAGGAGTCCATGGTTCCTCAGCATGTCAACTAAGTTTGTGCCACAGCAGTGATAGGAATCAGTCATAAAATTCTCTCAAAAATCCCCCGAAACCCAACCTGAATGTAAGCACCATTTAACCTTCACAAAATGTTTCTCAAAGAGATTCAGGGAAGAGTGTTAAGAGTCTATGGTTCCTCAGGACGCCAAGTACTAAAAGAGTCCATAGTTTCTTTGGCCACCAAGTACTTCAAGAGTCCGTTATTTCTCCATTCTCGGGAAAATAAATATTGCCACAATTACCAATCACAACTTGTTTGCCAACAGGATTCGTATCAATTCGAGTTTCGTCGTAAACTTCGGGTACTTGTACTGCTGTACTGCAGCCTTTGAGTTGAGGTCACAGTTGACCTGCTTGATGACGTCAAGCGTCCCGGACTTGACCTGGATCACTACAGGGTCGACAAACACACTCGTTGAGCGGATTTCATGGTAGAACTCAAAGTGGGATTGTAATGCAACGTCAACCTGAAACATTGTAAAGATTTTAAAGATCCTTCTTGTGGTAGGATGCTGACATATTGTAATGCTCGGGTAGTTTTATGATACAGATTATTGAAATAATTGCCAGTGAATGAAATACTCATAAACATATCAAGGCAGTCAATACCTTGTTAAAATAACCCCCCTATTGAGTTATATCATTTTCAGCCATCAAAATCAATATAATGTGTTATCTGTTTGTTGTCAGGTGCCTTCAGTGCCTACAGCCACAGTGTGCGAAATTTCCGCTGGTCCTGTGGTCCCTGGCGAGTAAAAATCCTGTAAACTTTGTGGTCCTGGTGGCCAGTGAATTTTGTATTGATAGTTAAGTAAATCTACGAATGTACCATGCTTGTAGTAAGGGGCGACTAACGGGATCGGGTGGTCAGGCTCGCTGACTTGGTTGACACATGTCATTGGTTCCCAATTGTGTAGATCGATGCTCATACTGTTGATCACTGGATTGTCTGCTCCTGATTCGATTATTTACAGACCGCCGTCATATTGCTGGAGTATTGCAGAGTGCAGCGTAAATCTAAACTCACTCACTCACTCTTTTGGACCAAAGAAGTGCAGGCAGGACCACTAATTATTGTCCACTCACTGGTCCTGTGGTCCAGTAGGAAATTTGGAAAAGTTTCTTTCCCCGTAGCCAGGGACTAAACATGAGACTTACAAATCTGTGAGATAACAGACTTATTTGTATAGCGTCCCTAATGTAATGTATTGCCTCATGCTATGAACGCTGCTTCTGAGCACCAGGGACGTTCTGCAAACTGCTTAAGCTGCGTCAGTCATATTTCACCCACTCACTGAAACAGGGACATACCTTTTCTTTGTCTTCATCTGATAAGGTAGAGTCATCTTCAAGCTCCAGAAATATATAGAAGCACCGTTCACAAGAAACGTCACCTGTATGTAACACACGTACATATTTACGTACACATGTCATCGTATCCCAAGTGCATAGACAGATGTTGCTGATCACTGGATTGTCCGATCCAGACTGGAATATTTACTGTTGCCATGTGTCTGGATCGTGCGGCTTTTAACAACAATCAAAACAAAAGAAAGAAAATACACAACAAACTTACGTACAATTCATCGAACCATTTTGAGTTTTACGCAAAAGTACTGAAGCACATAACATCTTCATAACCTAACGGGAGACCGTCAACCTAGTCTAAGTTTTATTGTAATTATAAATTGTAAGAATTGTTGTCAATAATTATGCTTGTTTAAACATCACTCATTCCTGCTGTGTATAAAGCGTTACATGTGCTGGAGTAATTTATAACCATTTATAGGCTGTGATGTGATCGTTGGTTCTAAGTTAAAGGCAAAAAATTTCTTAAATAAATAAAAAATAATAATAATAACAAAAATAATAATAATGACGAGAGCAAGGAATTCCACAGCTATTTTAAGCGTGCCAAGGTTGTTGTACAGAATCTGAAATTTGAGGTTGATTTTGCTGATGGCGATGTACTGCTCGACGGTACAACGATGGGAGTAAACCAGGTGAAGGCCTTCACCAAGTCTGCCTAGAGTTGGTCTTTTGTGGAGAAGCTTTCTGAGAAGCCATTGCATCGTGGGTACATGCAGTGTGTAGAACAGAATAGCAATCCCGCCGACTCTTTCGCCTGGATGAAGTCGGCTGGTCTTAAATGTGAAACTGAGGGCTTCCGTTTTGCTGCTCAGGACCAGTCACTGCCCATTCGTAATCGCCAAAATGTGATTCTTAAAGAAAATATCAATATGAAATGTCGACCTTGTAATGAATTTACAGTGTCAGTGGATGTCCTTCTTTGGCACAAACAGCATATCTTAAACGACATGATGGCATGGCTCGTTGCTTTTACTACTGTCTCCGCCATGTCTGAAGCTTTGACTCCGAGGTCCATCCATGGTACGGCCCTGAACATGTCCAGGGCGTCATGGAAAATGATGCTTTCAAACTTCTGTGGAATAGGCCCACATACAGCCCCAGAAGAATTCCTGCCAACAAACCTGATCTTGTCCTTTTTGATAAAGCCAATGAATTTATTTATATCATTGAATTTTCTGTCCCTTTTGACAGCAATGTGATTGGCAAGATTCAGGAAAAGCATGATAAACATGCGGACCTCGCCTTTGAAATGTCTCGCTTGCATCCCATGTACACTGTCATCAGGCACCTCATTGTTCTCGGTGCCCTTGGTTTGGTACCTCCTGATCTCTTGGCGCAGATCAGGTGAGTGCCAGGGTTCTCCACCGGGAGCACAGCCCTTCTGACACTCTGGGTTATGCAGAAGGCTGCACTGTTGTCTCCGGAAAGTTCTTGTTGGGTTCGACTAGGCAGTGTTTCCTGGGAGAAGTCCCATTCGCTGTCTGGGCTGCGTGTAGAGGGGGCAAGGGCCCTGAGCTGATGATGAGCCTTACCAGCCTGACTGTGCCAGGATCACCCGAACCCTCTCTGCTGCATTTTCATCATTAATCTGTAAAGCATAAATAAATAAATAAAATAAGATATAGATAAAAAAAGAAAGAAAAAGATAAACATATGTATTTAGATTTTCAATTCTAAATTAAAATTTCCAATGAATTATGGTATGGGCTGTAAGGGGGGTAATGCGTTTAGATACTAACTGTCTGAAGACTGGACTTGTCAATGCTTAACCACTGCTATTACATCTTACATGATATACCATATGGAACTGTTATGAAACTTGGTACCTGTTACGTCATCGATGTGTTGGTTCATACATGCCATGTAGCTGTATAACGATGTTCCCGACCTCCACGTTCTAGCAGCATCGTGAACGGCCTTCGTGAACAATATCTCAGGGTACTTATTGAGACAGTCAGACGATCTGAAGAAGTAATGGCAACACGTTTAGCAGATTCATCTTTTTTTATGTCTGGGGTGGTGGGGTAGCCTAGTGGTTAAAGCGTTTGATTGACATGCCGAAGCCCCGGGTTCGATTTCCTACAAGGGTACAATGTGTGAAGCCCATATATGGTGGCTTCGCTCCATGATATTGTTGGAATATTGCTAAAAGCGGCGTAATCAAATTGTGCTTTGCACAACAAAGTTTTTCATGTCGATGAACACAATGCCAAAATAATCGCTTTTAAAACTTTCTTATTTGTAAAGGAAAAAGCCACGCAATGCAAATTTTGTAAACTTCATTACAGATTCAAGCTCCTTGGAGGTATTTATAGTGACTGATAGATGTATGAAACCTGTGGAGATTGTGTTCTTGGATTGTCCATCACGTGGTCGGCCTCCATGTGTTTTGTTACTGGCGTGTCACAGTATTGATGGACATCATGTAAAGTATATCCACCCAACCATGTTGTTCGTTGCTCACAGTATCAATCGCTGGATTGTCTGATCCAGATTAAGTTATCTGCAGACTGCCATCATGTGGATGAAGTATTGCTCAGTACAGCGTTCAATATAGAACGGACTACCATTCATTGATTCATGAAAACCTATAAAAACCTGTGTATCAACGTACCTCTGGGAGAAGGTGTAGTTGGGAGTCGTCCCCGTGAAGCTGCTGACTCGCACGACGTCCCCGGTCCTATATCTGTACAGTCCCATCCATGTCGTCACCACCATCTCATACTCTCCACCAACCTCAACCTGGAGGGGGATAGTTCAGGATATTATGGTGGTTATACAATATAAGTTGTTCACTGGTCTCGAGGGGGACATTGACTGATGTACCCTCGATATTTGTTTATGTTCCCTGATCCCCAAAGGCGAGGGGAACATAAAGAAACATCGAGGGTACATCAACCCATGGGCCGAGGGACCAGGGTACATCAACCCGAGGGACCAGTGAACAAAGTATTTATCTTACCGAACACCTCAATGGAATTTTGAACTGTTTGAAGCACGGGTATCGGACCATAGTATTGAGTACCAGACAAGAAAAACAAATTTAGAATGATCTCCCTTCCATCCATTTGCATTCGTAAAACATCGGTAATTTCCGTAAATCATACGCGATTCAATGTAGTAGAATAAAGAATCATTACTACGAAGTAACACATGAGTTCGGCATTTCCAGCGGGGTACATAGAAAATGTTACTCGCTTGTAAGCGGGGTACATTGAAAATAATAGAAGAGCGCCCAGCAATAAGAAAACAACACAAATGTGTGAGGCAAGATAAGGTGGATTACAGGTTTTAAACATATGGATGAACGCGGTGTATTACAGAGGGTATATGAATTTCCCATATTACAGGGGTAAATATACGGATGAACATGGACTATAACAAAATGTAAATGTACGGATCAACAGGGTGTATTATGGCGAGTAAATGTACGGATGTGCATGGGTTACTACATAGGCCATAACTACAAGGAATACCACATAGGGGTATCACAGAGAGTAAATGTCCAGATGAGCATAGAGTATCACAGATAGTAAATGTACCAATGAGCATAGGGTATCACAGAGAGTAAATGTCCAGATGAGCATAGGGTATAACAGAGAGTAAATGTCCAGATGAGCATATGGTATAACAGAGAATAAATGTACCGATGAGCATAGGGTATCACAGAGAGTAAATGTCAAGATGAGCATGGGGTATCAGAGAGAGAAAAATGTACAGATGAGCGTGGGGTATAACAGAAAGCAAAAGTCCAGAAGATCATAGGGTATCACAGAGAGTAAATGTACAGATGAGAATGGGGTATCACAGGGAGTAAATGTCAAGATGAGTCTTGGGTATCACAGAGAGTTAATGTACAGATGAGCATCACAGACAGTAAATGTATAGATGAGCATCACAGAGAGTAAATGTCCAGATGAGCATGGGGTATCTCAGAAAGTAAATGTCCAGATGAGCATGGGGTATAACAGAAAGTAAATGTCCTGATGAGCATAAGGTATAACAGAGAGTAAATGTCAAGATGACACTGGGGTATCACAGAGAGTAAATGTACAGATAAGTATGGGGTATCACAGAGAGTAAATGTACAGATGAGCATGGGGTATCACAGAGAGTAAATGTACAGATGAGCATCACAGAGAGTAAATGTCCAGATGGGCAAGGGGTGTCACAGATAGTAAATGTACAGATGAACATGGAGTATAACAGAAAGTAAATGTCCAGATGAGCATGAGGTATAACAAAGAGTAAATGTACTGATAAGTATGGGGTATCACAGAGAGTAAATGTTCAGAGGAGCATGGGGCATAAGAGAGAGTGAATGTCAAGATGAGTCTGGGTTATCACAGAGAGTAAATGTACACATAAGTATGGGGTATCACAGAGAGTAAATGTACAGATGAGCATGGGGAATCACAGAGAGTAAATGTCCAGATGAGCAAGGGGTATCACAGATAGTAAATGTCCTGATGATCATGGGGTATAACAAAGAGTAAATGTATAGATAAGTATGGGGTATCACAGAGAGTAAATGTCCAGATGAGCACGGGGTATCACAGAGAGTAAATGTACAGATGAACATGGAGTATAACAGAAAGTAAATGTCCAGATGAGCATGAGGTATAACAAAGAGTAAATGTACAGATAAGTATGGGGTATCACACAGAGTAAATGTCCAGATGAGCAAGGGGTATCACAGAGAGTAAATGTACAGATGAACATGGAGTATAACAGAAAGTAAATGTCCAGATGGGCATGAGGTTTAACAAAGAGTAAATGTACAGATAAGTATGGGGTATCACAGCGAGTAAATTTTCAGAGGAGCATGGGGCATAAGAGACAGTGAATGTCAAGATGAGTCTGGGTTATCACAGAGAGTAAATGTACAGATAAGTAAGGGGTATCACAGAGAGTAAATGTACAGATGAGCATGGGGAATCACAGAGAGTAAATGTACAGATGAGCATGGGGTATCACAGAGACTAAATGTACAGATGAGCATGAAATACAGTAAATGTACAGATGAGCATCAAAGAGAGTAAATGTCCAGATGAGCATGGGGCAAAACAGAAAGTAAATGTCCTGATGACCATAAGGTATAACAGAGAGCAAATGTACAGATAAGTATGGGGTATCACAGAGAGTAAATGTACAGATGAGCATGGGGCAAAACAGAGAGTAAATGTCAAGATGAGTCTGGGGTATCACAGAGAGTAAATGTACAGATAAGTATGGGGTATCACAGAGAGTGAATGCACAGATGAGCATGGGGTATCACAGAGAGTAAATGTACAGATGAGCATCACAGAGAGTAAATGTCCAGATGAGCAAGGGGTATCACAGATAGTAAATGTCCTGATGATCATGGGGTATAACAAAGAGTAAATGTACAGATAAGTATGGGGTATCACAGAGAGTAAATGTCCAGATGAGCACGGGGTATCACAGAGAGTAAATGTACAGATGAACATGGAGTATAACAGAAAGTAAATGTCCAGATGAGCATGAGGTATAACAAAGAGTAAATGTACAGATAAGTATGGGGTATCACAGAGAGTAAATGTTCAAATGAGCTTGGGGTATAACAGAAAGTAAATGTCCAGATGAGAATAGAGTATAACAAAGAGTAAATGTACAGATAAGTATGGGGTATCACAGAGAGTAAATGTTCAGAGGAGCATGGGGCATAAGAGAGAGTGAATGTCAAGATGAGTCTGGGTTATCACAGAGAGTAAATGTACACATAAGTATGGGGTATCACAGAGAGTAAATGTACAGATGAGCATGGGGAATCACAGAGAGTAAATGTACAGATGAGCATGGGGTATCACAGAGATTGAATGTACAGATGAGCACGAAATACAGAAAATGTACAGATGAGCATCAAAGAGAGTAAATGTCCAGATGAGCATGGGGCAAAACAGAAAGTAAATGTCCTGATGAGCATAAGGTATAACAGAGAGCAAATGTACAGATAATTATTGGGTATCACAGAGAGTAAATGTACAGATGAGCATGGGGCAAAACAGAGAGTAAATGTCAAGATGAGTCTGGGGTATCACAGAGAGTAAATGTACAGATAAGTATGGGGTATCACAGAGAGTGAATGCACAGATGAGCATGGGGTATCACAGAGAGTAAATGTACAGATGAGCATAACAGAGAGTAAATGTACAGATGAGCAAGGGGTATCACAGATAGTAAATGTCCTGATGATCATGGGGTATAACAAAGAGTAAATGTCCAGATGAGCAAGGGGTATCACAGAGAGTAATTGTGCAGATGAACATGGAGTGTAACAGAAAGTAAATGTCCAGATGAGCATGAGGTATAACAAAGAGTAAATGTACAGATAAGTATGGGGTATCACAGAGAGTAAATGTTCAAATGAGCTTGGGGTATAACAGAAAGTAAATGTCCAGATGAGCATAGAGTATAACAGAGAGCAAATGTACAGATACATATGGGGTATAACAGAAAGTAAATGTCCAGATGAGCATAGAGTATAACAGAGAGCAAATGTACAGATGAGTCTGGGGTATCACAGAGAGTAAGTGTACAGATGAGCATGGGGAATCACAGAGAGTAATTGTACAGATGAGCATGGGGTATCACAGAGTGTAAATGAACAGATGAGCATGGGGTATCACAGAGAGTAAATGTACAGATGAGCATGAAATACAGTAAATATACAGATGAGCATCAGGGAGTAAATGTACAGATGAGAATGGGGCATAACAGATAGTGAATGTACAGATAAGTATGGGGTATCACAGAGAGTAAATATACAGATGAGAATTTGGTATCACTGAGAGTAAATGTACAGATGGGCATGGTGCATCACAGAGATTAAATGTACAGATAAGCATGGGTTATCACAGAGCGTAAATGTACTGATACGTATGGGATATCACAGAGAGTAAATGTCCAGATGAGCATAGGGTATCACAGAAAGTAAATGTACAGATGAGCATGGGGTATCACAGAGAGTAAATGTCAAGATGAGCATGGGGTATCACAGAGAGTAAATGTCCAGATGACTTTGGGATATTACAAAAAGTAAATGTACAGATGTGCATGGGGTATCACAGAGAGAAAATGTACAGATGAGCATGGGATGTCACAAAAGAGTAAATGTCCATATGAGCATAGGGTATCACAGAGAGTAAAATGTACAGATGAGCATGGGGGTATCACAGAGTGAAAATCTCCTATTGGGCATAGGGTATAACAGAGAATAAATGTCCAGATGAGGGGGTACAGATCAGCATGGGGTATAACAAAGAGTAAATGTACAGATAAGTATGTGGTATCACAGAGATTAAATGTCCAGATGAGCAAGGGGTATCACAGAGAGTAAATGTACAGATGAACATGGAGTATAACAGAAAGTAAATGTCCAGATGAGCATGAGGTATAACAAAGAGTAAATGTACAGAGAAGTATGGGGTATCACAGAGATTAAATGTCCAGATGAGCAAGGGGTATCACAGAGAGTAATTGTACAGATGAACATGGAGTATAACAGAAAGTAAATGTCCAGATGAGCATGAGGTATAACAAAGAGTAAATGTACAGATAAGTATGGGGTTTCACAGAGAGTAAATGTTCAGAGGAGCATGGGGCATAAGAGAGAGTGAATGTCAAGATGAGTCTGGGTTATCACAGAGAGTAAATGTACAGATAAGTATGGGGTATAACAGAAAGTAAATGTTCAGATGAGCATGAGGTATAACAAAGAG